ATTTAAATCCACACATTCTATGGATTGCCAACTCACCGTGTGACCCGTGATAAGTTCAACTAACAAAGCCACTAAGTGAAGTCCTTCACTACATATGGCTGCTCTAGTTATTACGTATAAAGCATGATCCATCACTAGGGATACATGGTGACCCACATCAATAATACATTTCTAACACTTTGCCGAAATATAGTGACTAAATTGTGATATGACTCCTATGCATAAATATGCTAACAGGATACCTCATCCCTGGTTCAGTATCTGATAATGGTCAAATTCGGTTGGCTTTTTTTCCCTCAGAGCAGGAACAACAGAGCTGTTTGTTCCAGCTGGAGTCAATTAAAAACTAAACTTGGCATTATTAAAAACATACACTGTGCTCAGTGTGACTAGTAAAAACACACTTCCGCAAAGAAATCAATCAGCCACTTGCCTCATGCCTCCCTCATTCAGACTGTCGCCGAGGGCGTGTCGCAGGGCGGCGTCGGTGTCGAACACGCCCCAGGTGGCCTGAAGCACTGAGTCCAGCAGGCAGTCACCAGCCGTGCGGTTCCAGAGGGCATAGAGCCGGCTGCCCAGACTGTCCGACACCTCAACACTCCAATTGATAATTGGAGACTCCTGTTCCAATTCTATTCGTAGAAGGAAACGCAAAAACTATGACCATCAATGACGGTAAACAATCACAAGGCAAAGTTTACAAACTAAATTTAATAACTTATTCTGGCATCATGAAAAAGCGGGGTCTCTGCAGAGTGTTGACATAAACAAATTACCAGAGAAACATAAAATCTGCTATCTCCATGAACGTTAATTATCACATCAAGCAAAACTAACAAAGGTGATTCTTAAATGTCAAATACAGCCATTCAATCCCTGCATCAGGAAAACAATTCCCCGTCAAATGACACTTTACACATTGTAAACTCAGCCTGTTTCAATGTTTCATGAGCTTCAAAGGTGAGGGGGTAATCTGAAAGCTTCCGCAAAGTGCAAACTTTGGGACATACGCCTTTTCCTACCCTGAGCAATTTTCCAGAAATGATTAGTTTCCCACAAATTCATTATTTTATTGAAGAAAAAAAGGACAGACTTTCATTTTTCAGAGAACAAACATACAACCCATCCATTTTATCTGCTGTTTGACCTTTCCGAGGGAATTCACTGCACTTACCTTTCTGCACATCGCGATCTAGGAGTTCATCAAACAATTGATTCCTAACAGTAAGTGGGAGGTCTTCAATTTCTGGCACAGAAAAATCAAAAAGGGATGTAAGAAGAATAGGATTTCAAACCTTTTCAGGAAAAAATGGATTCAAGAGCTTTGAATCTAAACTGAGACCTTTCATTAAGTCCATTATCCCTAACCCCCCTTGGCCCGTTTACAAGGAACCATCCTGAATCCTCCAAAATCCTCCGATTTTCAACATGAAAAACATGCACTCAGCCCAAATCCTCCAAAATTTCTTGAAAATGTCATTTGGAGGTGTGCCTAACTGCCAGAATCCTTCAAAATCCTCTGGCAATTCCTGTCATTATGTTGAGGGAGTGCAAATGGCATTCTTGAGCAGTGCGGTTGATTCAAAAGAAACATCGGGCTGAAGTTGTGCTCGACTAAGCAGAAACAACACAAGGTCTAAACCACGACCTTCATGTATGACATTCTTCGAAATCAGCCATGCACTTTTGCCATACACCCTGAATGCTCCAAATTCCTCCACTTTGCACTTAAGTTGAAAACAACTTAGTACATGATCCAGGACTGCTTCTGAAACTGCGAGAAAATCTGCTGCTGAAATAAATGTCTCTTAAAAAAATAAAAGAAACACACTTTAGCCACAACAAAGCATAGTCTTACCTCCTGGCAAAATGAATGTTAACAGATCTGTCACAAAGAAGCAAAGGAAATCTCCTTTCCGCTGGCGGAGAGACTTAGCAATATCCCTGCGTATACCGGCAGCCAGGTCTGGACAGACCTGTGATGGGGGCCGCTTCACCACGTTGGCGCTGACGTCGGGCGTCAAGAGCACCGCCACCAAGTCCTCCCGCTGGAAGCGAATGGCCAGGTGCACCAGGGTGAAGCCGACGTCAAAGGCACTGGGCCTGTTGAGTAAGGTCACTTCGTCACGCGTTAGCTGGCGGGTCGGCGACCCACCTGAGGTAAGGTACAGTTCAACGGCCCGTGCATCCCCCTCGATCACGCCCATACAGGCGTTGAGGAAGAGCCAGTCTGACTTGCGCAGGCGTTTGCGGATCTGCTTGAGGCGCTTGTCGTGCTCGGCCAGGTTAATGGTGCCCTGGCTGGGCACCGTCTGTGGGGAGGCCCGGGTGGCAGATGACGGCTGGAGCTCCACTTTGGCGTCCGGGCTCCTGGGCGGAGATATGGGTGGGGAGCCGCGGCTGGATGCCTCCACGTTACGCAGGTTCTCCTCGATCAGGGAACTGTCTGCCGCCAGGCCCAACTCGGGGCTGTGCTTGCTGCGCACGCACATGCACAGTGCGCACTTCTTGGCACGGGGCCAGTTCTCGTAGGTGCAGGCCGGGCAGGCCCACTTCTTCACATTCTGGCCCAGGCTGCGATTGCGGTCGTTGTTGCCCATCTGGCTGGCCTCGGGAGCTCTCGGCATCCTGATGGTCTTGGGCATGCCCCTCCCCCTATTCTCCAAGGTAGGGCTACTGCTCCCCGGCGAGGAGTAACACAGGGCGCACTTGGTGGCCTGGGGCCAGTTCATATAAGTGCAATGTTTGCAGGACCACTTTACAGCTGGAGAGAGTGGTCCCCGGTGATCGCTACCTGGTAGTATCAAGGGCACTGTTCCGGTTCCTGTGCCCCTGGATATCAGATCTCTCCGAGGCACCTCCGGTGAGGTCGGGGCACTGATGTACTGGACTGGCCGGCGGGCTTGACAGAGGGTGCATTTGATGGCACTGGGCCAATTGTTGTAGGTACAGTATTCGCAGGTCCATTTTTTGTGGTCATCAGTCATACTGATTCCTCAACCTGTCAACCTGGAAAAATTTAACTCAATTCAAGCATAAACTTAGGCCATTTATGTTGCAATTCAACGTTTTTTTCCTGACTTTTCTTCCACCGTATTGCCAAACTTACATGTTACTTTCTGTGCATGATTTAACTTGCTTTACGAATCCTGTGAAAATGTTTCAGCATATTAAAATTCAGTGCAGCGCTATAAAATGGTGTTGCTTAGGAACCGAGGACAAAAATCAGACTGAAGATGTTCATTTGTGGTATTCTTGAACAATGTCTAGGAAGAGGTCCACATATGGACGCCAGTAATTACTCCCTACAGTGACCTGTTAGCCTTCAGAAGGCAAAAACATGTCCAGAAAAGTTCAATTTAGGAAGGGAAAAAAACAAGTTCTTAAGATTTACAGAACACTTCAAATTTTCAGACCGGTCTCATAGGGTTTGTGCACAGGGTGGCAAATGGTGGCCGTACATGGAACTCTTTCCCAATCTCTGAAGCCGTCTGTTATCATAGTTCTGGTTTCTGTCTATCAGTGGATGGCAAATGATGGCTGGCCATCAGTCCAAAACCAAATGAATGAATCCCATGAGTTAACAATTTCACAGCTATTAAAACACTAATATAATTGAAAATGATACAAATACAAATGAAAATACCTCTTTGCACATTCATAGGCCTACAGGAAATCTAATATCCCAAAGTTAACATCTTTAACAATCTTTCTGCATGTCATATGCTACGGTTAGTATTGTTAACCATTTATTCAGTCTTGAATTTTAGAATGAAATCGTTTTACTCCAGACATAAAGTTGACAGTGTACAGCAGTGAAATCTGGAAGATGTTTAAGATAATATTTGAGAGTTCTCAATTTGTATGCCATTTTTATATTCAAAATACAGTTAACCACTTATTGCTGTCCGATTTTGGAGATCCCATCCACGTGTATTAAACACACAGTGCACGAATCCGGAGTTCCCGGCGGCAAGTGGTTAATGGTGATTAGCACCATAGGCCTATTCAGATTTTTTTCAAACAAATGCACATTTCATTTGCATTAAGGTTTAATTCTGTTGGCCTAGCCGTATTTTGGAGACCTTCCTTGTCTGCCTTGTATCAATCAGTATTCCCTTAGAACTCGGGGGGTTCTAGAGATCTAGAGATTTTCACTAGCACAAGGGTTGAAGGGGAAGATCTACAAACAACTCTAGTTTGCAGGTGAAAAATCCACAAAGACCTCGGGTGACTTGAGTCTTAATTTACAATTCGTCCCTGTCTTGACCCTTCTTGAAACTACTGTTACCTTGAGACAAGTACATGTAGGAGTGAGGAATGCGCATCTCTCTGAGTAAAACATGGATGATGTAACTAACGATAGGCTCTAAAAATAAACAGCAACTGGTCTAATATCTCGGTCGCGCAACTGCAAGTTTAACGCTAGCGCTGTGGTAGGCTGTCGACATGGTCGATGTCTGCCAGTGCCACTAATTTTCCACGAACAACAGCAAAAGTATTTGACTAGGCTACGTACCTCTTCCTCAACTCTTTCACAGCGTATCAGCCGACCGGAACTTATACAATGATCACTCAAACGGGCTTCTAATCTCATCATAACAAATCTATCTTTTACTGCAACATCAACAAAGAATAGTCTTTCCCCATCGGACTGCCATCTTTAATCAAATCAGCTGGTTCCCTGCGGTTTACCGCATGAAATGTGAAAGGGAAATTTATTTTAAATCTGTGCGGTTAAGGAAACCAGCGAAGTGTATTTTGGCAAAACATGACGTCATCGAAACAAACATAACGAAAACATTTCATGCAAAAATATATGGGACATCGAAGAAATTGGTTGAATTGTTCGTTATGTTACAACCATGATGTGTGCCAGCTTGCTGGCAATGAGGCTGTTGAACGTTCTTTACGCACCTTGGGTGTGAAAGAGGAAAATTAATAATTCTACTGCAAATTGCCTCTAGCCCCGCCCCTCCCATTTTCTAGCCCGGAAAAGTAAACGCTTGAGGGCGTGAGTCATTATTTACAAACCTCACGCGTCGGGCGCCGGCGCGCGATACGGCGCACGCACGCACGCGCACATAGCATCTAGGCTTACTTGGCGGAAGTGATCACTTGTCTTGGAGGCTGGAGGTAAACTCAAATGCACGTAACCTTTCTCCTCCAGGTCTATGATATAACTTTAGGCCCTATAACTTTGACAAAATCTGAAGTGCTCTCAGAATGGTACACATACAAAATTACTGACATGCCTGAATTATTTTTAAAAGATTTTTGCGGGATAGAAGCGGTAGCGCTCATTTCGTTAGCATGCTAGGACAAAGCTGAAAAAGTTCAGCTCGAGGTCATGCTGAATCTTACATGGTCAGTGAAGCAGCTTTACATTTCTTAGTCCACATTTTTCCCCTTTTTTAAATTTGACTTCTTACTACTAACTGTTATAACGCTTTTAAGCGCTCAACTTCCCACTCTTCGGAAGTTTAGGTTGCCTAGGCTATTGCAAATTGGAACAATTTTTTATTCATTTGAACATCTTCATTATTTTTTGTCCAGGGGCACTGTGATTATAGTACTACCATGGCTTGCGTGGGATCTGGTCTTAGGTCCCGCTTTCGTGGCTGTCTGCTGGGTTCATTAGCTGGTGACTGCCTAGGGAGTCCCTATGAGGGTGGCATCCTAGTCGCCAAGGGCATCACCCTCATGGAAGAGGTTGTAGACTTCATTCGGGGTCTAGACAGCAAACGTGAAGGTCGTTGCAAATGAAGCATTTATCATCGAAGTCAGTATTTTAGATTTGTTCTGTTTGATGTTTCTATGTGCATCAAATCTAATAACCATGATATAGTATTTTTTTTTCTCATATTCAGCCCGCAAACTTTATTTCACCGATGACACAGCAATGACCCGCTCTGTGGCAGCATCTCTCATCCACTGTAAAGGCAAATACAGTGCCAGAGATATGGCACAAAGGTGGGCATCGTGTTATAAAGAACCAAATCCTTTAAAAAAATTTCATAACTTCTACAGCTTGATTTCCGGAAAAACAGGAAAATACTCTTTGTTCCACAGCAAGCTTGGAGAGGACATTTTTGAAGTGATGTCTTTCCTGTAGATTTTCAGAGGAATTCGCCAAAGATTCTGGCCGAGGGTATGGCGCCAATGTTGTGTCTATCCTTCCTGCTCTTGGAGATGCAAGCACAGAGGACATCTATGCACCAGCGAGGACACAGTTTGATGGCAGAGGCTCTTACGGTAATGGCGGTGCCATGAGAATATCACCTGTGGGTCTGTGCTCCAGCAAAAACTTAGAAAGGGTGATTGAGGTACTGTTTGTCTGCTCCAACTTTGTCATTTTCTTAACTTTTCCTTGGTGTCTTCACTAATCCTGACCTTCCAAATACATCAAGTTGCGTTGTCAAGGTTACTTCCCCACAGAATGTGACCAGATCTAACAGATAAAGCATCCCCTTGGCCAAATGACCTCAGAGTTCAAACCATCCAGGTACCACAGGATCCAACAGTATCATTGTTCAGTGTGGTTCAGTTCTGTAATCTCAACAAGGACAGCTAATGCAGTGAATTTCCCTTTGGTCCCAAAAATGTGTGCGATACTGGCAAATGCCTGGTTGTGAAATTACTCCTTAAACGTAGAGGTTCATTTCAGTCTACCTTTTAGTTGTGCCATCTATAGAGTTGAAGAATGCAACCAATGATGTCCATCTTCTGTCTCCCTTAGATAGCCCGAGAGAGCTCCAAACTCACCCACTCCAATCAGCTGGGCTACTGCGGTGCTGTCTTGCAAGCCTGTGCCATCCACTCGGCCCTGCACTCGGACCCAGCCACGCTGGACACAGGCACATTCGTGGATGGGCTGTCCCGGGTCATGGATAGAGTGGAAGAAGGAGGGCAAGACGGAATATACGCCGGCAGGCTGAGGTTACTGAAGACCATGCTGAAGGCTGACCCCAGCACAGAGGACGTGGCCAAAAAATTGGGTGGGTGTCCGTAGGGCATGAATTTGATAACAAATCAAGGCTTGTGTTGCTATTGCATTTGTCAAATACCAAGTGTACCGCTCAATAAATAGCTGGTTTTTGGTGAAACAGTGCCACAGAACATCACTGAAATGTGGTTTCTTACTAAACTAAGGTATTTTTCTGATTCAGTAGCAGTAGATTTTTAGGGCTCCAGACTTGAAAATTCTTGCTCAATTTCAGGGCCATGAGCAGTTTCAGGAAAACCAAGTCCCAGAATAATTGAAGCTTGAGCTTAGAATAGTTCCAATTTGAGCATTCAATATTTGTGACTTTAGAGAGGGCAGCGATGCCCAAGCTGGAAAAAGCAGCAAGTGTGGGAAGCCACAATACAAACTTTTTTCCACTGTTTATTTTTACACATTCATAGCATTTTTCTGGGGTTTTGCTCATACCTGGCGCGCCTGACATCATTGCATAAAAGAGCAAAGATCTGCACTGTCCAATCATTAATCACAGTCGGCTCCAGAATCAAGCAGAGTATCACTGATTACCATGGATTCATTGTTTTTGACCTTGCTTTGTTATCAACAGGCAATGACATAGCTGCCCACAAGTCCGTGCCTGCGGCTATCTATTCTGTCCTCAGGTGCCTGCAACCTGTCCCCGGCATACCTACCGACAACCGGCTGGAGAGGACCGTGATCTATGCCATCTCCCTGGATGGTGACACGGACACTATTGCCTCCATGGCGGGGGCCATCGCGGGGGCACTATATGGCAGCGAGGAGGTGCCCAAGGTGTGGCTGGACGTCTGCGAGGGAGTGGATCACGCCCTGAGCCAGGCTGACCAGCTTTTTGACATTATGGTGGGAGAAGGTGGGGTAGGTGAATAGAAGTAAAATTCTATTGAAATTGGAGGATTTGGGACTGTTAGGGCTATTCCTAACAGTCCCTAATCCTCCAATTTCAGTCTGATTTTACTTACACCCAAGGGGGGTTATGGCTAAAGAAGCGGTTTAGAAAGCCTTCTCTGATCTGTATTCCAACGGGAAAACAAGATTGTGGGGACTTTGGTTGTAAGCTGCAATGTTTAGGGTCCCTACAATAAGTATCTTACAACAAGGGTCTAGTTCCCAGAACTACTTAACTAGATTGTATGGACTCTTACATATCCTCGGCATAACACATTCTGCTCATTTCTCAAGGCTACGGTTTCTGTTTGGCTTCAGCTTCAACATTTGCTTTTTTGGTTATTTGCTTTTAAGTGCTTTTTACGACCAGAAGGTGTTGATTAATTTTGCAGATGTGTTATCTTGGGCATACAGTATGCTGTTTGTCAGCGGCAGAAATTGTCCAAAATTTGTAACACTGCCTATTACATTTCCCCTCCATGTGGAGTCTGTTTGCAACTGTGAGCTTGTAAATTTGCCGAAAAATCCTGCAAACAGTGTAACTGCAATGAACTAAATACATTCAGAGTCTTTGGTTAATTGAATTTTATTCATCAGTTTAACAGAAATTTTAAACATTTTTGATGGTTTTTCTCGGGAGCAGGAATATGAGCAAAAAGTTCACCTTTCACTCTCTACCCAGTATCATCAGTCGATAGTTAACTGGACATTGCAATCTCAAATGTGCTTGATGAAATGGGCCACTTTTATCCAGTAGTCTTGTACATGATAAAAGAAGTGCTGCTGAAAAGCTTCCCCTTCTTTGATGAAATGTTTCAACAGTTTTTGGTTTTGTTCCCTCAGCTTGCAAATTTTATACGCATTCTCAGGTCCAACTACTGCAAAGTAGACCATCTCTCCTCCTTTCTCCTTTGACAAATTCTCTAATCTGATTTTAGACTTACAAGAAATGTATCACTGCCAAAAAAAATAAAAAAATCAGCCTCCGAGCTTCCAAAGTGTAGTGGGATTACAAGATGTGCTGCAGATATGCAGCTTTTTTAATGATCCAGCGTTGTGGACATCTCACAGTGAAGGTAAAACTTAATTACACATAAAGATATCACGACTTGTTAAAGAAAATATACTGAATTTACCACAGCCTTTTGAAAATTAAATATGATACAGGATTAGTATAAATTTCCAAATAAAGAAAAGTATGACTTTCTTTACACATGCTATGCTTAATTCTGTTTCTTTTTCTTTAGTGATATATTTTAAATTGATGCCATACCATGCGGTTTACCCTTCAATAAAAGTTGCTAAATCAAGATCAGTTTTGTTTTTTATTTCTATCTTGAAGCCTGACAAGCATTCGACCATCCTTGGGAAAAGGATTCTCTTTTGATTTTAAACTAGGAAAGCTAATTATGAGAACTCGCATTACAGTTTTTTAGGCGAGGGATGAACACTGTAAGAAGGTTTTACCCCGACACTTCAAGTGGAAAACTTTGGATAAAGTGGGAATTTTCTTTTTTTAATTCAAAAACCCAAATTCATTTTGACTCACAAACAGAAGCAGCAAGTACATTCACCCAGGAATTAAACTAAACTGTTCACAAGTGGTTTACTATATTCTTTTGCATTGCAAAGACATGTACTAAAAAGAAATTAAATAAAAACTTAAAACTTTACAACTAAAGCAACACTGTTAAGAGGGAAAAACACCAAATGTTTGTTTGCAAGAGCTTCATTTGCAAATTGCAGATTTTTTTCAAAAGATCAAGGAAAATTGATTATTGCTATGAGTAAAATGTTATTTTCTTGCACTAACAGACACAAATGTACTAGTCTGCAACCCTAAGCCAGACACACTTGATGCAGGTAAACCTTAAGGTTACGTTGAGCAAAAATTGTCACTGATTTGGCTGGCAAATTTGTGCCCTGCTAAGAAGTTTCCGTAATTCCAAATTTTGCTGAGAACAGACAAAGGCAGACTGATTATCATTTCACATTCAGTACTAACAATTGTGCAGAATTCCATGTTTCTGGCAATCTTCTCCAATTGTGCGCACAAGGTATGGCCCGCACCCCCATTCCCCCTTCACAGTCCAGTTTTGGCACGACAGTGGGCTCATCCTTGGGCTGAATTAAGAAAATAGTGATCCTATCAGAAACAACCCAGATATTTACGTGATCTGCCTTTCACATAAGATGTCTGATCACTTTAAAACAAGGTTATAATGTGGATGCATTTCTTGCTTTTTTTTTAAACACATCATAGGGTCTACTTCAAAAAATGTAAAAATTGCACATTCTGTTTGCACTGCCACTAAAGATCTAGTCACAAGCAAAGATGAGTGACCAGATAGGGTAGCCAATAGCTTGTATCATTGGTTAAACATTTTCACATCTTCGTGTACGTATACAAAGGCTACAGCGACAGGAACCAAACTGAAGCTAACTCACTACCATACTGCAAGAGTTTCAGTCTTAAGAATGGATTTACATGCTTCTAAATTTACTGATAACGAATGTTCGGGGGGGGGGGGGTTTTCACCCAGGGGCTCAAGAGGTCTTATCCAGTTTGCTTGGCCGAGGTTTAGGCCTCAGTCCCAACAACAATATACTTGTGAAAAAAAAGTCTCCTGAAAAGTCTGCCTGAAAGGACAAAGGAAAAGAATACCGATGATTAGCACAACAATGTGCCATCAAATACCACAATTTGAATTACCATTGTGAATGTGTGCGTGTGAAGCAGCAATGGCTTTTTCTGGCTGAGCCGGAGTCCGTCATATGAAGTCTGCCAAATTCTACCCGGTTTGGCCCTTTTTTTTCCCACCAGTTGTTATCTATCTGCTCTGGCAGTTTTTGGATCAAACACAATTTTGAATCTTTCGGGGCTGTGAGTGGCCATTTAAAATTAAAGCTGAAAAAACAGCTAGCAAAAAGCTGAAACGTAAAAAGTTCCCATACTTTTGTACAGACAGGTGTACAAACAAAGCTGACAAACAAAGCTGAAATTCATTGTCAACATCTCAACAAAAAAAGCTGAAATCAGCTAAAAAGCTGAATTCTCACACCCCTGTTCTTTTCACTGGTTTCACTTCAGTAAGAAACACTTCCACACACAATCCCCTGTTCGTGGAAAATAAGTTTTCAAAGAAAATGCAGCAAGATAGAGAGTACGAGTGCTTCTGCATCTAACTTGAAATCTGAAAAATATTCCATCTGTGTATTTCAAATGCCACTAACTAGCCTACATGTCAGTGATACATGTACAAACATTTACTAATTTTAAATTTTGACTTTATTCCATATAATTATAAAAACCTTTTTGTTTCATTTATCAACCAATACTCTCATGAAATATTCTAAAAACATCTGTTTGTGCGCGTTTTTTTGTTTTGTTTTTCAATTTCAATGTCTGAAACCGCCAAGCGGTTCACGACGGCTATGCCCTGTTCATGGTGATGAAGTATTTGAAGAACTCATAGACGGACCAGGACAGAGCCGTGGCAGGCATCTGGAAGATGACGCGGGCGTGCAGGCCTTTGAAGTAGCCCCGTACGCCGCTCATGCGGTAGACCGTCCTGAAGGCATTGACCATGCCCTTGATTTCTGTCCGGCGCTGCCCGCAGGCGCGCAGCACCCCTTTCTCCTGTGTGTTGAGCAGCGTCTTGCAGACGTCCAGCGGCGTGGTGATCGCGGCCGCTGTGGCACCGGCCAGGCCCCCCGACACCATGTGACTGGTCGGGTTGTACTCCCTCTTGGGATTGAGGGTCTCCTGGCCCAGCTCGTAGGTGACAAAGTGGATGCTCTGGAAAGGGATGTTCATGGTCAGCTGGGTGGTGTAGCTCCGGTAGAATGCATGCATGCCCTCAGCCCTCACTATTGTCCTTATGCACTCAGTCACACTCTTGTAGGGGCTTTGGAACATTTGCATGCGTTGCTTGACCACTGTTGTCATCAGTTGCCATCCCGTTGTGCAGTGATTTTTTTGGAGGCAAGTCGCCGATGGAGGAATCATATCAAACATCCACCATGATAGTAGACAGATTGCATTGTAGGTGGCGAAGCAAATCATCAACAGGGGAATCAAACATCAGTCATTTCCATGTCAACAGAAAAGGGACCATTGCAACGGCGAAACCATGAAAAAACAAATATAATAATTAGTGAATGTCTGGAAGGGTGATAGAAGATGCATTCATCCTCAACATTCACAAGAAATGTACTGGGTTCAGTTGCACATGTTCTTCAAGGTGTAACATCATCCCTCTCTCAAAGAAAAAAAAGATAATTATCCAAGTTTGTACTTTCATGATAATTATCCAAGTTTGCACTTTTAATGAGAAATCAAATTCTTAAAAAAGAAAACCACGTATATTAACCCTAACACTCCTCAATCCTTCACCTGTTGGAGGACTGAGGACTGTTAGGGTTTAGTTTGAAAATTCAAATTTGGAGAGTTCTGCTCATTAATTGAAGAGAATGAACACATCTTTGACTGGAATAGAGAAAGGCCTGAGAAGACTGCAATGAGTATAGCACGAAACCCTGCATTAGTTATCTTTGACGACTATCTTCGACAAATGCACGTGTTCCAGATAATGGATGCTGAATGCACCTGCTCTTGCATCAAGCAGAAGTGACCACTTTGACCATTTTAAATGAGACGCAGACCTATCAAGTGGTCATCCAGTTTGTGCAGCTGATGGAATGCCCTTCATGTAGGCCGAGTTGTGTGATCCCATCCAGCCATATGCTCCGTGACGTATCGACAGACCAAACGAGATTATATTGAATGAGTGAATACCAGAAAGTGGATGAAGGTCTATGACCAAGGCACAAAGTAATTAACATAATATACCAGCTTCTGCTGGTTGTATTAATTACTGGTTTGCTGTGCTGTACATGTTATAGATAACTATATGCAAATGCAAGAGGCATTCACGAAGCCTTCATGGAGCAAAATTGTACATCTATTGTAAGTGTTCTTTGAATTATCAATAGAATTTTTTTGAAACAAAATCCCTGTCACACAGGAACTGCAACATCTGGGATAAACCATCTGTTTTTTTCCAACTTATGATCAACATATTACTTTGTGACAGTGTTTTGAAGAGAAATGACAAAATGATAACAAAGCAATCTCAAAGCCTTCATTTGGCAAGCACATGAGTTGTTTGCATTATGTCACTTGAATCATGTCTATGAGCCACGGAAGCGTATGCAAAATGTCCTAAATAGTGATGTCTGCATTTGCTATGGCTCTCTGATCAGCTTAACTTTCTGCTGTAGGACCACCACACCTACCCTCCACTGGATTCATGGCAGCATCGTGTAGCAAGGTCGCCAGGCTCCCAGCACAAGCTGAAAGACAGAGAGAAATCAACACAGTATCCCCACGTTCCAGGAGTTATTCAACCCAATGAGGGAAGACGGGACAAAGAGAAAAAAAAAGAGTCACACAACTGACAACTAGAAAGTGGTCACATGTGCCACCTGTGAGTAATCCATTTGACCTGTGAGGTCGAATGGATTACTTCAATGTGAACTCCAGACCCATGTGCACTGTACTGGTAACTACAATCTCAGTGGTCAAAATGTTTTTGACAAAACAGGTCACATCTAAATTAACTGGCTATGGCTGAAGTAGCGCACAAGTTGAATATGAAAAGTCACCGTAGTGGCTGGCCAGTGGCTTCCATGTGTGCACATATCATTTCCAGCCGCAGCCATATTATTCTGGGACATGTCGTATGCCATTTTTACCAGGAATCCATAAACATCAAGTGATCTTTTGATTGGTGTCATGAGGGAAAGGTGGCAGGGAGATGCCCCCCCCAAAAAAACAAATAAATAAAATAAAAAAAAGGAGGCAAAGAAAAGAAATGAAAGCATAGAGATGAAAGGGGGTGGTGAATATGTGTGTCACCAATATGATTAAAAAATCTTCTGACTGCTCATTTTTTTTAGCTGACGAGTGCTTTGCCCACTCCCCTTGCCCCCTTAAAAATGGTTCCCCCTCCCAGGAACAATCCTGGCAATGCCTACTGATCTGTTCATTACCTACCTGAACCACAGGAAAACACCCTCTCCGCTTGTTTCTCAGAGAAACATCACCCAAAAAATAAATGTTCAGTTTTTCACGCCAGCACCGCAAAACCAAAAAAGAAAAAAACCAGCACGCGCAGAATGACAAAATAAGCTCCACAAATCCCTGCGTGAGCCACGCCCGGCTCAGATAAAAGGTCAAACAATATGCATAAATTTGAGACATCGCCAGACAGGGACACCTGTGTCAATTCTTTTGGAGAGTGGCAGACCAATTTACGAGCAGCCGAAATTGGAACACTGCCACTCAAGAGACAGTGCTATCTAAATTTACAGCAGCCGTCAAACACACAGTTGCTTTAACAAATATTTATTGATGGTTAAATGTAATCCCAGAAATTAGGGGATTTGTGTGACATTTTCGCATCCCTGTTACATCTGACCTTTGTTATTTGACATGGATGTATCCCCATAGTTGTTTTCAAATAATTACTATTTGTTTGGCAGGTAATTTGCATGAATTCATCACTCTTAGTAATGACAAAACGTGTTCTGAACTTACAAATCATATGTCAGATGTAACAGGGACACGAAAAAAATTGACCCCTAATTTCTGGAATTACCCTTAACAAAGGTTGCCTGAAAGGAGAGGCCATCCGAGGGCTGGTTGCACTGTACAACCCATACATGTGGCTGTCCAATATTTGTACACCACATGCATATGATCCCAAAGGTTTTCAATAAGGAAATTAACCTGGCTCAGCAAGTATGTACAAGAAGACAGACTTCACTTGGGCAACAACCTTACCATCGAAATTGGGACAGAGCCTTCAAGCAAGGTCCTACAAGTGTACGAAGATCAAATGGTTCTTCTTGGCAACATCAATCTTGCCTCTTTTAGAGGAAGCTGTCAGTACAGTGAGACATGACAGCACTCGAGAAAAACAAAAACTGAATTGAAATCGAAATACAAATATTCATGTGCATGAGTCAGGCCGGCAATCCTAAATGTATTAATACATGAGTCATTGCTAAGTAAGAACGGACCGCTGTTGCAATCAAGTTCTCCCACCACCAGTGAGCATTTCAGTAGAGTGCATGGAACTACATTACCAGCACAAGTAACGTAACAAAGGCACCACACCAGAACGAAATATGAGTGTTTGGTCTTGCGCAAGCATTTTTACACTGTAGGATGCACCTACTGCATGGTAATAAAATGCATTTGTGGTACAATTTCAAACCGGCAAATAACTACAATAATAGAGATAGCAACTTGTTACAAAATTTTTATTACGCATATGTGACCCGTCACAACAAAATGAGCATAAAGTCGCATCCCTCTCTTTCCAGGTGTGAGGGTTCAAAGTCATATTGAAGTAGAGGTGGACTTTTGGGTTTTGTACTATTTAAAAGAGTAACCTGCCTCCTATTTAATTCCAATGAATTTGCAGAATCACATATTTTAAAATTTCATTTTCTTAGCAATTTTGTCAATGTCGAAACAATGTCGGGAACAAAGGCGCAGAGCTGCCATAATAATGCCACATTGTCACGAAGCTGCCAGAATAATGCCACATTGTCACCTTATACTTCTACCCTAAGTGTTCCATGTACATGTCACTGGAAAGCTCTCTTTCTGCTGAATTCAAAAATACCAGTATCTCAGTTTTTGAAAATTCCGACTTTCAGCTCATTTTGTGGTGACAGGTCACATATTCACATGTCACAGGGCATCAAGGGTGTGAACAGTCACCAATGTCTACAAGTAAGTTATCACTACACAGACATGAGATTTCCCAGAATACTGGGACATGTATGTATGTATATCCAGCTGACTGGGAAAATGATACCAAGAAGGAGCAAGGCCTAAGTCCATTGTAGCCATCTAGTATCCCACCACAAGCACAGAATATGTGTACATTTGCACACAATGTGCGCACACAGGCATTCAAGGGTGGCTACAAGCTAACCACAATGCCCTAGGTTTCCTTCAACACAATTGGTGCCAATGCCAATGGGCATGATGAATGGAGGGAAAGCCAAGCTGGAGTCCAACTAAGAACTAAGCCAATCAACGAGGAAACAGGCGTGTAACAAGCACAAGACAATCAAACACAGAAAACAAAGCAGACACAAACACAGAACACGCACACCCCATCCGCCTTGAGCAGAAGCACCCCCTCACCGGGTGGAAAAGAGCCATGATGGTCGGGAGTGTTCATTTTTGTTAGTAGCTACGCAACCGCAACGCCTGCATTTCATAGTCACTGAACCAGCGAAGGGCAGTTCCTAGGGGCTTCCGTTAGTAGGAAAATTGCACTTTCTCTTGGTCGCACTCGGGGTAACCAGAAATTCTAGCCAAGCAATGTGGAGTCATGTATTCCATGTATTTTTACTGCAGGGGAACAATTTGTTTCCTGGCAAGAAGGCAAGTAAAGGGCACTTTTGTTGGGCTTGTCCCTGGGTTGTGTTTCATGCATTTGGGTCATTCCACGAAGTTCGGGCCCAGTTTGTGACGGCGTCCCTTGTGACATCAGTGAAAATAAACATCTTTTTTCCCTGCATGTGGATTCTAAATTGACATGGTTCTAAATCTTGCTAGGTTCTTGTAGTGGTGTGCTTCATTTTTGCCGAATAATAATGTCTTAATCTGTTGAAATGTGGAAATAATAGGCAATAAAAGTTACTGATGTAACAAGGGACGCCGTCACAAACTGTGCCCGAACTTCATGGAATGACCCATTTACAAATGACAATACATTACAGGGAAGGTACAATGCATGAAGGCACAGCAAACTGGTTGCTAGTCCCACCCACTAAACACACATGTTCTTCAGAATGTGAAGCAAGGGCTAGGAACCAGTCTCAACTATTCAAGAGAGAGCTTAAACCTACTTTAAACACATTACTACAGCATCGCAAATGGCACTGCGAGTGGGTTCCAGGATACTGCTTCCACTAGCAATGAAATTCTGTACATTCAGGAGGCTCAGTGCACAGAACAAGCTAGTGAGCTTTACAAGAAAAGTAACGTAACAAAAGTAATGGACACCAATGTGAAAGTGAGAGCAAAAGAAACAAGTTGGGACTTAGCAAAGGCCTACTGATTTGGTACCCGTTGCTTCTGTAGGCATGTCACGAGAGGAAAGAATTCAGAGATTTGAAGTCTAAGTCTACGGTCATGCAGGCAACTGCTCCTAGCACTACAGAATCTCAGGCTGAAACACACAAAATTACCCATCACAAAAGGACAGACAAATCTAACATGCACACTGACAAAATCCCTTGAAAACCCGGGACTGTATTTGGTCCCACGGCACATACCATTGGCCAGCGGATTCTGTCCAGGCTGTGAGCTCAGCACGTGTTTCATCTTCTCGTAGCAGGCAAAGTATAGAGCGTGGGCAGGCCCCGCCCCACAGGCCACTGCGTGTAGCCCCCGCACCATGCCAAAGGGCCCCTCGTTGCGGATGATGGTGGCCATGCCGTTGAAAACATTCCTATAGCTGCTGCTTGGCGACGGTCTGATCGTCTGCATTCTCGTCTGTTGCCAAAATGAAATACAATACTTGTTGTTTTGAAAGGGAAATTTCAGAAATTTCTCCGGGGGAACAGCTTTATTTGATCTTTTTGGGGTACGGGTTCTGTAGTTGTTGGTTATGCAACACGTCAGAAATTGCACATAATTACTGGGGTTAAAAATGGCCCCAACCCCCCCATCCCAAAAAAACTGCAAAGGAAAAAACAGTTCGTTGAATGTGACAAAAAGTAAGCTTTTGGTGAATTTTTATAATGTTAGGGGATTGAAGTCAAAGACTTCATTTTTTTTACAGACCTATACTGTATTTTAAATTTGTATTTTGACAAGTTCACAATGAAAACTGTGAATATATACCCCATGTTTTCCACTCACTTTTATTGTTTTGTAAATATTCACATGGCGTATCTTCAATGTCACATACACTTGTGCTAGTACTGTGAATATGTTTGGCATTGCCGCTTCCAAGTCAACCGTAGAAATTGGCAGGTCGATATGAGTTCAACAACCGATAAATGAACGTTGCCAATAACTATTATTTGTGAATTCACTCCCAAAGAAATATCTGTACTTTGGAACTGGGGCAAGTACAGCTTTTTCATAAAACTGTTATCCCATGCATATTTCTGTTGGACGGAGAAAAGCTATGGACACTAAAATTTGTCCCTGCACCTGGCTTCACTGCCAAGAGCTATGACCTGCGACTGAAATCTGATGAACTATGTTCAACCACTTCCTCAGGTTCCAGTGGGGAACATTTACTTCTTTCATAGATACCAGGGCAAGGTCAAGCAATGTAATCTTTCCTTCCTCGGGTTATCAGTGTTCGTTTTTCCTGAATGAAGCAGGGCACGCTTGCTTGCTTTTCACTGAGCTGGTTTACCCACACAATCAGAATGGGGAGTGTTTGAAACTACATCCAATCTGCTGACTGCACAGCACAGACTTAATGACGAGACAATGTTTACTTTAATCTGCGAATCAACAACAAAAGTTTGTAAAAACTCCTTGCACTAAACAAAAGCTGTACAACAGTTGAACTTGAAAGAGAGAATGAATACAAACCCTACCACGCAGTATCATTTTATTCGTATCATTTAAACCTTGTCAACCCTTTCTGAAATAAATCCTAGCTTTACAGTCGACTATTAATATGATGGGTCAGGACAGCGCACCTCAACCACTGTCAATACTTGGAATTGACACCCGTTTCCTTTTAACATATACAGTATGTGGCATTGTTTTACTGCTTGGTGTTATCTTTCAAAGGTTCAACAAAGCTTCAACATGAAAATGTCCAGGAAACTGAGATTGAATATCAGACTCAATCTCAGGCCCACATAACCCCTACTATATCGCTATTCTGTTAAGCACATGTGCAAATATAAATGGGAAGGTATTTCTAATGAAGCATGACTTGCAGACTTGCACAAAAGGCCCAAAGCAACAATGCAACGTCATTGTTGGCACAGAGCTCTCCACAGTTTGCATAACCTCTGACCCTAGACCTCCTCTCAACTTTCTACAGCACAGATATGGAAGTTTGATTCACACATTTGTATGTATTTCATGCATGTACAAGTATGTGCATTGTGCCTTCCCACGTTGAAAAGTCTTAAGTTGAACGGAAGTATGTGAGTCCCATCAGAATACCTTGCTTGTTAAATTGATGCATTAACCCTAACCTTACCCCACCACACAGAATTAAACAGTAGTAAAGTGTTTAATTCTGTGGGGATAGGTCTAGTGGGCCCAAACAGCTGGCTTTTGCATTGGGTTTGGCATACCTCAGAAAAACAAAGTCCAACAGTCTCTGTCCCATATGGGTGTTTAACTTTGTGTGAATGGGGAAGGTTAGGGCCAGCAACCCTTGGGCAGTTAGCGTTAAATATAAAATCAACCTAATGGATACTGCATGGTAACGTGGCTGGAAACCTCTCAAATGTTTACTAATGATTCGTAGCTCAACAAAATGGGTCCCCTGTTTCCTTGAAAGAGGGCTGTTCCGATCACAGATCAAATATTTGATCATCAACAGAATGTTTACATAGTTTCTTATTTTTTTAAGTTGCCGCACTTATGATGAAGATACAACGGTATTGGGTACTACTGCAGAGTTATTTTAACATTTTATTTAACCCAAACCTGGCCAACTACCCACCCTTGAAACGTAACTTCCATATCAAATTCGCCCATAATCTTCATTTAAAACATGTTGCACACATGTACATGTGTACTGCAATATACCGCACTACCAGATGCAATGCTTTCTTAATGGCAATTGTTTTGCTAATCGGTGATTCATGGTTCCTATCCTATGAGCGAGTTAAAGCCCATGATTGGCAAGCTTTGAATACTGGCACATTTTGGTCCACAACTACTTTTATTATTCGACAATGAACAGCCCTTGCCAGCAAGCAGGCTGCCCCTCCCCCTCCATTCTTCATGGACCCACCCCTTCCGATGAGTCACTGGCCGTCTCTGAGTTGCCGCAGTACAGGAAGAAATTGACAGAGTTGGCAGTCAACGGCGTAAATGGTGAACAGGGAGTGGTGCATGTTGCGTACGTTTACACAAAAACACTTCAGATGGAAGCATGCATCGATACCGCTGTGCAGCTGCTTGGTGTATCGGACACAGAGCCATGGACTACATGCGCATATACATGTGCTAACTACACTACTCAAAAAAAAAAAGTTACGGACCACTTTTTATTTTGTGTATACTTTCTTTACATGAGACATTTTACTGCAAAAATGTACATTGTTTTGAAACATTTTAATTTTCTATTCCAATGAGAACACCATCTACACAAACAAAACATGAAAGAACTAGACCCCGCTCATTGCTTGGAACAAAAATTACAAGTCAGGAAAAAATTGGTCCTTAACTTTTTTGGAGTAGTATACATGTATTTTTGTGAAGTTACAAGAATACCAATCTGATTGGCCCATTTATGTTGACAAATACCAAATCCCTGCATTTGGTATTCTGATGGAACAATAGACACTTTTTAAGATTGGTTTATGAAATGTTGCCACATTAATGACAAACGTGTAGATTTTGACTATATGTTAGTTCACCTTTCGGTATTCATGCATGTACATGTACATTTCTTATCTTGCATACAGCATTTCAGCTCAATCATGGTGAGTAGGCTACCCTGGTTAAATTCTTTGAGGCAATGACATTGCATTGACAGGCTGTATAGTTGTCAAAGCCACTTGGAGCCGTGCTGTCCCTGAACCTTACTGGAATCAGTGCCACTGGTAACCAATATGTGTGCCTACTTTCAGACAAAGGGGCTATCAATCTTGGCATCACTTATGCGACTTGGTGTTTCTCAAACTGAAGGAAGGGTTACACTGCTTGCTAAAAGCTTTGATGAATTCCTACACAAGATTTGATTAGTTGCTATTTTTCGATCTTCTGACCTCTACTATTAAGGACCATTTAGTTTGATCCAAAAATGTCTGGAAAGAAGATAGGGCGCTTCTAAAAGTTCCTGAAAATGTCCAAACCTGTTTGTGAGAGGAAAGTTAGGAATGTATGATTATTCTGCTCCCTGCTAATATTTTAATCAATCTGAATTAATCGGAAGTACTTAATGTTAACATGCAGCGAGTGATGAAACTGTGCAAGTAAATGTACACAAATCCAATATGAAAATATTTGCAGTGACATTACAAATTTGCACTGCTCTTGCTTTGACCATGACGTTTCACCTGTTACCCTTGTCATTCTGTAACATTTCTAACTGGGTAAACATGCTGCAAACATTTGACCACAGTTACCAAATCTCTATCTTGGCAGAGTTTGATGGAAGGCTCAAATCTCTTCTGTTATGTTCCGACTATGGTATCGGTCCCAACTACTGTTAGGACAGTCCCCACGACAGTTGGGACAATTAAACTACAGTGCTGTAATTGGGTTGGTGGAAAGAATTCCATGTACAGACGATGCTTGACACACTCTGAAAAGTTGTGTTTTCTAGGAGAAAACCCCCTTAATATTTTCCCTGCTAAATTTGACTTTTTTAGGGCATTTTATTGCTTTCAGATGACTGACAGATCACTATGGAGAAAATCAGTAGTGTCTGTAGATGGAATTCTTTCAAGGCTGGCCCCACTGTTGTTGATATGCTTGGAACAGTGCTCTTATGTACAGGAAGTGCACTTTACATTTAAAATGGTATTACCCAGTGGGAAATCAAGCACAAAACACAGCAGTAATGTTACAAAATACAGATGACAAGCTCAAGATGCCAGAACTAATCCAACCATGACGTGTCTGGCATCAACAGCAAAGAACACCTGCCTTATTTGCAGCATGCGCTCTACATCTGCCGAGCAGGTGGGATGTGCATTAATTCTGCATTGAAGCACCTGTGGCAGTAGCACAGTCTATACACGCAGCTCACAGCTTGCTTGCGAACAGTAAAATGACATCACTGGTCACTCCATTTAGTTGGGCCAGTCCATTTGCAGAACCACAGTTGGATTGGCCCACTTTGCCTGACAATGTCTGGCATTAATGATCTCCTCTTTCAAATTCATATGAGTTCGCCCCTCTCCTGCACATGACAAATCTATTAGTTACGCCGCAAACTGCATGACAGAATGAGGGTAAAGTTGTGTACTGTTTATTCACTGATGTCCGCACATATTACAGTAATAGTTATTGCTAGCACCACAAATATAGTAAATAAATTTCAAAGTTGAATTGTGGCACCAATAACAACTTGAGGCTCCAACAAAGGCCAAGAATCTGGCAGAATCTACTGGGAATAAACACTTTTTGGAAACAAGTGAGCTTTTGTAGTACAATGCAAGACTTATTGATCAAAGTAATTAAAATAAGGAACATAACAATATTCTGAGGCTACTGCAGTTTTAGGAAGTGAGAGAAATCTTTCATGTTTGTGTTTGCAAATGTGTCAACATGATGTTCAGTGTTTCAGGATGGTATATATGTTCATAGCTAAAAGAGGAGACCATTAACATGATCAAAGTCAGACGCCATCCGGCTAGGCCCACTATACATTATACTTGGCCTGGCTTTGGATGTTGGCAACCAATGACTTTGCCTCCGGGGCTTAGGCGCGGCCTAGCCTCTCTCGGCCTCACACCAGGCCACATATTCGGATTATTCCACTGCTCCTGCTTGTTCACGCTTCCAACATTTATCCCAAGCACTCACTTTAACACTATCCACAGGATACATGACACAATGCTCCATGATCCCGGCTATAGCACCGGCCATCAGGTGAGTCGTCAGTGTGGTCGTTTCTGGCAAACTTTCGTATTCGTACTCTTCTGACGCTGCTACCGCCAGTTCCAGCAGATTGCTGGCGATGCCGTTTTGGGGGTTAATAGCATTGTGTTCTTCACTGTCTTTGTCCATGACTCGCCGGTGACCGGCGCCAAAATCATAGTCTTGGATTTTTGGCAGACTATCGGAGATTCTAGGCGTATAAATGTTCCGTGGTGTCAGCATAATTTCGAGGGAAGTCGGCCTCTAAAACGGTGAAGCCCCACTCCACGTTTCTCACGCCAAGGCTGCCATCTTACCTCGCACTACCGAGTGCGCGTCACGTGACTATTTTGGGAACAGTCAATATCGTCATGGGGGTTAGACTTTTTACTGACGATTTAAAGATGACCAACCAATTGAAAAAAAACCTCATTGTGATGTTAGTAATGTCTGGTAATACTTTTTTTGTTGCAATTACATCAATTTACTTGTTACATTGCATTAATATGTTATCATTTGTACTTTCCCTTTTTAATTATATAATCACAGCGCCGTGGAATCCCTACATATTTTATAGTTTCATCTCATGGTAGTACCAAGCAAAGTGCTTTTGACGCGGAAATTGCACCATCATGCATGGTTTGTACCTGAATTTTAAGTTTTATTCATTGACTTAGAGGTGAAATTGTTTTCACTGTGCTAAATTCCAACCATTGTCCGTACATTTGTGACTGACATACAAGCGGTAAAGCCAAACAATAAACATGATGGGTTTCGCAGCTACGGACTGCATAGTACATGTAGAAGGCCTGGTGGGATTAGGGTTAAAGGTCACAAGCAGATTCTACGAACTCTAACCGCGGGAAAACGGATGATTTGCGTAACTTAACATGCGGTGGTGGCGACATGTTCTGTGTAACTGTCATGGGTGTGTTTTACAGGTAAGGAAAAATAATTGCGTACATTTCCTCGGCAAGTGAACCTGATCCGGTCAGCCAGCACATAATATCCACGTATAACTTAACTCTGACTCTCGCATTTCGTGCATTTTCTAAGTCTTCTCCAACTTAGCTTAGGGAATAAAATTATGGCCTACATCTCTTCCTAAGTAATACCATGGAGCTATAAAAAAAGCTAATGCTTTCAAGTGGGCTTCAGAGACACAGTGCCAGACGAAATGGAGTCACCCCCCCCCCGGCCCCTGGCCCGGTTCCCGGACCTACAGACCAAATACAAATAAGAGAACCTGTTCTGTTGGCCGCCTGCAGTGGCATAGGATTAGTGCAGGGAAGAAATTCTGAAAGGGTATTTAACCCCCCCCCCTTTATCAAGTGTCCTTTTCTCAACAAAAGTCCCCTTTCTTCAGGAGCATCCTTTTCTATCTTTATGAGTGTCGTACGAACTCCAGAAAATTTAACGCTATAGGAAGCACCGCTTTTTTTTTTTTTAGATTGTCCACCATGAGCGGCAACATCTTAAAAGGATCATGTGTTGCCCCCCCCCCCGCTGAGTGCAATTTTCATATGTATCATATATAACCAACCCCCCCCGCAAAAAAATGACCATAATACACCACTGCTTCGTGACATGTATCTATCCACATGGGTGTCACAAGTGGGGCAGCAAGCCTTGAGCTAGGGTTTCAGTGCCCCTCCCCCCCCCAAGGAGAAAGAGGGAGAAAAAAGAGTAAAGAGCATAAAAATGAAAATGACTCAAAATTGGTCCCTTTCTGTTATTTTTCAGTCTACTATTACTGTTAAGAGCTCGCAAACTCCATCCTTACTTCTCCCAGAAAGAGGCATGTCTCCTTTTATCCACTGTACAGGTGGTTGTCCTGCCCCACCCTCTGAACAGATTTTGAATGACATCTTGTTAGATGAGTAAGGGCCAGTCATCACACACATCACGGGTATTGGAATTACGATTCGCATAAATATATACTAAACGGGTTTCCGTCTAGCATGTAAAGGGGGAAAAATCGTGCTGTATTTACTGCCCTCCATTACTCTACTTGTCTGTGTAAAGGGGCTGTCAGGGATCAAATGTTGGAGGGGGAAGCTGAAATAGTGTCTTCAGGAATCAGATGTTTGCGGTTTAGAGAAGACTTCATATGACACACCACGTTTAACCTTTCTTTCCAGCTTGTCGGTGTTGATTGGGACATCAGTGTCAAACTAAAATGGACGTTATTGAACTGAAGTTGCGGAGAGAAGAGTTGCTGAAACAGATCACGGTCGGCAAAGAGAGACTCCGAAAGCTGAAAATGGTTAAAATGTACCGAACAAAGGTGGGCTGAAATTTCAACGTGCCCGGAACCTGAGGCATTGAACCTCTGTTTATACAAAAGGCACGGTTCTGATCGTCTGGAGTATACATGTATTAGTTTTGTTTGATAAGTTAGATGAGGGAAATTGGACTGAAGGTGCTTTTTGCTAACTCTCTTGTAGAACAACCTCACCGAATTGCAAGGCCTGATCGATAAATGGCGGACTGCCTGTCAGGCAGCCGTAGAAGAGCTTCATCACATGACATCAGAGCCGAGACCTCCAATGGGGAAGTTGATTTTGGATCTGATGGTCAACCCTGAACTGGTCCAATTCGACATGGACGCTGACACTTTTTTGTAAACGGGCCCTACTCCTCACGCGAGTGCCATGGAACTGTCCGTTGGTGCGGTGTATGCCAGCCTATCACAGTCGAGATGATGGATTTCTGCATGCAATTGAGGAGGATCGTGGGTGTCTGTAACCGAACGAACGCGAATTTGGAACAATAGCCATAACTCATTATTATGAGGTCTACAATATGGTCTGGAAGCTTGCCGCTGCTGGTATATTGCTATTGCCAACTGTAAACCAGTGTGGCCATTATATGCCTTTGGGGGCCTACCATAGGCCTATATTAAAGAGAACGAGATACAATAATAATTCCTCCATGCAATAGTACCATTGCGCATGGTTCACATGTCTGGTTTTGTAAACTACACGTTGGCCAAATTTGCGATGGGTATACGCCAAAGATCAAGCTACAGCCTCTTTGGGAAGCTCATGAGATGCATCGCTCGTCGCCCAGCGGCCCGAACAGGACTCTGGGGAGGGCAGATGGTCTTGCACAGATTTTAGTGAAGGAAATACGTCACACGGGTCACAGCTAACGCATGTTGTGGAGTAATTTCTGCCAGCCGCGCGAGCTTGCTCAATGTGCTACACAAGCGGCGGTTATCAATTCTATACTTTTTTCTTTTCCTTTCTCATTGCTGAAAATATTCTTACAACACTCTATTCGTTCATCCAAAATTATTGATCAAGATAACCAGTGATTTGAAATATATTGCCAAAAGACACATGATCAGTGATGCTTAGTGAGAAGAGAAATTACCACACTGTGATTGTACCAAGGCCATGTTTTTATCGTATAGGCCTAGCCAACACTTCGACGCCTTTACATCTTGCAGGCCATCTTTGACGCTTGGTGGCGGCAGATAGTGTGGACAAAAAAAAATTCATTAACTTGTGTACAACTAAAATTTTCATGACCTGAGCACGCCCCACGGGGCCTTTGACGGTTACCGTTCTGCATGCGTAATTATCTTCGTTTTGCATAAATCGCCCAGATCTATTATTGATTGTCTTACTTTTCTTCCACGGAAGGCATGGTTAATACAGGGATGATAAGTTTATACGACTGGTTATCAGTGAAACCTGTATCTCCATGGTAAAAGTAACGAGAAAATACAAGCTCCCCGAACCACACGTTTTGATTATCACCAGCTACAGATGAATGCCAATAACTCTTCCACCTTATGTCTCGGAGCTTATTAATTTGAATGTTGAGAAAAAAGTGGAAACGTTCCCAATATGCTGAAGTGTTTACGGTCGACAACCTTTATTGCAAGTGTTCTTGTGAGGAAAATGAAAAATATACCACGTCAAATAAGATGTTTTAAATAATAATTCAAGGTTACTTAAACCTCGTGTCTTTTTATGTGAAGGATGAAGATAAAAGGCATATGTGTCTTTAACCTAAAATATACTGATTATTGAATACATTTTACTCATTTGTTTTCGTCTTAAGTGTGTACGTGTTCATGAAAATTGTACTAGAAAAATGTGTCAACAGGTGCCACTCCCACAAGAAAAGGGCCAAGCCAGAGTATTTCTGTATAGTTCCTACTCGTTTGAAGCATAATGTTTGCATGATTCTGACCAGTGAGCTGTTGCCACAGCGCAGCCTGCATAAGCAGCATGGCCTATAAACTGAAAAACTGCTTGCACTTTGCTGGGAAGATAATGTCAGAAAATGAGTGGCGAAAAAAAAGTAACTTTAATTTTACTGTCGGGATGGTTTTTGTCAAGCAGTTTTGTAAACCACAGACAGCCATGAGACATCGCTGTACAAGAAATAGAAATACACAAAGTGGTTAGAAAATCAACTTTGAATTATACAAGTGACCAGAAAGAGATACTTCCCTTTAATTGGGCAAACTGATGTCGCCAAAGGTGTTTACTATGACAGCATGACAACACTTTATCGACAAGCTGTAACAAATTAAGGCTAACAAGCAAGTGATGGTGCGTGCAGGGACACATGTCCACAAAGAGGTACGTGTTATGAATTTGCGGCTCTAAGACAATTCAAAAGTGCCAATCGCTCGATAACGGTTGTCCTTGAACTCGTAAGTGGGACTTCTTGCTCCCGCGCCGAAACAGCCCAACCCACGGCATCGGCAACAGTCATGTTCCGTCTTGGTAAGAGTCAACCAGTCCGTTCATTCCCTCTGGTGAGGAGGTTTCACCCGCTTGCTGCATGGCACCCGAACATGCTGGTCATCGTTTGGCGAAAATCTCGATTGCCCAGGCCGTAGATAAGGGGGTATATCGCGGTGTTACTGTAGGTGAAGAAGTGCGTAAGAGTGTAGTAAATGGACGGGGGCGCTCGGTTCTGCATGAGGAGTATGGTATGGGGAATCCAGCAGATGCTCTGGAAGAGCGCAATAGCGAACACCAGCAGTGTAAGCTTGATTTCCCGTCGCCAGCGGGCCTTTGACAGCTTGCCGACCCGGCGGGCGTTGTCGTTCACGGAATCAGTGGAGCCGGTTGAGTCATTGAAGGGCCCCTCTTGGCCTGCAGGGACAACTTGCACGGCAATGGCTTGCAGGTGTCTTCGAGCAACGATGAAGATCCGCAGGTAAATGCCGAGAAAGAAAGGAATGGACACCAACCTGTTGGCCAGATAGAAGAAACGGTAAGCACGGGATGGAACCAGATTGTAGAGTCGGCATACGGATGTCCCATTGGAATTGGCCCCATTGGCAGTCGCCTCCGGCGAAACCGCGGTCGTGGAGAGAGCTCCAGGAACGACTGCGCCAACCACAACTGCATAAAACACGATAGAGGCCAGGATTCCCAAGACGCGCGACCCGGTGAGGATACGCTGTACAGCGAACGGGTGAAGGATGGTCAGGTACCGCTCCACCGTCAGCGCAACGACGGTCCACGCGATAACTATGCCAAAGACGAGAAGGACGCAAGCGATGGGTAGGCAAACTGCACCGTAGTTCAGTATCTTCACATTCACGAGGCTCTGCAGAGGGTAGGAGAGCCCGACCATGACGTTGGCGAAGCTCAGGGTCATGAACATGTAGTTGTTCACGGTGCGAAGCTGCCTGTTGCGGAAGAACGCAGCAAACATGCAGCCGTTGGTCACCACCACCGTACCGGTCAAGAGAATAATGAGGAACACAACCAACACCAACTCCCCTGCCGCAACCATTTTTCTCTCGGAGTTCTTCTCGATATAATAATCAAATGAAAAGATAAAGAGACATTAATAATCACGGATATGATGGTTAAATCAGCACAGCCATTTATGATAAAAATCGTTGATTGTAGAGTTGCAATTCGGCAACGGGATATTAAGGTGTGCAGTTGTTGATCACTGAAAAGTTTCAACGCGGAGTGCCAGTAAAAGTACTTCGGGATGGACTACACATTGATGCTCTAAAAATTGATGACGAGAAATTTGAAACTGACAAAAATGCATCTCAGTCCACCGTTAACTTACATTAAATTTCATGCGCTCTTTTTAAGCATTTGCAGTCTTAACACTAGAAATTGTTCTTACCGTGAATAAGGCAAATTAATGAGCGATGCTCGATTTTTGCTCTCAATACGGATATGATGTGGAATTCTCTCGAGCTCTGAATCAGGAAAGGAATCTTCTGCAATGTGCTTGGATTTGAACAAAGAGGCTATTAAGAAGGGACTTCACGGGAAAGTATAGTGTGCAGTCGTGGTGCTGGCAAGCTCACATGATTTGGCCAATCAGTCATCGTGGATGAGGGACAGACTACGCAATCGGTGATTATGCAAAATAGTTCCTCAGGCTATTCCATGCATGTAGACCTACCGTAAAGAAAAATACCGATTTGGCAAGATCCAATACTCGTATAAGGTCAGTAATTGCAGGGCTATATTGTTGTTCTTGTTTCGTTTGATTTTTAGTAAAGTGCCTTCGATTAACTTTTGAAGGAAAAAACATTTTTTTAAAAATCATGTAGCGAATGACTCCTCAATTGACATGACGTTTTGTGCGGCTGTGAAAACTAAAAAGTTAAGTTTGGTATGTAAATAATTCCTCTTCATTTGACTTTTTGACAGAGATCTAAATAAGCATTTCTGTAACAACAGCCTTGACTCTACAGTTTGGTATGAAGCGATTTAAATGCTCGACTTCGTGTACATGCATGAGACTTGTATAGAGATTGTGCATGGTAGCCATCTTTCCGATAGTACATATACTCGTATAAGCCTTGTTAAATTCAGCAATTATGAGGTTTAACCGACCACGATGAGCTAGTCCAGTCGTTTATTTCACTTCGTTTGGTGCAACCGCTACGCCACCAAAAATGACTGTGTAACTACGCCGTAATTTGTTGCGTTAAGGCGCCTTTCCACATGCGCGTCAACACTTGCGCCATGCGTTGCATATACGTCAGAATCGCTCCGAGATCGAGAGCGATTTTGACGGCCGAACGCAACGCACACGTGTGTCAAATTACTGCAGAGTCGATGTTTGTGTCCGTGAAAGTGAAACACATGAATCATGCACCCAAAATGTAGGCCTACATAATTATGGAAAGGCGCCTTTAGTCGCGGATTGACTAATAATGTAATCCGACCACAAGAATTAGGGCTGGTTCATACTTGCTGCGTTTGCTTACACGCAGCGCGTAATGGTCACACTTTCATATCATTTTCTCAAGTCTCGGCTGCATGTGCGTATCCGACAGAAGTTAAACATTTTTAATTTTTCCGAATCCGGTTCGTAAGTGACTGCGTCACAAAGGCGGACGGGCCACGATTTGCAGGCTTTCATTGGACAGTCGCTGAAGTTTCCGGTTCCATGGTTCCACATAAACGGCGATGTGCAGTGGGCGTGGTTCAAACTGAAGTGACGTCACACTTACGAACTGGATACGCATACATTTGGTGCGTACGCACTATCCATTTAACAAACTGCGTGCAAGAGCGCACATTTTCATTACGCACTGCGCTTTTGTTCAGGTTGCACTACACCAAATACGCCCCCATAGAAAACACTGCAAAATCGGACCAAAATAGCGCCGCCTGTTGACTCTCGTGAAGAGGTTGGCCTCCGTGTTTTCACTGGAAATTGAACATTAATATTTCTAGGATCCGTCCTGCATGGCCTGTCTGATTGTAAAAATCCCGTGGGATCACAAAATATTAATGAGCTCGCGCGCAGAAACACAACCATTTGGTGGAATACACGACCCGCCTTTAGAAGCGATTACTGCTGTGATACAACGCTCGTGGACAGGTGGTACGCGCGCGTTACATGCCTCTTCGACCAACTGGGTGTCGTGATATGCCAAAAGTACGCACGCGCGTCAAGCTGAAGAATGTGCGTGTGAGTGCGGTGCCACCATATAATGGAGATCAATGGGTGCCACCGCAGTTATGGCGTCTTATCGAATTCTATACGCAGTGGGCAAGTCTCGTGAAATCAATCTTAATTTGTTGCACAACTTACGCAATGAAATGTGGCGTAAGTGGGGCTACGCCACTGGGAAAAGTTTCGTTAAATCGGCGGAGGGATAGCACCGCTTTACTGCGATTAGCTTCCCTGAACACACCAGATACACATTGAATACACATTGATAGCACAACTACCCCTGCGTGTCCGTGTGGCGTGGAACGAAGCTCTTAATTTACCGGGAAAATGGTTGCCGTGCACAACCTCTATTAAAGTGTTAGGGCGACGTACGTGCGGCGCTAGCGCTTGCGTTTTTGTTCTTAATCTGCATTTATCTTTTTAGAAGAACTTTCAACCAATCAGCGCAGCTGATGCCTTGTTAGTCTGGCCCCTGACGATGTCACTTAAACAAAAACGACGTGGTGAATAAGGAACCAGGTGCGTGGGGCGAGGCCCGGCTGGCCAGCCCAAAGATTGTATAGCGCCGCGCTATACAATCTTTGGGCCAGCCGGCCGGCCAGCAGGGCTAGGCTCCGTCCGTCCCTACGGACAATCATTGGAAATGCGTGGAGCTAGACGCGCAGACAATAGACCTAGCTACCTAGCCGTAGCTCTGGAAGCCCGTTTCGGAGATTAACACACCCTGCAATAAGTGGTAGGCCTATGTTTAAAAAAATTTAATTATACAAAAATTTTCGTTATTCATATTTTGTGGACATTGTTAGCAAAGTGTGGGTACAACTTGCAATACATCTGGTTTATTTTTTCCTAAATTCAGCTTTCCAGCTGTGAGACTCTGCTTCAGCCTTCAACAGTGTTAACCGTGTCACGTAGCATGATTAACGGTAGGCCTAGGCCGAAGTGACGTTGTGGCTGCATTACCCAGATCTGCCTTTGAAAAGTTCAAGGCTTCAATTTCAACAATGAGCAAAACAAGGAAAGTCTTCATCCCTCCCACCAGAGACAATTATGTGCCTGTGAAAAAACTACAAGAGGTGGAAAAGACTCAGACTGACAACGAAAGTCACACACGAAAAAGGGTTCAACATGTTCAGCAGACCATGGCCATGCAGACCGGAGTTCGGTCCGCAGGTAGGCCTAATTCGGTGTTCACTACATTAACAAGAAGTTCAACACCTGGTGCACGTCAGTCCAATTACCAGCAGGACGATGAATTCTTTCTGCATGATAACAGCTTTGCTGAAAACACAGTGTGCGGTGATGTTTATGAATTTCGGAGCTCTCCGTCACAGTCATCAGTCTCAAACTCGTCCAGAGAAACTCAGCATCACAGAAAGGGCAAACAACCTTCAAAGGAGGTTAGAAAAAGGAAGGTAAATTACCACACTTCCACGCTTCCCTCTTTTGTTGCTGACGTTTTATTAAAAAGATGAGAATATTTACTCTATTTGATTAATAGAGGCCTGTGACGTCACATTACAATGTACTTTGTAAACTTGCTCAACTTAGGGACTCCTGCTTATCCTATTTTTTGTACCAACTCTGAATGCACAAGGAGTCGGCTGTAAGTCCTGGAAAAATTGGGATGGGTCAACCTTTCTGCCTTCTTTACTGCTACTTACTAGTACTACTACTGGTATTTTCCATTGCAGGATGCTGTCAAGAAAGATGTGTTGAAGAACATTAGGAAAATGCAGAGAGCACTAATACTTTTAAGAGAGCGAGAAAAATCCTTACTGGTTACCAGTGAATAATAAAAAAAAAAACAGGTAAGACCAAAAATAAGGGATCACGGGAAGTGGCATTCCATTGCACCTGTCCTTTCTAATTTCTCCCTGCAATTTATTCAGTCAGGGCAAACAGCCTACAGTTCAGAACTGTGACAGACCAGAGCACATACTTGTGTCACAAGTATATTTTAACCAGAATGCAGAATTCCATGCATAGTTCATACGTGAACAGTTCAACCATGTTGAGCCTCGTGTGCATTAACTCACCTTGTTTCCTTCCCGAGGCTATATTGTCCCTTTTTATTCACTTTACTTTGGGTAAATTCTCACAACCAATAAATTAGCCAGCTTAGAAGCAAGAATTCTAGCCACAATCAACATTGGAATGATATCATTTATAACACAGTTATCAGTTCGCTCATCCTTGTGGGACATTTCCTATGGCTTCCACTGAGATTAAACAAATTTGTAAACATCTTTGACTAACCATATCCCCACAGCCATACCCGTTTCTTATAATGCCACAGGTTTTCAAAATTTCTACAGCCCTGTTATGAGACCATTTGAAGGAGCAATATCCTATTGGCAACAGTAATTTAAACAAGAAATGAGTTACAAGGGAATAAGAGTATATCTAATCCCACAGCCAAACAAATCTGAACAGATTATTTGAACAAACTACAAGAACAAATTACTTTCCCCTTTTGAAAACCACAGCGGTGACTCTAGGCACTCACTGCCTCATTGTGTATATTGGCTCCCAAAGGCCCCCAACTGTGAATCAGCACACGCAAGGGGAATCCAAAAACTTGAGGACAGGTTAGGTATTTGGGGTTAGATTGACTGTTGAATGCAAGCGCCCTTTAGAAACCACATGTGATGAGCAGGTTGGGTTCCAGTCATGGCATATATTAAAACTGTGACCGACATGCTTTCGTTTCAATGCACTTATTGCATAGAAATCACCTTTTAACTTCATAGCAAATTGAAACGATTTTCCACCTTAATATGCAGAACATAAAGAGACAAAACATGACCATACCTTTTCTCTCATCAATGGTGTTACAAGGGTCTTTTCAACACAACAAAAACAGGCAGAAAAAAAGTGACACCATACCTGTACTTTGTTTAGTAAACCTTAGTTTTAATGCTTTTTACCTAAAAAATTAACAGTTAAAAAGAAAATATACCTTACACAAACTTTAAGTTGTTAAAACAGACAAAGTATATATGCTTTGCATAAGATTTGGAAGAGATGCTAAAATAAAAAATAATAATAAACTTAGTAAGATGAAACATATTTGCACAATTTTATCCAAGCTTGGGAAAAAAGTTCAAAGGAACAAAACATATTTATATAGAGAGACTACATACAGCAAAATAAAAGAACTGAAAAAGTTACAACGTCTGCTATTATTTCAGTTCTGTGAAGCAATATACTGGCTTAATTCAGGTCTGGTAGGGTTGAACATTTCAAGCAATAATGTTAACACTGCTTGAATAAGCAGAGGTATTAAGACAAAGGGAATTACAATTTAGACCAACACCACATCCTGGTTTCAGTAGAACCAATTCTTTTTCTCCTTTCGCCTACAATTAAAGAACCGCCAGCCCAAAATTAAGTATCTTGTCAAGTTTGTAACAATTCATTTCTTACAAACATGCCACTGCTTTATGTAGCTTAACTTTTGTTGTGTTTGACTTAGTTTCTAACACCCGTAGACTGTTAGTTGATTGTTAAGCGATATGCAGTACGTGCATCAAGAAATGTATACGTAGAATAAAAAAGTGCTCAACCGTCAGGGTGGTACTTTTATGACAACATAAAAGGTTGGGAAGGGGACATAGGTCAATGTACCAGCTCAATACTGGACACACATCAAAACACTTTTCTTTCTAATGCGCATCATTAGATAAAACAAGATGTGGTTTTAGGCCCTTCACTATAAAGAAGAGGCTAAGACAATGTTGCAAGTCCACTGTTTTTCACCAAGTCAGTCCTGCAATTATTCAATGATAACAATCAGCAACAGGTTATATAAAAAGTCACATTACTGTATCATTTTTTTTATAAATTACAATAACACTACAATGTCAGTCAACATTCAGTCCGTATTTACCCAAATTGCAATTAATTTATTTTAGATGAATAATCAGAATTCATTGACAAAAGCTTGTAACAATATGGACTACCTAATTCATTTAAAAAGATCAACAAGTTCATGCACCTCTGTGTATGGTCCACAATGCATACAGTGAAAGGCGAATATGGCTTATCTGTAATTTTCACGAAGCTTGATCATTATTTACATATATCTTTGTTTTCATTGAACTCTACGGAAGAAAGTTTTGTACAAGCAAAATTGGCAAAAAAAAGGCAACTTCTAAAAGGCACTGATTAAAAAAAAAAAACCAAAGTTTCGCACCACTGAGAATATAAGAGGCATTAAATAGTGACTACTCAGTATCCCCAGCATTGTTTTATTAGTTGAAACAGAAGTCACAGCTGCAGAACCTCCGACTGACAATTTCAATACAAACCCAAATACAAAACACCCTGAGGTCCTTTTTCTGTTACACAACAAAACATGATAATCAGTGCCATGCAATCCGTCTTTTCCCACTTTCATCATAATAAGAAAGCCGGATAGCACTGGTGTCAGACTGATCTAGCAGGGACAATTCCTCAGGCTGTTGGAAGCAAAGATTGTATAGCGCCAAAGGCGCAAGATGGATAACTCTGCCCAAAAGGTGTAATTACCATGGGCGCCATTTGAGCAAGTGATACGCCTGTACGGATTACGGTAATGCTTCGGCCGGGGCTCACCAGGTGCACGTGCCTGCCGCGGCGTCAGCACGTATGCAGTAAAGTGCGTTGCACAGGCGTATCGCTTGCTCAAATGGCGCCTATGCGATTACAATGTTTTACGTGTATTTGCGGTGAAGTTCTCCATCTTGCGCCGCTACGCGGCGCTATATGATCTTTGGTTCGAACTCATTTTGCGATGTTGACAAGAAACCAAAAGTAATACCATACACATTTTGACTCCTTGATTCCGGTTAGAAGCTGAGGCTTCCACAGTTTTGCCTAGAGTGGTGATGGGGGGGGGGGGCGCAAGGGAAAAGTACACAACAAATGAAGGGACTACCACCTGGGTCTAAAATAACTTCTATCAAAACAAGCAGGAACTCTTACCTTACTCTCAAAGCAATTCCTCTAAATAAACCAATTTTAAGCACTGTGCATCCTTCTTAATGGTAATTAGAACAATCCGAGGTTGAAGTGCTCTTCAACATTGCTCAGATTTGTTTTTTTATATCTTGGATCTTGTTTTTCTTTCTTGTGTCTGAGGTGCAATAATGACCAAAAGGCTGAGGTGGTCGCCGACATAAGTGTAACGGACCAACTCACATTGGAAAACACACAGGATGTCCCAATGGCTACTTCTTAACGTTTTTCACTCCCAAAGCACCTCAATAATTAATCAAGTTAAAAGAGGAACAACAGGTTTTATTCTCAAAGTCCATGAATCAGACTCCCTGAACAGACAGGAATGGAAGTGCCAACTGACAATCAGGGACACAGACGCAGACGAATGGCCTTGTATGTTCTGTTATTCCAAAATGAAAGAAACTAATTTGGGAACTTCATTCATTCATCTCAACATGCCTTGGGGATGCTTTGGGGTTGGGGCAGATTTCATTAAATCATGACAGGTTTGACATCACCATTAAATTACATTAGAGGTATCACGTCTAAACTGTCAAAGAAACATATGGTCCTATACCATATATAACACTAAACTGAAATTAAAAGGGAAAAAATTAACCCATCCCCCCCAAAAAAAAACCCTACTGGTAATTATTTCTGAAATCTGTTGATGAAATTGGCTATCTGATGAAACGCATGCTTCTTGTTGGTTTTGTTTTAACAGACAGATAGATGTCATTCATGAAATTCTGGGGGAAAAGTAAGGTGCCTGCTTTTTGTCATCGTCCGGTTCCCAGGATTCTGTGGCTGAACATTCCTCCTCTTCATCCTTCACATCTTCTATTCTGTACGGAGAGTGGATAAAACGACATTGAAAGTAATCAAAATATTGTCTTGTATTATACACGGGCAGTCAAGAATGGAGCAGCTTGTGGATTGGGGCTGGATGAAATGTTTTTTTGTGTTTATACGTAAGCCTTTTACATAAGAACTGAATCACTAATTAACTCCTTGTAAAATAATATAAAAATGTGCAACATTAAATTAAAGCTAAGCCTTATCCACCTAGAAAGAATTTCTGTGATGCGCTCATTTGTTTACGTAATTCTTACAAATAAGTAGCCTTTTATAAACTGCATCTTTGTAATATTAACAGTTCAGTAGTGCTTCTCTTTGTTTCCGATTTATTACCAGTTCATAATATTTCACACTTAGTTTGTGCTTGAAAAGTTTAAATGTTGTATATAAATTGGCAGCTTTATTCATTGGTTTCAGCTGATGTCCAAGGAAATGTCAAATACCGTAGATCTTCATTGGAACTGTCTCCATGTCGTGTCTGCATTAACAAAAAAGAGGGAAGTTGTGGGATAGGAGAGATCAAACACGGTTTTGGTCAAACTATTCTACAAAATAAATACAAATATTTCCTTTCAATATGATGACAACAGTAAAAGAAAATAATTCAGCAGTTCTGACAAACACAGATCAAAATTCTGGTCATGGTAAATGACGTGTGTTCTAATCACAACTACGCGGGAAGGGAAATGAACACATATTGCATTGTAGCTAAGCAAAGCTATATAGATATGAAAAACAACAAATTTATGTCCTTTTCAAGCAATACACGTTTTCTCATCAAAGCGTTCAGCCACCAAGAAATGCCGGACCAAAGCAGTGAAAGCAATGATGCAGTGAAGAAAATGTACAAGAGCGTTACAACAGGAACATGTAACGGTTGTGCGCTTGGCAGGGGAGGACTGTTGAGGAACAGTGGAAGCACCTTTCATGACAGTCGTGGGGGAAAGGGGGCAGATGAAGCACCTCTTGAAAATGTGAATTCAGGTGGAAACAAGGGTTGGAAATCCGTTCCCAACAGAAGGTGAGCAATATTGTACTGCTAACCTGGAAGTGCATGCAGAGCTAATTATTTTCATTAAAAGTCACAGGTCTGATGAGCAAACCTCAGTACTGTTGTGGCACCAGACTAGTGGCATAACCAGGTCTTACGTGTGGGGAAGGGGGGAAAATAGTATCGTTTTTTGTTTTTCTAAAAGCCAATGCCCAATTTGTTTTTCCGTCCAAGAGAATCCTCAACCGCCCCCAAAAAGAAAGTGGGAGTACCGTTTCTAAAACACTGGCCCTTTCAATTCCTAAAAAAAAAATTTTTTCGCCCGTCCCCCGTTGGATATCCCACTACACCACACCCATTCACTTTTGTGGCTTCTGATGCTGGTCCCAGATTAGTCCTTGTTTTGATTATTAAAGCAGTGCAGAAAAGAGCAGCTGAGAACTAGACATGGAGAACCAGCTTTTCCATAACTAATATTTTCACGTGGCTCTACCCAGACATTAACATAAGATGGAATTTTTTCTTGAATGTCAATTCACAATTACAGGGCCAGAGTTTATTCACCAGCGATGTACACTGACAAGTGAAAAGCATGAAATGAGCTGTGAATCTGTCTCAGGCTACAGTCCCAAGAACATGTCCCTCTTCTCGCCCCCTCCCCCCAGCTTTTAACGTTTACATTCCAAATTCTCTAGCAAGCATTTGCCAGTCTGAACAAGCTAATTGGAAGCTGAAGCAAAATCATATTTGTTGCAGAAAATGAACAAAATGTAGCTGATAAAGTGGTCCTTTACTTTGGGGAAAAAAATCTGCTAGATTGGTAACTTGAGTCAGGGATGTGGACAATATTGAGAGCACCCCACATTACATGAGTGTGAGGTTTAGATGCATTTAATGAAATAACAGTCCAAATTTATGAAAGCATTTGTCCCCAACTAAATGTCCTGGACAGAAAGTGCTTGAAAAGTCCTTGAAAGATGCCTTTGCAAAGACTGAGATCCCTTTTGGGCCCTCTCCTGTCATCTGAGGACCACTGGACAAGACCAAAGACATAAAAGACTCATTTCAGTACCCTCATCAAACCTCACCCCCGCAACTGATTACGGAAAAACAACAATCACTGGCACCACATTTCAATGGCACCACCACAACCTGGTTTACGACAAACAAATCCAACTAAGCATAACCAACATGGAAACTAAAAAGAAAGTTAAAGAAAACCCCAGGCCTTTTTGAAAATTTGAAAATTCTTGAATGAGTTCCTCAGTTGATATCGTGTCCAATTTGACTCCCTAGGGTTGTACTTTGTTTTTGTGGGTAGGAGAGTCAAGCTGTCAATCACTCAGTCTGTTGGTCAGTCCAGTATCGTATCAGCACAAAGAATGCCTTTAGGTTTGAAACAGAGTTTAACTTTGAGCTTAAAACCGGCTTTCTTTTCGGAATTAATTTTTGTCACTGTCCCTCGGGGAGGGGGGATTAGAATGGTAAAAATATGATCACGGCACCCAGGTTTCCTCAGCTGGGGCAGTGCCAGGATCACTTCATGATCTAAATGAGCGACATACACACAGCAAAAATGGGTTTTGTGGACAACAAAAGAAAAACGCGGAGTTACCAGAGACTTCAATCGAATCACATCGCAGCGATTCTCACCAGCGACACAGCTGCTAAATCTGTGCAGATTTTCATCAGTAAAAGTACTATAAGGTTAGGTTACAAGCCGATAAGTTAGACATTCATATGGTCCCTTTCACAGAGACAATTTTAAAATCGTTCATAAACCAGAAAACTTGGAAATGGGGTGGGGGGGGTTGTCGACCATCAATGCATTCCAACCTTTCCTGCATGCACCCAGACCATCGGTATTTCAAATCTTTGAACAAATATAGCAGTAATTAGCAATTAATCAATCATGCTCTGACATGATGGATAAGTTGACAAGGCAGTAAGAAGCAGCTCTACCGTCTACAGCTCGATCCTCTTAAACATATTTTAAACCAAAAAAAAAAAAGCGTGGGGCAACTCACGCATTGTAGTAATCTTCGTAGAATCGCATCCGCCGGTAAAACTTGGAAAGTTTAACGGCAAAAATAATGCTTGGGATGAAGAGGATGACGCACCATCCCAGGCAGAGCCAGAAACCATTCTGCAAGATGAAACAACCGGTAAGTAGATTCAGCAGTCAGATGTGGGCAGAGATCAATTGCAACAGCAACAAAACCCAGCTTAAAAAAAAATGGAGATCCAAATTCTGAAAATAGACACAGCTAATAAAAATAAGGCAACAAAATACCAAAACAAGGCAGAGACTCTTATGTGGGTGGAAATAACACCAAGGAAGACAATATTGATACAAACAACCTTAAAAAAAAACCAAAATCCAAATAAATGGCGATAACTTACTCTAACACATGTACAGCGCACTTTACAGAGCAGAGTGCCCTACCAAGAGTCCAAAGTTTTTAAACCCTGAATTAAAAAAAGGGTAAGATTGCTCTTAGAAGGAAATACTTACAAAGGCATATACCAGGTTCTTGCACACGAGGATTTCCAAGGAATCGTACAGATTGGCAACAGGCTTACATCCACCAACCTCATTATTCACCTTTGATGTGAGGAAAAAGCAAATAGCCACACAAATTGAAAATAGAACTTCATTTAATAACTAAGTGATTAGGGGCTTCCCTTCTCTGTGATATTCCTTCATCATCTTTTTGCTTTATTTCTGGATATTCAAAAAAGTTTCTTTTTACATTTTTTATTTGCTTATTCTTTTTCACTTTGGTAGTGATTTTCTGCAAAAAAGTCCTCACATGACCGACCAAAATATAATTTCCTCAGGCTGATGCACTTTTATTACTGTGGGTCAATCCTGGGTGACAGCAGCCAGGACAAACAGTGAAAACGAAAGTCCCCAGGAGAGGAAAGCTTTATCACACACACAAATCCACACTTGCAAGGCCCAAGGGCAGGTGCTTTGTAAAGCTTTGATTTCTCTCTTGACAAGAATAACCATCTGCGATGTGATGCAAACTGGATTGTGGCACGTTACAGATGAACCCTTACAATACCACAAAGGAAAGTTGGTTAAGATTGCTGGCTAGCTATGACCTTGCAGCCAGCACAAGTAAATTGGTTCCCAATTGGTCAGTTAATCCACAAATACATGTACACTCTGCATCATTGTGTGGCATCCCACTCTCCCTGTGGGTAAGCGCAATCTGTCAAAACAACAGATTGACTCGGATTCAAAGTCCCACCGAAGAGCTAGCCTGACGGCATCTACATTTTGTGCACAAGAAGATATTTTTCTCTCTTATTCCCTAGTCGAGTCACAGGAACAAGGAAAACCACTTAAAATAAGCATTTTAATCTCACCGAGGGCTTTTAGGAAATCTCCTCAAGACAATTTTAAGATTACTTTTCCACTTAAAATGCTGAATTTAAAATCCTACACTAAGGCAAACAGTCTGAACTATTTTCTGTGATCAAAGTCAAAGCACTTAGAGCTTTTCCTTCGATGTATTGGACTTGACTAAAATACATAAATAAAACACAACAATTTATCAGAGATCTCTAAATGGTGGTTTTTTTTTTTCGAAAAACAACCCCCTCAAAAAAGGCACTTCAGCTTGAACTCACCTCCCCGAGAACATACAAGACATACTGGTCAACGTAGTTTAGGATCTTGTTGACAAACTGCTTAAGAGCCTGGGAACAAAAGAACAAAGTGATGTGGCCTATTGGCTTCAAGCACAAATGACTGAGGGCGTTCTGTGGTCTACACAGGGATGCCGGGCCAGGGTGCTTCTCAGGCACTGACAGTGCACATATGACAAAAATAAAGCAACGTCGATTGAATGTTTCTCTGGCATGTGGAACACAGCTTCGGTCCCTCTGTTGCATTATGAGAGAGTCAAAGAAATCAGGTCATAGTAAACAGCAAGGCAGATTTAAAAACAGTACTCCATTACCTACATTAAAATGCCAGGATTACAGGGAAATGTTGCTATTGGCTCTGACTATGCACATGATCCAGAGGTACAAAACTTCAAACTGTGACTATGTATGATTTCTGGTGCATTTTCATCAAATCCCATCCACATGTACCAGTGTATATTTCCCTGATAAGGGGGAAAAGTCTCTGAATTTCTTTTCTTTACCTCATTGAACAGTGTTGGACCGTGATTGTGTATGTAATCTTGAGTTTCCTGAACGTCAATTAAAGACTTGTTAACCGACGGCTGTGAACAGAAAAGAAGAGAACTGAGACGGTGCAGCTGTGCCCTCTCCAAGGCTCACAACAACACATGCAAATACAACTTTGGAAGCAAGAAAAACAAGGAAATCCAAGCTGAAATCAGCACTGTCCAAGCCTCTCAGCACTGTCGTTTAATTTACAATGCCAAAAACAAGAAGTTAAAAAAAAATCTGGGAAATAAGCTGATCCCACAAAAAGTTGCATGTCCAAAGAGAAAAATATGCCCACCTTCCAAACCAGGTTACAGCTCAAGCCTAATTCTGACAGGGAACTGAAAAAAAATTGCTCCTAAGAGGCAGGGTATGAGCATGCTTCTTAGGAATTGGACTCACAACAAAATAAAACTATCAATCAGTATTTGTGAACAAGAATAAAAGGACAAAAATGGCTCTGCATGAAGGATTGGTGATACTTACACTCAGATTGCCCACTTTGGCCATTAGAACATCTAAACTGGCCTCTAGGGTATCCTAAGGAAGAGAGTTAATGGTTGGATAGTCAGAAATCAATCTGATGAAAAAAAATTGAAAATGCTTTAAAGTAAGAGACATCCCCCACCTCCAAAAAAATGGTGTTCTGCAGTATTGGCCTTTGAAAAATTAAGAAAATGAAAGGCGATCAAAAAAGCCTGATGGAAAGGCAGACGCATGATTTTAGAAGTTCCCATCTGATGAATGACTTGGAAATTAGGAGCTCAAACTGAATTCATTTGTTTTTGTACTCAAGCTGTGACAAAAATGCCCCCAAAACCAGACTTCCTTCCGTTTTAGCTTTCCCAAATCTCACCTTCTCCTCTAGCATTCCTGCATTTTTGTCTTTAGGAGCTTAGGTCTCTCAAAATCAAACGTATGAGTGTCCATTTTCAACAATAATTCCATCTCAGTACCGTACTTGTTTTGAATTACTTGGACACTTAACAGCTGTTCACGTCACGTGTGTGTAAACTGTACTATAAATAGGTTTGGTGTGCAATCCAACATGGTGGTTATTCAAGTGTAACTAGGAGTTTGTGAATTGGTTAGAAGTTCTTAAATTAATTCTAGACAACCAAGACTTTTAGAAACTGATGTATTACATTAAATGTTGTTAGAAATAATTATTTAGCTTCTTTGCATTCAAACAGGTCAATTCTGATGCAATTTTAGAATTGAGAACCGGGGAGCTTTTGCCTTTTTGTCGCACTAAATTGTTATTGAGGGGAATAGCAGGACAATTTACAAACAGCTGCAAGGATTGTAAATAGAGAATGTCAATAGAAGTGCTGACTTGATTGGAATTCCAGATTTTACAGTTAAAGAATTGTTCTTGATTCGTTCTGAATTACTGAAGTTGGGACTGCATTTATTTTAGTCTTTTCTCTCTGCACCTAGTTTTTCTCTAGAGTAATTTCATCTTATATTTTGACCCGGATCCACGTACGACCACCATCAAGAATTGCTATACAGGAGAGGCGGAAGTCCAGAGGTTTAGGCCTTAACTATTCCGCCTGATGGCAGCGCTATTGGGGTTGGGGAGCCCCCCCTTTTTTAACTCTCTCTCTTTCTGCCTTCCGCCACAAAACAATATAAAACAGACATGCTTTCTTTTCAGTGTCATCCACGCATTCACTTGTGACACGGTTTATTCAATGGAGATGGGGCACAATTGTGTCAGTTGTTACATCGGTTCCATAAAAATGAACAGCTTTTTTCCTGCAGGTGGATTCCAAATTGACATTGTTATACACTCCACAGGTCCTGACAGGTGGTAAAAGTTGCGGATGTAACAAATACACCATCACAAATTGTGCCCCAACCTCATGGAATGACCCACATGTTTATTTCTGAAATTTTGTCGATAAATTAAGCCCGTGGCTAAAAATACATTTCAGATTAATCAATTGGAAACCAACCAAATTGAATAAAAGAGTAAAACTTCACAAACTGAAGGTTTAACATTTCTTGCATTTCTGCAGTTCACGTATGTGCCCCGCTATGCAAGACTGAGTCACCAGGGGTCGAAAGAGCCACTTTTTAAATAAAGTCCTTTGAAAGAATCTTGTGTAGTGATTAAACGATAGGAATCCTCAACAACGTTTTAACATCTACACAACGTCCATTTCCATTATACCCAACTGAGTGACACATCAAAAGAAAGAGCTCAAATTCCTCAATCTATTAAAAACAAAGTAAAACTCCACAGTGACTCTCTTGACTTAAGACTTATTTTTGCAGAGTGGGTCCCCTGTGAACTCTTCTTGGTGGGTTATTACTAAATCTTGACAGAAAATATCATGCAATAGTTACCACGTAGCTTTCCATTGGGTCAACGAGGTCCGTTTGGTACATCCGTAAAGTGTTTGCATGCAATCTTAATTTGCTTTGGTTCTGGAAAACAATGCAAGAGAAGATTTCCTTTAAAAAATAAGGAAAAGTTACACTGTTCAAAGTGACATTTCAGCACTTTCTCTGTGATCAGAAGTGGTACTTTCAGAGTAATTCACTGAGCTTTTACACACTGGCAATTTACCAAAGACAGGACCCACTCATATCACATATTTTCCGGTCCAATTTTATTCTAATTGACCGCTTTTATACCGACCGACTGACTGACCCTGTGTAAACGTCTTCAAAAACAAAAATGTTCAGACTGTTAGGAAAGTCCAAATTGCCCATTCACAGTGGAATCAGAATGTTGGTCCCTCCATCAGATATACTTGACTTCAGAAAAAGGGGGATTGGGAACCAGTGTTGAAGAAGAGTATGTGATGCACTGGTTCACTATAGTTGCCACTATATCATGCCCATTACCGGTTAAAGAATGACTTCATACCAGGGAAGGCCTTTACAGTGACAGCAATGGCCATTTACCAAATCTCGACTTTGTATTAACTCTCAAGCTCCAGAGATTCAAGACCGATAATAGAGCTGCAATCAGTTTGTGAGTTTGAACTCAGGAGACAAAATTCACAACACAAATGCTGGAAGCTGAAAGATGAAAGCAAAAGCAAGATTGGGACCATGCCCACTGCAGTTCAACATTTGGCTCCGGAGAAGTTCCTCACATTCCATGTATCTACTAATACATGCTATATTTCACTAATCAGTCGGAATAAACTTACCGAGTAAGGCAACGACAATTGTGCAAATCTCTCTAGATCAGCTGCAATGCCCGTAAGATTTGCCTGTGTGACCCCTTTCCTAATCTGTAAAGAGTTATATTGACAAAAATAATTTTTTCTAAATTTATTTTTGTTAGGTATTTGAGAGTGGTGGTGATCATTAGACCGCTTAAAAAACAAATTAAACTTGTCTCTTGTCCTGGGCACTAGGTAAAAATCAAACAGTGGTTGAGTAATGGCCCCTATGATCCCTTGGCTTTGCATACAGCAGCGACATACTAGCTTTTGATCAGTATAGAGTTCGTGCCCTGACCTCTTGAAGGTACTGTGTGTAGTTGAGGTTGGCTACTCCAGAATCGACGAACTTTGTCAAGGCCATCTTCATTTCAGGGTCCAGAATTTGAACTTGGGATAGGTCTACATTAATGTCGCCAAGTTTGGTTTCAATGTCTGGATACATCTGAAAGAACGAAAATGCAAAAGCGAACTTTGAATACAAAAGTAGTCATTACATTGAAACACAAATCAGGGATCTCCACGGACTGTCAAATATACACTACATATAAACACTGTGATTATAGCAACATAGCGTTGAAAGCCTTTACAAAAGTTAAGGTCTATGAAAGGAGATAAGAGATATTTGGATCAATGTGTCCCTCTTAGCAAAATAAAATGCCCTCATAAATAAAAGCTAATGAAATCACTACAGAAGGACAATAGCAAGCTACCAACCAAGAAACTAAGAAAAGACCTAAACAAATGAAATTTTGCTCATTCTATCTATTATTACAAGATCCCTGAAAATGAGTCTATGGAGGATTCTTAGACTTTTTTGTATGCACGCATGGGAAAAAGCAGACCTTGTGAATTCTGAGCAAGGTGGAAATGATCACCAAAATCTGTCCAAGACTTCAGTACAATTCTGTACAATCAGCCCAAGTGTCTACCTTTCTATAATCCAGCGCTGCGGTTATATTGAAGATGTTACCCAGCTTGAGTGCCGTGTACAACCCATAGTCCATTTCACAAGAGCTGCAAGACAAGAACACCAGGAAATTGGTCAACTCCCTAAAAAACTTCATTTTTTTGGTGGCCTTGTAAAATGTCGAAGAGAAAAAAATCAGAATTGCCAAACAAGGGAAAAACTGCTCAGCGGCTTTCCCCTACGCTATGGGTAAACTCGAAAGGTTAACCACTTGCTGCCGGTTTTAACCACTTGGAGCCCGGTTTCAGGTACCTTGGGTTTGAACGCATAGCCGGGGTGCCCGAAATCAGACAAAAGAGCTGGGCCTGGTGACAAAAGACCGTACTCGGAACAAAAGACCGAGCTGCTGGGAATTGCCAACATTTTTCACAGTTGTCAATAGCGGAGGAAATCTGTCATTGTTTTGAAAGATTACACCACTGTTTGTGGCATTCAGTGAGAGTGGATTACCACCGGGGACAAAAGTGCTCCAGCACTCCAGTGATGAGCAATACAATACTACTGCACGCTAATCTGATTCATATTGAAAAGACGCTAGCAACACACTGTGCTAGTTTCAGGAACAAAAGAAACTTATGTAACACCACACAATCTGGGTGTTTTTTTTGCAAGGCAGCAGGCCTGGTTGAAATACTCAGGCATCAATAGATTTTGCCTGTCAGATTAGAGTAGCCACCAGACAGTCACTCAATGGGGTTTAGGCATTCAGTAAAAAAGACATGAATTTTTCAAGTTTCTTGAAAACCAAAGATATTGAAAATCCCCCAGTTTTGGACACTGCATTTCCAAAGGCACCCGGCAGCAGGTGGTTAAAGTCAAAAACTGATCTCACACATTTTATGTATCTGCTCCAGCAGATCTTTACTAGGCAACACGCATGGGCCAAAGAGTGCCCTCTACCATTCATGAACAAAGCCAATGCCAGAAAAGACCTAAACAAAGCTCCCCAACTGAAAAAAGATATCCTCCAACTCAGAAAAGCCAACATTGAGAGAACACATTCCAGTTTGGATTTGGGAGAGGCTTACATGATAACACTCTCAACCGTCAACGGATCTGATCCTTTCCCAAACAGGTTATCACTCAGCCAATACCGTGAATCCCTGTCGATAAGGTAAGGATAGTCAACCACCTGAATGCAGAAATAAACAAATAAACAATAGTGTGCATCTTTCACAAAATCTTGTGGTACCACACACTCCCATCTACAAAGTAAAATAATCCTAAAATCCCTAAATATCCCCAAAGCCTATAGAAATGAGGAGCAACAACCAAACCATTTCCATTTCTAGTTCCATTTCCATGATTTGGCAATTTTTCTGCTTGTTCTCCATTTCCATTATCCAACAATTCCAACTGCCAAAACTCTCTATACAGCCGAGTCTTCTGATAAAAATGCAAAATACTGTGAGGAAAACACAATGCCTTGTCCTATGGGGACAGGGCATTGCATTTAGTATTGTTAATCCAATATAACAGTCTTTAATAGACTGAGAACATGGACTTACCAGTGAAGACAACAGACTGAGGGCAAGGAAACATTGTTTGTTCCCTTTGTGTTTGGTCCTCCAGGGTCAAGTTGAGCACGCACATACACCGCTTTCCTCACAATATGAAATTCCAGCCGAAAGTCTATGTTGCAGTTAAGACCATCACAAGACCAGAATCAAAGACCGTACACAAGACCATTCACAAGACCATACACAAGACCATTGATGAGACCAGTCACAAAACCGTACACAAGACCATTGACGAGACCAGACACAAGACCGTACACAAGTTACAGGGTGTGTAACGACAAATGAATACTTTGTTACAATTTAATGAAGTAGCTTGTGACTGGAATTTAGATTGGAGGTCCCCTGTTGACCTTGTGATAGCCTGACAGGGTGTTGTGATGGTTGTGGGATGGTCTCATAAGGTCTTGACTACAACACTACAAAAAGTGTGGACAGTTAAGATCATGTGAGAGGTAGTTACCTCTTTGAAGATGGCCCTGCTTGTTACTGGCTCACAGATGACCTTCTCTGAGATACCTCCCAGCAGGAAACACAGGGTGGTCAGTATCATGATCAAGGCAGAAAAGATGAAGGAAAAGGCCACACCCCTACAGAGGGACAAATCACAGTCAATGGGGCAAACACACAATAAAAGTAAAAGTAATGACCCTAACCCTCTGATATCTTCTGACACAAACACTAGGTTTCCAAAGAAAGAGCCAAGCCACTGTTACTTTACGTGGGACTTTGTGCACCTTGAAGTTTTAGTGCCAACCTCTGGGTTCCTGCAGAGGGGTGGATGATGTAAGTTTCAGGAAGAATACATTACCCATAAGTTAGGGTTAGAGGTTACAAACTGTGCAAAGTTGGTCTTGGGAACCTGAAATTTGTAAAGATTTTTGGCAACAAAAGCTACAATGATGGAAACGGCAATTGGAGATTGTCAGTCAAGGATCAGGTATCTGTGCACCGATCAAGGCCCTACCAGACATCTTGGCTCCGCCTCCCCCTCCCACAGGCAGACTTACGCCAGTAGCAGCGTCCCGCCAAAGTTGGAAAGGCACGGCCTCTCGGTCGGTCGGTCCTTCTTGTCCCGGCCACACTCCCCAAAGAGCATGCCCAAGACATTGCACAGGATGACGATGAAGATGATGCAGGACAGAGCGATGCCAACATAAAACCTACAACCAAACAGCAACGCACAAGGACATGAACAGACTGACAACTGTGTGAGCAGAATTTAAGGTCAGGTTTTGATGCATTTGTTTGCCAAGCATGAAGTGTCCATGCCTAGAAAACTTTGACAGTAAAAAATGTGAAAAGAAACATTTTTCAAATTCAGAGAGTCCTCTCTTCATGAGCTCCAGCATCACTGAGCTCAGAAATGTTTGTTCATACCTGTATTTATCAATTGTGTGGACGAGTTCAATGGAACTGTAGAGCTGTTTTGCTTGAGGCGTTGTGGCATCTTTTGAAAATGCCGCAAGGAACTTCTCAACCTCCTGTTGAAATGCAAAGTACGCATCATTGTGAAGAAATCACCATGGATATTACACTTGGTACACTTTATCAAAGCCAGTCCCCTTCCTATCTGTTGATATCTGCTCACGTAACGGACATGTTTTCCTTCAGCGTCTCAAACATCTTTCCATTTCAACAGCAGTGGGCTGGCGAGTTAGACAGGAACGTCTACTTACCGGTGAGATTTTGAAGTCGATGTTTTGAATCTCTTCCAGGATGCTTTCTGCCAGTTTATCAAGCACAAGCTTGAAATCTGAAAGAGTGCAATGATTATTCGATTTCTGGGGGTTTCAAGCACTTTTGGCATAATCAATTCTAACTTTAAAGAAGGCCACACAACCCAGTGGAGATGCGCCGATCCCTTCCCTTACCAGGGTCCCAACTCGGGGAGCTAATTTGTACCCAAATTTTTACCAACCACTGACGGTTTGGTATTAACTGGTACTGGTTTACAACTCAAATTGCAGCTTGACCTGGACAATATTTGTCACTGGTTCTAAGCTGACCGACACTGTGAAATTGGACTGATCAATGTGAATAGTTTTTGCTCCTAGACATGTGAATCTACTCAGTATGCCCCTGAAAACTATAGGAACAACTACAACCAAGAGGCCTCCAATCGATCCAAGTGTCAATGTCCTTCATCAAGTCCACTTGCTCATCTGTGATATAACTGCAAGGTGGCTGACAGCCAATTCTGTTATCTGACCAAAGACGGAACAAGTCTACACGTACAGTCCACTGCATCTTGACTCTCGTTTTTAACTCTGTCGGGGATGCCGTCCAACTCCTCTTGGCCCTTGTCAACCAATTCTGTAATGTTGGCATTCAGTGCATCATTGACCAGGTTTAATTCTGCCTGAACGTCAATCTGAAAACAGGAACAGAGAAAAACAGTGAAGCAAGAATAAAGAAAACAAGGAAATCATTCTTTGATTCCACTTGATCCGTTAACAATGAAATAATTTGGCTCATTATGCCACTGTTTCTCTCATTTTGCCAATATTACCCGAGTGTACAGAACAGCTCCTTAAAATCGCTTAGTAAAATGTACATACATGTACGTGTTTAAAACAGAGATGTATACAAATTATTTACTGTCCAGGTTCTGTTTGAGAACACACTAACTTGCAATAAAGTTTCAAGACCTCAAACTGAAGTTTTGTTTTGGTTTGTTCTGTACCTGATAATCAGTCTGACCAAACTTTAGGATGGAGTTAATGTGATTTTCACTGACACACATGACCTCATACATGTCTGCCCTTGTCATAGGCAGAGACTACAGTGCTGTGCGCAGTAAGTAGCAGATTACAAGTAGCTTTCAAAGCTTGGATAAAAGTTAAAAGTATTGAAATACTCAGAGTCGGCACCCAACGGTGGCTCAGAGTTATTTTAGAAAGATTGAAAATAAGCCCCTGTCTTAGTTTGGAAAGATCAACAAACAGTTGCTAACTAAACACCTGCCTCATTCAATGCTGGCCAATCTCAGGAAAACCTTGAGGTCACATGGTACTTTGACATCATTTGAACAGAATCTAATGAGGTTTCACGTTTTGGCCACGATAAGCACAGGATGTGTGAACTAAAGTTGACATTTCTGGCATGTATACACATTTACCCCTAACGTGATGTGAGTGATATGCCAAGTCTTTAACAAGCTCAGACCGGCTGTTCCGACGCTGTCACAATATTTGCTCCTTTGGCCATAAATACGTGATTGGGCACTTCCTATCGAGCCTTGAACTTTGCAGGTTTCAAATATTCTGAGGATTTAGGGAGTCAAATCGGGAATGGATCCTGCAGGACCAGGACATATTTGCCAAACTGCTATCAAAGCTGACTATTTGAAAACACCTAGCAAAAAATTCACACTGCATTTGTGTCAAGCTACCAACAGGAGTGGGAGCTCTCCACTCTTTGAATGACTGTACTCTGCAAACCTTTGCATGCTGCAACTTTTGGGTCAACAAAAAAAAAAATCCGTCTGTTAAAATTATGAGCAAATTTTGTAGGAGAAACAAATCAGTCAACATTAGGGGGCACTTCTAAAAGTGGATAGGGCTGGCAAACAGCCTGAACCCTGACTAAGACAACTCAAATCATAGTGACCTTTTTCTCTTCAGAGTGACACGATTTTGCAAACAAAAACAAACAGGGGAGAGGGCAGAAGGGGAGAGTCAACCACTTTCAACCTATTTATCTAGCCATGGTATAGTAGGAGACAAGACAAACTTACGATACTGAAATCGGCAGCCACGGTAATCTCACTCAGGTTAACTACATCTTTAGGGCAGGTTTGTCCCGGATTGCATGGGATGGACTGCAGGGTGGCGTTGATGTCCCCACGGGCAGTGTCCAGCATTTCCTGCAGGCTGGCCCCCTTCTCCAAGAGCATAGCGACGGACTCATTGACGGCACGCAGATTGCCCTGAAGACCTATCGTTTCTGGAAGGTGGAATTTACGCAAATGTATCAATCTTCCCCGGCCAGCATTTAGGAGTATTTCTTTACAGTGCCCAAACCCAGTTTGTCACAAGTCTCTGTTACTCTATCACAAGTTCATCTTAAGTCCCAGTAACTTGGCAAGTCACAAACTTATTCAAATGAACTCTACCAAAAGCTTTCCCTTGTCATTGTTTCCAAGTTCCTTGGGAATGCTTGTGATAGGTCTTATGAAGAGATCAGTGCCTGGGTTTTTAAAAAGTAGACACATCTGTCATTTGGTGGTTGGTCTAACTACTCTGATCATTACGGTAAGAAAATATCTTACAGTGACAAGATGTTTTTTTTCTGCACATTGGTTTATTGCTGAATGATTAAGTTTCATTGAGACATCATATTTAAAGAGGCTGATGGAACTATTTTCACAGAGCTTTTGAGTGAACAATGTCTGGCCCAAAGTTCACAAGTGCTATGCCAACAGTGACAGAGGGATGTTGAGCAGACATTTGAATGCTGTTGCTGCTATATGCACATTGTCTGTGCATAAATGAACAGCATGAGTGATTTGGTGGTTGGTCTAACTGCTGCCCCAACCAAGTTTGTTTAAGGTTTAGGCCGAGTCTTGGTATAGAAAATTTGTCCACATAATGCGAGTTTCATTTTGCAAGTAGAGTTTTTTGTTTGGGCTAAGTTTGAAGTTTTTTACTTTGAAAACAACCAACGTCAGCAAAAAAATCAAAAAAGTTATCTGAAATTATGCAACTTAACTGTGCACCTACAGATGGCATCAAGGAAGCCAAAATTGGCCCCATGTGGATTTCAATGAAATATATTAAAGTTCATAGAACTTTTCTTTTGTTTTATGTTGTTGTACCCCCCTTGACCATAAAAAAAAAAACACAAAACATCTGGACAGCGTGCCCCTGACAGATTGTAGGAAAAGCAGTCAAAAGGACATTGTTTTACGTTTCCCATCGCATCAACACTCAAAGATATACATCAAGCATGTCGGGTTCAAAAGCTGTCAAAACTTTAAGCACAGAGGTATCCGCAAAGGAACTTGAAGGATGAGACAGATCCCTACTGACAGTTCTTCCCCTTTGTTGAGGAAATTCTACTTTCCTTGGAATGACATAGGTCAGGCCCCAGAATTGTGCTGGGCAAAAAAAAAAAGGAATGTCATAACACCTGCACTGGGTTGAGAAGAGTGCAGCCAGAGATGTTAGAGCCTGCCTCACAAGGCACTGCCTTGTGAGGCAGGCTCTGGGCCCCCAGACCAGAAATTGGGTTAATTTCGGTTCCTGCTTTTACCTTTCCCGAGACTGTTCACCGACCGCAGGGCTGGCTCAACCTGCCGTGCAAAGTCATCGCGTATGGGCTTGCCAACCAGCCTATCCACATCTGAAGGGAGAAACAAAATATACTGTAACAGCTGTGTTTGGTGTCTGACATTTGTACACGTAGTTGGACAGACAAGCTGACATTTAAATAGCAAATGACCAGCACTATGCAGGAGAGTGCTACTAATTACACATATACATGAGGGACCCTTTCCCCAAAACTTTCACACAACCACAAAGAAACTGGCTACAGCAATTTAAAAAACAGCAAAATAAAGAATAGTCTTACGTAGTCAAATTGTTTGGTTTGATTTTACATGGAAAGGTAGTGGACTGTTAATGCATAGAGAAAGGACACAGAAGGAGTTTGAACTGCCTGGGCTATAACATCTGCCCAATTACCACTTTCTGGTATGCCTGGTATGTCCATAGCCAGAGAGCTGATCAGAGAGAGATCTGTTTCTCAACCACGAGACCCCTTTGTATCCTATCATCGTTGCCACAATTTTTTGCTGGGAATCCACATCCTTAACACTTTCTGTACTGAAGTACAAGAAAATGAATATTCATGTCTTTGTTGGTACTTGGTATGATCTCACAACAGGTGCCAGTGTTAGGCCTTGTGTACTAAATGTTCCAAAAGAATTTCTTTCAATGGACTCGGTGCACATGTTGCGAACTCAGCATGCCCCGACGCCTACAGACTCTTGACCAATAGGAATGGATTAAATTGTCTCGTATCCAGTTGCCAGCGCGTTTTCACACAGCATGTATTATCAAATCATAGCAGCCATTATCAAATGCAGATACGCAGTCAAGTTGCGTGTAATTGAATAGGGAAACTGTCTAAGGTATTTATGAATGTATTCTAAGGCAACAAGTGTAATGTGGAGGCTGTGTCAACAAATTCACATACACAATTACTTTCATTTTCGACAGTTTTATTTGGACAGATGGCCCAAGTCAAAACAAATGGACACCATTCCCCGAGTTTATCTAATTACCTGTGCACATGGAAAGTGAAAGAAGTTGAGTTGGTGCTTATTCCACATGGTCATAAACATTTAGACCCCTCTCCATATGATACATATGACACTACAACTGTTTTTACCATCAAGGATGTTTGACTCAACTCAGAGTTCTGAATTTAGGCAAGCTTGAAACCTAAGATATTGAGCCAGTCAAAACGGGTGTGTTTTTGAAAAAAAAAAAAGAATTACAATTTTTCACGTTGACTCTTTTCACAATTTTTTCTTCTCGTTTTAGCTTCAGTTTCAGTGCCTGCATTTCACAGACAGACACGTAAAGATTCCTATTGTTGAATTGCATCACAAGGTCTAATGTCACTTCGAGCCAGAATAGCCTTAGCCGGGAACCTAGTTGAAGGCTACAAGAGAGAGAGCCAGATGCAAACACACAGTCAAACCTTATCCTAAGTCCACAGCCGCATAATATACATGTATGTCAAGAGCTAGGTCAACATCTTTTGCCCATCGCATGTTCATGGACACCTGCAGATCTTAGCCATAGCCCTAAAGCCTGTTTCAGATGCGGCTTTTCATTAAAATGAGTGAAATGCTACACACAACAGTTCACCCCACCCTGCTCAAAGTCCAAATCCGCCTTGCGTGTATTCAGTCCTAAAGCAGCGGGCATCACGTTTACTCAATTCTTTCTGCACGCATTACTATATTCCCACTTCAGAATGGCAAAGGCAAATACACGGAGGAAAAAAACCAATGTCAAAAGACCACTTGAAGGGAAAAAGCATCCCTCTGAAGGAAGGCAAACCACAATGATCAGTTCATAAGGGCTTAATGGGCAGAAAAATATCAATAATCATCTTGCCTACAAGTGAATGCAAAATAGCGTAAATACACAAATAAATTGTCGAATAATTATCTCTCAAAAACATGTAGCCAAGTTCAGTTGTTTTTTCCACGGGTTTACAGGTCAATATCAACAATTATACATGTGTGTGTATAGTACTTCCTACTCACTTTGCATTACATGGTTAATTGTGTTTTGTAACTGTGACAAGTATTTCATATATGTATAAATATAACTGGGGGCCTCTACTCGACAAACTATGCTATGCTTTGTAGAGGCCTCCATCCACTCTAGCACTGTGTTGTTAATGTGAAATATTTCATATGGAATATAAAGTAAAGGTGAAGTGAAGGGTATCTGCATTATGTCATGTTGATAAGTGTGAAAGTACATCCTAAAGTGCCTTACTGAGATATTTCCTCCTCAAACCAACAAACAAAAAAAACACCGCACAAATCTAAACTGCAGCAAATTAATATTCAGAGAAATACAGCCATTGTTCTTTTCCCCCGACCACACCAAAAAAAAAAATTTCCAAGGAAATAAATGTAAGGATATTTACTACTGGAGTTACATTTTAGGAAAAACATGTCCTTCCTGCATTGTTCACAAATTTCTTTCAGGAAGAGATTACGTATTTTGTTTCATTCATATGATACATGGCCAACGCATAGATAGCTCCTCTGAAATGCTAAGTTAAACAGTTTGTGAAACAATATCTGACCACACATATTCCCACTAATTTATGTGGCCGTCGTATTTTCACTGTAGTGACTCACAGCCTGCCCTTTTCAAGATTTGTTAATCATTACCTTTTTTCCCAGTTGCGAGATATTTTTCCAATCACAAGATTTTCTACACTTCAACGGGACATATCCAAATTTTGTTCAGCTATATTTCAGAAATCAAATGTTTTTCAGAGGGCACATATTTACGATGAATACATTTTTTGAGTTGCTATATCTTATCTTAATTTAAAGGTTGAAAAGCAACGGCACAATCATGAACCAACTTTGCTGATGAGGTGTAAAACACACTTCAAATGAGCGTAATGATTTGTTTTACAGTATGAACAATCCAGCATCTTTTTCTTTGACCGATTTGATATTCGCCAAGCTAGTATTTTTCCAGTAATACAACAATGTATTACAACAAAACCATGTTATAATTAATATGCAATTATGGCATGCTGTTTAGTTTTTCTCCCCATTTTGAGGAAGTTACCATAGAAGCTGGTAGAGCTTCTCAGAGGACAGGTGTAAGGTCTTGGGTCTTATAGGAAGGTCACATAGGCGCCCATGTAACTTCTTTCTTTCTCGTGGGGATTGTCTAGAATATTCTATGCACTTCTTCAAAACTTGGCCCTGGTTTACAAAAAACCTGTACACTGTAGCTTTCACAGAATGCAAGTACCTTTAAATCAGCAAATAAAAGTCAACGGATGCATTGATTTGTAAGGAAAAAGAAAAGTCAGAATTTCTCCCTCGGGAAGCTTCTTCACAGCATGAAACATCGTTGTACTAAGCACCATACCATAAAAGTACATCTGTGATTAATGTGACTGAAGGACTGATTGAACTACTTCTCCCAAAAAACCTGCAAAGCGATAAAATTCTGTCTCAAAATCAAGTAGCTGGTAACCTCCAAAAGTAACATCTTGTCTTTCATTTTTGTCATTTGTGAATTTTTAATATACATGGCATCAAATTTGATTAGTTCAGTGGATGGTGTTTCAGCCATATTAATTTTGCCTTTCATTGATGTATTTTTTTAATTCAAGTTTAAAATGGCATATGTTTCTTAAGTCATGTACAAGTGAAAAAGCCAGTGAAATTTCCATTTGGCTGGAAATTGAAGGGGTTTCTATATTGTACTTTATAGTATCAGTATGAAGATTCACTTGTAGTCAAGTTTGCTGACTGTATTATGTAAGGAGGGGGCATCACATTCCGCTTGGCACTATCATGACAACGGAGCTAAATAAAGGACCTCAGGTTATCATCTGGCTTATGCCGCCTTGATAGCAGGTGAAATTTGAGCCTCGTTAGAGGAAAGAACATACACGCAGCTGTCAGGATATCTGGGATGGCTGATGAACTCTGGCGTAATCTGGAGGAACTTCTCGTGTAGTTGTAGATGGGAGTCAAAGGGAGTTTTGGAAAGGACAATGGGAAAACGACATAGAACGAATGTCATACAGTCAAGGCCTTGTAAACAAGCCACTGAATCCAACTTAGCGCAGGAGAAGATTTTTCTTAAAAAGACTGAGTTTTGCTGGCACCTGAATAAATGTGGGTTCCATTCATAACCAAAAGCCACCTTTCAAATATGCTGACAGGTATAAATGCTTATACGTGAAAAATTTCTGGGTTTGAAGACCAGAATCTACCAGATGCATGACAGATGATACTGTCGCCATGAATTAAAAACTGAGAACAAATATAAAATAACAAAACAAGCAACAGTTTTGTAAACAAACTCAAGCAAACACTACTCTGACAAACCTGACGTACACGTATACCTTTCTGGTCAAGTTATGACTACATGTACATGTCATCTGAAGACAATGGAAGAAGATGAACAGATGGCAGTGTTGTGCGACCATTGAACAAGAACGTCGGTGGACGAGACAAACTATGCATACAAACATTCTTGTTCCATGTACATGTCGTATGTCCTAAAATATTGTGTCATTTTGTCATATTGGTCAAACTTTTCAGTTGTGTATAAATGTTTAACTGTGACCTGTCAGCCTGCCTGAGTTTACAGATAGGAGACTGCGCCAACACTTCCTTCAAAGCAAATCAATTGAAACAAATCAACCCAATGCACACACTGACGACCACCACGTAAACTTCAGTGATGATCTCCTACTCAACTGTACACTACACAAACTAGGATTCTCAGGCCGGAGAGATTATCCCAACACTAATCCTTGTAAATCTGGGCTTTCCTATGCAAAAGGAAGCCTCATGATTGGACAATGAGGTAATCTGGTCACATCTTAACAAGGCACTTACGCAGCAGGTCGGTAAAGATGAGCCCCGACACGTAGCCAAATTGCTGAACTGCCAAGAAGTAAAACTCCTTCAAGAACAAGAAGACAAAAAAAGTGGGTAAAAAACAGGAAATTGGATAATGACTGTTGGTAACAGAGCAAATATGAACGCATATGATAGCTTAAGCTTTTGAAAATTGAAATCACATAATTTGTCCATTTTGATTACAATAATGATTCTGTTGCATTCACTACAGAGGTAAATCCTGTTCTGATGTGTTCTCAGAAAGGCTCCAACATTTCCATTGAAGTAAATGGCCTCATGGAGAACAAAACTATTTTGTTTTTAATTTGGAAATGCATGTACAGGTACAAACACAGGTGAGAAGTTGGACTGATAACTAAACAGTTTGGACAAATCAAGTTACACGTGCACACTTTGTGTAGTTTTTGCTTCCATCATTTCAAACATATTTATGTGGAAAAACCGCCATCAGAAAGTATTAGTAAATACGGCATAATGCAAATGAACAGTTTCATACAACATATAATATACCTTTGTGTCAACATGATAAACAAAACAAGAAATTTCTGCAATGCGCAGGATCGCACAAATCTCCATATGACCTACAAAAATACTTGAAAATGAACCAAAAGTTGCAGCACTCTAACCATCCTAAATCCTCTAAAATCCTTCAAGTAGTTTGAAGAGTGTTGGAAGATTGAGGCTCAATGGAAAAAAACTTGTAGTTGGGATTGCAGGGGATGCACTTTGCTCCAGGTCTTGAGATCTCCAGGAAACCATCTTGCACTACCTCAACATAATGACAGGAATTGTAAGAGGATTTTGAAGGACAGAGGAAATGGACACACCTCCAAGAAATAAGCGAGGATTTTTGCAGGATTCAGGTTGCATCCAAGCACAAATGCCAAGGGGGTTGGGGTTAATTTTAATCATCGAAACCTTGAGTTTTTAATTCATTCCTATCAACCGCAAAAGGCAAAAACAAAAGAAGGAAAAAAGTAACAACAAAACACCATGATTAATGCACACTCAATATTTTTTAAACGTACAGAGCACTAACTCCTTAAATAACCTCTGCATTTCATCATAAACTGCAGCTACGTGTAGCTTAGCTAGTCTGGTAATGTGTGATGATTCACCTGCGTGAACACAAACAGCTGACCTGCAGTTGAACTTGGGGCCTCTTAAGGAGACAATATGCAGGCATTTGGCATAAACAGCCACACTTTGCCAGGACAAAGCAGAAAAATGTATTTGCAGAAAAAAAAACAGATTCTTCGAACTCTTGGGGTCAAGTGGTATGAAGCTTGTACATGTACAACAATGGCAAAAGATGCAGGTTTTCAGATAATGAAGGATGTAATTGCAATTGCATTTATCTGCCCATACAAAAACGTGATAGTACATGAACTAAGATAGTGGTAGAAGTAAGAAGAACATTTAAGGACTTGTTGCAATGTTACTACTAATGAATTGCATACATGTCATCGTGTATACTGGTCATATTTCCAGCTTCATCCTAAAAAGTTTTTCAATTGGTGCATAAATCCTCTAGGTTTGTACACTGTACATGAAAATCGAAACAGAGAGTGGTATCCTAGCTCATTTCAACCTAGCAGTACACCCTATATATACATGTATGTACGTATGTATAATGACAGTACAGTGGCCAGGTAAATGCACTCTCTACTGTGGCACCAGTATGTTGTTATTAACTACAACTAAAAACACTGGGCTCGGAAATACGTGCGTTTGGCAGAAAGGAGCCTTTGGGTCATTATTAGAAAATTTCAGAGCATCCAAACTGATTTCTATTTAACAGACTTTTTTCAGAGAATCAAGCCACTACATTTCCTGAAACACAGGAATGTACTTCTTTTTTTTCAAAGCCATGACACAATTATAATGCATTCATTTTTTTGGCATTGGCTTTTCATCCAGCAAACTGTACTCAAAAGAATACAACCCCTCTTGATTTCTGAGACATTTGTGCCTGATTACAATAATAATTTGTGCATCTTACAACCTACATCCATGGTCAAAGAAAGCAGGATTAGAACTTTGGAAGGGCATCATTTTGATCTTCATATTTTCTGTTCTTACCTGAAATGTATGCTTCAGGTAGGCACCGACGTCATCAAGGTTGGAATCTATCGTGGGTTTGATGTCATTCACGGATGTTGACATCTGCGAGTTTGCCATTATTACTCCAGCAAGGCCCAAACTGGAGTAAGACAAGAACAAAAACTCAACGCTCAACTCAACTCTAGATCCAGTGCTAATGCTGTTCAATAGCTCGCCAACATTACTACATGTACATGTGAGTAGAACATACATGTACATGTGATAAATGGCCAACAGCCAGCTCAATACTTCATAAATTAATGATTCCTGATTATTTGATTCCTGATTACCATGTCAACGACAAGAGCCATTATCTGCTTTCACCAATAAGGGACCAAGGTTCAAATCAACTTGAAACCAAAAGATGAGATTGTGGCAAAGAAATTCTTTGTGTAAAAATATAATGTCAAACAGCTTTGTAACGAGGTTGTTGGGACTTCACAAATTATCTTGTTTCAACAACGGACCTTGTATTTTCTATATTGGACGACAAAGAACATAAGGATTTGGGGGCTAACATTTGCCTTGATATAAATCAGGATGTTGTATTGACAGTGTATGCTTTTATCCTTGCGGTTTGCTGGTACTTCAGGCAGACTTTCTGGATCATGTTGCAAGATGAAAAATAAAACAACCAATGCAAATGCAGCTTCAGTGACTAGACCTTGTTTGCTCGACAGATGACACATGTATACATCAAACGTTCTCTTTTTCAAACTTACGTCATCAGCGCTGTAATGATCAACAGTGCAAAGCCAAAACTCAAGCGTCTGCAACTGGTGTTGTATTTGTCCCGTTGCAGCATCTTACCGCCGCAGTTCTCACAGAGGCGACAGCAGCAGAAGAGGAGTCCCGTGATGGGCATGACCACGACAAACAACAGGGCCACCGCAAAACAGGCGATGAAGCCCACCGAATAGCTGACAATCTGTGTAGAGTTCAGACAGAAAGCAAGAAATCTGTTACAGATGTTTAGCATATTTGTGGCCAAATCCCACAAAGTGAATCTAAAGGCCAATTTTTTTTTTCTGGGAATTTTGCTTAGCTTTAGCAGGAGCAAATTGAACTCTTTGCTTGGATGTATCGCTCAGTTTGGCATCCTGAAAATTATGTGAATGGAAAATGTTGAAGGTTTTTTGTGATTTTTCTGGGTAAGATTCTTTTAAATGCCTTCAACTTGAAAGCAGCTCTGGTGACTAAAAACTCCTCTCTGTTAGGTTGGTTCACATTTACATCTGTTTTGAAGAATTTGACTGAATGGCTCTGGATTTAAATAATATTTTTCTGAAAATCTCTCACCACTAATGACACACATACACATAATGTAATGCTCCAAATGATAATCAGGACATGAGGAATGGAGTTGCAAGAGGAATTTGACTGAGGAACGCTATCCACATATCTGAGGAAGGCAAATATCCACTTGGAGCTATATGAACAAGGAAATTTAATCTGGGTGTGTCAGCAACTTGACAATTTACTGGAATGCTCTATCTGGATAGAAAAGTGGAGCCCTGAAGGAGGAGGCCAATATCTTAGAGGTGACAGGCACCAACCGGAAGAGATGATGGCTATTTTGGTTTACACAATGATACATGATATTCATTTGTTTGCGACACCACAGTGTTTGTTTCTGGCTGATATTTGATTCTACACAAGTTGTGCATCCATGAGGCCACTTTTTCTATCAATGTCACCAGTGCTCAGTTTACAGGGCATTTTCTTTAAAGCATAATTTTAATGCTTTTGGAGTACTACTTTCTAGCTTAGGAGAAAATGAACAAATTTACATGTGTGCTTTAAGAGTAAAATTCTAGTACCTGATATAATTGTCTACATTCTTAATCTTACCCTGAAGTTACTTTGCAAATGGTTGTTAAACCTCAAAAAAAAAATTGTTTCTCCGTATTGGATAAAAATATTAATCATACAAGCCTTGGAAACTGTGTCACAGTGAGGAGACGTGCCCCTATAGAAGCATTCCAAACTGCTCATAAGTTCACATGGGCAGCTTATCACTGACAAAAATAAACTACTCCAGGAAAAACAAGTGATTCATCTCCCAGACATAATCTCGGAGCGGGTTACTTGTCATCCACTGTACTGAAGCTGAGACAGTCAAGGACTAAAGATCCTGTCCAGAAAATCTAACTCCGACGATCCCTGAATCTTTGTAATTTACAGTAGCTGGGTAGAAAAGGGATCAGTGCAACCTCTTGACCAGGAAGCAATTATATATGATGAACAATGTATGACAGGTGGGGTGTGTGTGAAGGAAGCAGACGTATCAAAATAAACGGTATTCTGTTGTGTGTGCACTACTGACCAGTGCAAAGGAACAGAGTTTCAAAGTCGGTTGAGGGGCTGTTGTTCTCATAGTTCGTTGAAGTCTGTAGTAAAGCAAGCCTGTTCCGAGCCATTTGACTCATTGGGCAAGTGTTTATCTCGGGTTTCCTTGGACAATTTTAGTGTCCATACTAATGTGACTGGAGAGCTGGGGCCTTACTGCATGGAACAAATATGAGCACATAAAGAATCAGGTTACCAGCACAAATGTCATGTCTTGCATACTGTTAATGACTGGTTCCCTGATTATTTTTGCTGTGCAACATTCCCCCCTCATCACCAACTTCGAGAAACTAGGATGTGAAAATCAGAACTGAAGGCTTCCCATAGAAACTGCTTTTAAGAATGACTTTTTTTTTAATTGAAACTATTTTTTTTATTGAGGGACTTACATTTACATTTTTCCTGACTGGCTCTGAAAAAAGCTCACAGTGGTGTTTAAATAAGGGAATAAAGATGTGCTTAGCTAGTCTGAAACATGTGTTTAAGATCAGCTCAGGAGAATGGGCACGACAAATGCATTATCAGCATTTGTTCTCCTGAGCAAGGTCTTAAACATTATTTTAAGACCAGCCAAGCACATTCATAAATCCCATTCATTTATTCCCATTTATAAATACCTTTTTATTCAGAGAGTCAAAAACAGTCAACAAATGATGGATTTTCAACAATATTGTTCTGAAATTTTACTTTCATTTTCCCGAACACCTCTGTCCATTTTATGGTATATTCTTTTTGAAAGTTTTCCAATAGAATCTCCTTGTATATGGACTTGGTGCACGCGTGATGAGTTCTGGGTGTTGCGTTGCACACAGACTCATGACCAATAGGGATGGAAAAAACTGTCTCATATCCGTGTGCCAGCACATGATTTATGCAGCAGGCCTTATCACTTCTCAGCGGGCATTATCAAATGTTAATGCACGGTCAAGTTGCACGTTGAATAGGGAGACTGTTTGAGGTGTTTATGAATGACAGTTTAAAAACCAACATGTCAATTCACATCCAACATGAAAAGTTGAACTGTCCCTGGTATGCCAAATAACAATTTCTCCTTTATATACCAGGTGATTATTGTCACTTATACTTACATCTTTGTAGTCTCGTAGGGGATTGACTGTCCCATTGATAATGCCCCTCAAAAAGTCTAAAAACAGGGACAAATGACAAAAAAATTAATAGATTTAGTTTTATACTACATGTAGTGTATGCACAACCTTTGCAGATCTACACACAATATCCACATACATGTACATGTATTGCTGAAATCAATTTGAAAGAGACTGCTTTGTGCCTTCAAAAACCTAAGGAATGCCTCATTTCTCGATTTCAGTTTGCAAATCATTATTATGCAAATGAATGACCTATTCATGAACCATATGATTATGAGAACCACCTGGTTATGATGTGCACATAGACGTACATGAACATGCAATCCACCAATGTCATCATCAGGTATTTTTCCCAGCACACATTTTGTGTACACTTCTGGTACATGCATGTCATGGGCATGGCCTTGTCCAGCATTGACCTTAATGAATAGGAGTCTCACCTTGAATCACTTGACCCCAACATACATGGAAGCAGGTTTTTCAACTAACCCAAAGCAAACAATGATATTTAGTTCATGTACAATCCTGTTTAAATAACTAGCTTTGGTTGCATATTTGATGTGTTCATGTGGAGAGAAGGTCAATTCTGAACCAAAATTGATACCCTATTTTTCTTTGATCTGGCGGGGGTTTCATATACTTATGGCGCAATGAAATACCGGTACGGGGGAAACATCAAATTTTAACTGCTGAAAATTGACATCTTGAAAACCCAGGTGTCAATGAAAGTACTTCAAAACACAATAATTTATCGACGAAAGACAACAGAACACGGCTTGGAATGAATCAAACTCTGAACGTTTCTACCCAACATCTACCATGCAACATTCTCTGTAACTTGGTGACAGGAAAGCTAACTTTAATTACAAAGAGAGCTGGTCAATTACAATAGAGACCCTCTGTGTTTTAGAAATACATTTAATCGTCTTTCATTCTCTAGATCATATGGAACACACAACTGAATTCAGACTCTGCACAACTTTCCTCACATAATCCATGGTATACTGGAAATATCAGCATACGAAAAAAAAAAGGAATCGCAACCCCCCTTTAATTACCGTGAGTCACTTATTTAAATATATACACCTGGAATTCAGCCAGCACATACTGTATGTGTTCTCATGGGGATCGTGTGTCTAGTACATGTATTTAAGAAAGCATGACAACGTCAAAATTAACTGAACACAGGATGTAAAGTACGTGGACTTTCATATAATTTCAAGCACCTTGCAAATTGGAGAGGGCTAACTTGCAGTATCTGCTCCATTTTTCCCTCATCTTAACTTGTAATATCTTTGTTTAATATTTCCTTAGTGATATTCGGCTTGCCACATTAAGTCATTGTTGCCACGGGAAGAGGATACGGGTCGAAAGGTTTAAGAGTGCTGGAGTTAAAAGCATCCTGTTTACTCCTTGTGGGTATATGACTAACAATATTCAGCTGTGTGCCAAGCTTACTCAGTGCGGACCCATAAATGAAACAGGTCTACATGAATGAAGATTACTGCAGGTTGTAGGAACACGCGGACTCAGCGAGGACCACACAGTTACCCCATCTCTGGATATTACAGGTTTTAGAAGCATTTGGGGGTGAGGGCAATGGCACGGGGGGAGGGGACAAGGGGACAACCCCTGCCCCCAAAGGCAGGCCTGTGTCCCCCTCCGTCAGAAATCAGAGAAGAAAAACTTGTGATTGCCTGCCTTGGTCAGTGCTTTACCTTTCACTCTATAAGAAAGAGGTACAGAAGTTATCCTAATCATGCACCCTGGTTATGCCACCGGGGTAATGCCATAGCAAAAGGAAGATAAACAGTCAAGGAAACACCATCAACAAAAATCCAACTTAAAAGAGTGTTCGCAGTGGGAGAAAAATGAGTATTTTCAACAAGTTTTCTGAACTACAAGTACAGGAAAACAAGGTTCGTCCACACTACTTGTTAGAAGGTAATGAAAATTGATACATGATCAGGCCCAAAGTGACTGCAAACAGTGCTCAGCACAACCATCAGAAGAGAACCAGCCAAGAGACGTGCACACCTGTGTGACGCTTTGGCTGGTTGCCTTCAGGAAGTTGAACACTACATGTACACACACACATGTACGATTAGTGAACAAACACTAACGGCGCTAAGAAGGCCTAGGAGATTGGCCAGTGTTCTTGTGTGCGATCTCCTACACATTAGAATCAGCATAATTCAGCAGAGGAACCTTGGACATAATCTGTTCCATTCCACCATGCTTACATCTTTATCCGGCCACTTTGTATACACGCAATCGACATTCATGCAGGACACTTTAACAGCTAAATAAGTACCCAGTATGTATATGTCTTATTACCAGCAGTCACAAAAATGTCTGTACTTTTAGTCTTATCCCATAAAGTTTGAAGGCCAGTTGAAGTTACAGTTACATACATACTGTACATGTATTTTATAAGCAGACTTTTCACACTTAATCAGTGTTTCACGTCTTCTTCTTCACTTCAAATTCTTCTAATTACCAATGTGTGTATTTCCACTCATAGGAATCAGCTCCAAACTTTGGAATTTGTTTTGTTATAAAACGCTTACATTTACAACATAAAGATACTGAAGTACACATTATATGCATGTAAGACACTTGACCAGCAAAAGATTATCTTCAGAAAAAAATTCTGTAACTCTTATCCCACAAAAGTTTCAAGTTGATGGGTTGCATGAAGCAGGTTTTTATGCTCCATTTAATACTTCACTCAAATTCTTGCAGTGAACAGACATCAGGTCCACTGCAGTACTGAGCACAATGCGCGGTGGCACCAATCGGTACTTTTATTCACAACAGTTTTGTTTGCGTTGGCTGAGTTTTTGCTGGCCTACAAATATCTTGTTTAAGCACATGGTATACACATAACAGAAGCCTTTTTGTGTTTAAATGTTCATTGAATATACCAGGAAATGTGAAAGTTACATTGTGTATGGGGACGCACACAATTCAACCAAGTCACCGTATGATCCTTTCACGTTATTTTACTTAAATTTGCATTAGAATTGCCACTTGTTCGTACATGTATGTAAGTGTAAGTCTGTACATGTACATGTAGATAAAAATAACTGATATGATTACCATCTTTTAAACACGAGGATAAACAACGAGCACAGAGGTTTCAAGTACAATCAGACTCTTCAGATGTAAACATACGGAAGAAGGTCAAACGTACAGGAAATATTATTGACTTATTTTTCTCACTTGTGGTACATACGTGTCAGAAGATGTTTACGTAACAATCTGTTTTGATAAGGTACCTCCATGTTACCATGAAAACTGAAGTTTGAAAAACTGCAGGAAAATGAAAAATGAGAGAAAAATCACTCACCCCAAGGAAACTCGTGTGGAGCGATGGCCTGGATAAACTCAGACGCAACAACAAAAACAAGGTCAAAAGTGAGATGTGGCTCAGCCGTTGAGGTATTGTACTTGGGGTCTGGCGGTAAACTGTCCCACGTTATATCATCATTGCTGTTCTTTAAATTGCCTGAGGCCACTCCGAGTAAAGTTAGACCCACAACACCAACCAAAAGAAGAAAATATATGTGTCTCCAGAGTCTCGTTAGCTCCATGGTTGTATGTGTGTTTTGTTAGTTGGAGGGGTCTGCGGTCCTGCCCCCTCTTCTGAGGAAATTCCTTATGGCAAGACAAAAAAATTGCAGATGGGTTGATGGTTGAAAAACTGTTCTTCGGTGATTTTTTTACTTCTTTGTTTAGGCAGCTCCTGCGATGAGACCAACCATTACTGAATGCTTCCTGAAAGAAAATTTGGATAAGTTTTTAATAGATAAAGGTTCCAACGTCGCCAGATCCAGCTAAGCACATCCACAAAAATGAGCACTGGCAAGATGGGTATTTTCCTTGCAGAGTCGGCCGAGTCTTGGATTGGCTTTTTCTTTCCTGACACAACTGTGCCACCCCGTGCAGAGTGAGTTCCTGAAAAACCACGTACATGTGTACACCTTGCCAGTGCCAACGTGGTTTGACGTCAAACTGGCAAATAATCAGGACGTTCCCTCACTCACCCCTCGATTCTCCTCAACCACAAGCTCTGCGACAGGAAGAGGGCTATATTCCCATGATTGCAGGGGGCCACAGTGAAAAAAATATGGTCATTGATCTTTGGTCCATCCTCCAGACACACTACGTATTGTTTAAACAGCAACAAAATTAATAGGTAATTGTGGATTTTCTTGGTTTTTAACCTCACAAGTTCAGTTAACTCCGGAAGAATGTACAGCTTTCTTTATGCCTTATGTCAGAAAAAAGTCACCAATTTCCAATTTCTCAAGATGATGTGATTTCCTTTAACCTATGGTAAAGTAACACATGGTACCAGTCTTAAAAATTTTTAAAACTACTTGAAGAATTTCTGTTATATATGCAGAAAATAAAACAATGAAACAGTTGTATGTGACACTTAATAGGTCGTTAATCACTCTGCTGTGAGAAACAAGACATTTTTAAAACTAGGCCAGGGACAGTATAAACTAAATGGCCTTCATGACACATCATCTTAATAACCTTTCATACATCACATGTGTTCTTCAGGTATGCTGGAACAAAATATGTTTTTCGGGGGGGCTTCTTTACCAAACTCTGACTGAATAAAATTACAAATTACATCTGTTTAAAATAGAGTGCCACATACAGCAAGTTTTGCAGTTTCCTATCTTTAGCAGTACAAACATAAACAACTATCACATGATCAGCTTAAGGCTGTGCCGAATAACCAAATATTCAATTGATCATTGAATATTCGAATTTTTTTTTTTCGAATTTGAATTTTCAAATGCACAATGAATGAAAAAGAAGGGAGAATTTTCTTTTGGTTTTTTGTTTGAGAAAAATTGCACTATGGAGGCTTGTGCCAAGTAAAGTTAAATGAAAAGTGACAAAAACCTCTTAACAATTTGAAAAGCACAATACTCATTCAAAAATTTAATAGGAATATACATTTTCAACAGGAAAAGAATTATTGTTCATCTCTTAAATCTTGCTAAATCGGGGCAGGAGATACTCGTAGATGTGACAAGCTATTATAGTGATCATAATGTACAATTGTGTCTGTTATTGCAACTGCTTTTGTATGGTTTGTTCCTCAACAATCTCCAGGTCGGTACGACCCAATATTTGGATATTCGACCGAATTGAAGGTCAAATATTTGAATAGTGAATTATTCAAATTGACTCAGCCCTAGATCAGCTCAATGTAAAAACATTAGCAAAATTGAATAAAGTCTTACATGTTAAGAATGAAAAACTATGGTACAATCACAAAACTCATGACCATCTGATCAGGATCTGACCCTACAAATCGGCTATTTTAAACATTTGGACATGTTCGGGCGATTTTAATATTTGGACATGATCGGGCGATACTAGGGTCCAAGTTACTCGGACTAGATCTGATGAGCATTTAAAACTTACTGAAACAATTCTGATCCCAGAATTCTTTTTCTTCTTTTGGCTAAAATGTTGCATCCTGACTCCACTTTTCTCATCATGTATCATCTCGACAAAAGTCGGTCATTACAGAAATGCTGGAAAGACACGAATTCTGGATTGAGAAACATTTACCGATGTTGTTGGAAAATACTTCAATTCTCTTCACTCCCCATAGACTTTGTACACAACTGCTGAAGTGGAGTCAGGATGCAATGTTTTTTCCCTTCTTTTTTTTTGTTTAAATGTGGTTTCTTTCTTCAGTTTTTGCTTTGGTTTTTGGCTTTTTCCTACACATCTGATCCAAAAGGCAGCAGCAGGTCAGCACATTCTTTCCACAGCCAACGCCCTCTTCAAGTCGGACTAGACATGTATTGTACCATGGAGGATGGGAAATGATTGCACCGACCACATATGACAGACATAACAGAAGTCTGACACTGATGGCAGTGATGCATTTTCTGTGAAAAACCAGTGGACATGCGACAAAATATCGATACTACATCCCTGACCAAAAATAAAACAAACTAACCTGACGATACCGATGTTGATCCCGGTCACACCGGTCATCAAGCCATAACTCCTTCTCAGCTGTCTCGTCAGCATCACACAAGCTAGATTCCTTGTCGCAGGTTCCGCTCCACCTGTTCCGCAAGCACCCGGCCGTACGACCCACGGGAGCAAAATACGAAATCACTGCTTCAAATATTGAGGGCGCTGTTCATCTTGCCTGGCAAATGTAGTCTGCCCGTCTAGCCGTGTCCGACTAAATTGGCTGGGGCTTGAAATTATCACACAACTCTAAGAGTGGTGGCTGCAGCCATAGTCACAAACTAGGGTATACTTTTAAGCCGCAGCCAAGTGATTTGGATTTGGAGTCAGGTCATTTGTAAAGCTGAGGTCTACTCGATAATAATGGCGACGGTGAAAGACAGCGATACAAATCTCTGGCTTCACAACAAACTAGGGGACAGCGAAGATCTGTGGTCCGGAATCAGCAGTGTGGGTGCCCAACTTAAGGGGGACCTCCTCAAGAATGTCTTTGCGTGTTTCAAAGGTCTTCACTCCACAGTGAAGCTGAAAATGCTAATGGCAATCCTCCACATGCCCAGGCGAAATGTAGATGAGGTTGGTTACGTTGGTGCCAGATTTGTAGTTTAAATATGCAACTTGTAGGTGTAGAACATTCATCAGTATGGTTTTACGCTCATGATGGGGACCGACTTTCCTGAGTTCAAGATAAGAGCTTCTGTCCTTTACTGAACATGTTCAGTACCATTTGAAGCCAGTGTAGGCTTGTGCAATGATTTTTTTTTTTCAAAATTGGAAGTGAATTTCATATGCCCGAGGCCTATCTGTCAACATACCTGAACTAGACCTAGGGCCTATTGCATGTATTGCTCCAACATGCAGAGCGCGTTCAAATAAATTTTTTGAATTCACAATGGAACTATTTGGGAAACACCACGTCCATCTCTTAAATTCACCTGAACCTTAAATTGACAGACTAGCTCACATCAAAATGAACATAGGCCTGCTGCTATAAAACTTCCTGATTCCCTTGTATTCTGCACAGTTTCAAGGTGAGTTAAATGCCATCATCCACCTTGCCCGCAGCGACCCGGACCAGTGGGTGTCCATCGTGGGCGACATCCTGCAGACCTACCCGAGCACAGGTAGCCTGAATCTGGATGTAGAGGAGGAGCATCAGTTTGTGGCGGAGGTATTGTACGACCTGCGCAAACACAGTGAGTGCGGTTGAGCTTATGTGCACAGTACAATGTCAGAGCCTCATCTGAGACCGTTTGTTCGGGCTACGAACATGTACCAGTCTGCGGTTGAGTACCACAATTGTTTTGGTTGTTGGGGACCAACAAGTGTTTCAAAGTCTGTGAGGAGGTGCTATGACCATCTTTCCATGTATTTTCTGTGAACGGAATTTTCCGATGTTTTCATCAGTCCCAATTTCAGTCAGTGTCCCAATTGTGTCAACACTCCATTTTTTGTGGTATGCGAATGATGATCGCTGATGTTTATCGTTAAAAAAGAAAAGTAACCTCAAGGAAATTGCACTCTGTTGAGAATTGTCTATTTTATGATAATGATTTTCATTAATGGAACCATTATTACATTGTGTGGATTTCGGTTTTTTTTCTCACATCTCAGTGAGCGAAACAGACAGCAACAGCCTCCTACCACTGGAATGCCAGTACCTGAATAAGAACGCCCTCAATCAGCTGGTGGGCATGCAGGCTCCGCCCATCAAACACTTCACCCTCAAGCGGAAGCCAAAATCGGCTGCACTGCGAGCAGAGCTTCTTCAGAAATGTAAGCAAGTGGGCCTTTGCTGGTCTTTTCTTAAGGCAAGATTGACGTCTATATGGAAGAATTGACAGAAAAAAGTTTTACCATTGACAGACTCTTTGCATATTTGGCTAAGACCTTCCTGAAGCCCTTGATAAAACAAGTTGTTTTTTTTCAAGATTGTAATCGAGTAGTCCCTGTACCCACCTTTCAGGGGGACATTAAGGCCCATGTAAAGTTCCAGTAGACAGCCTCTACCTTTCCAACGCTTGCCAAAATTCCTCCTGGATTTTGCAGGAAGAAGCGGGTTGATTTTCAGGACTGTGTTTAATTTTCTTTTGTTTAGTTGTCTCTGACTCATGAACAATCATATCTCTGAAGTCGAATCCCTGTGCCAGCTGAGAAATAACATGAAGGGAATAGGACCAAAGAAGTGATGCATTGCTAGGTTCATTTTCTCTCATCTCTACTCAGCGGTTGAAGCGGCACAACAGACTAAGAAACAGGTGGGCTCCTCGACCGTTCCGACCAAGAACAGGACCAGAAAAATGGATGATAGTGAGTGTACCCGCCAAAGAATTCATCCAAATTTTTTTTCTATAAATAAGCCCCTTTTAGAAAGTTCTTGATCTCTTCCCACAAACCCTAAAAAGTTGCAAAAATAAAACATCCTTAAATCAGAGAATTATAGCAATCTCTAAATGCATTTGGTTTCAAATCCGGATGGCGTTGGTTTGGACATTTCTTAAACATTAAGCAGTACTTCTTTCCGTGCTTCTTTTTTTCTCGTAAAGCTGCTCCTTTGAGGGGGATCCCCAAGTCAACGACAGGATTTCGAGCAGCGCCCTCGCTTCCTCGCACCATCCCTCTCAACCGCAGAATGGCTTTCAACCGGGAAGGGGGCACAAAGGTACGAAGGGGGAGATATTTCAGTCGCTGTTTGCCAAATCTCGGCTCTGTTGAAAGCTGCTGCAGCGGGCTCCTGCGACACGATTGGGCAGGGAACATTTCTCATACAAAAGTCATGAGAATTATTCAGTCATTACAGACACTCGTGAACTAGGAGAGAGCAGTCATTTTTTTATGTATCACAATCCCTTGTCGCTAGCCTGTCAGTTTACTGGAGCAGCCTGATCACAAGACCCAGGCAAGCACACTTTCCTTAGGAATGAACCTTTACCTCCCACACAAAAAATAACTACCGGTATAATCCTAATCCAGTGACAAAGTAACGATTTCTTTTACCTCGTAGTTGTTGGACATCACCGAGCAACCTCTTGGGGGAGCCAACAGGGAAGCTAAGAAACGCAAGAAGCAAGCAGGTGAGGTTGCCTTACTTGCAACTCCTTAATTCCACCCACCTCCTGAAAATTGTTTGCTGTTGATTTATTGTCTTTCAATCTTCCCAGTGATGACTTAGGTGGAGATTTCTTACTGTATTCACCAAAAAGTGAGCCCAACTACCATAATTTTTCTTCTCGATACAATTGAAATCTGTTTCATGAAGAGTTATGCCGTTTGATTTCCAGTACGACAGATTGTTAAGTTCTGGAAAAATTTGTCAACAGTAGTGCTTTCCAAACCAAGGGTCAAAGTTTGAATATTTCCCTGTGATATTACCATAATGACGCTTTTTTTGGGGGGGATGTGGTCGGCAGAATTGGAGGCCCAGGAGCAAGCCAAGAAGGACAAGGAGGCAGCCCAGGCGGCCACGCCCGACTACGCCGCCGCATTCATGTCCCCGGCGTCGGTCAAGCCCGCCACAACCACCAACCCGCTGGACAAGCTGGAGGAGACGGCTGCACCGTCTTACGCACCAGCGGCCAGTCAGAGCAAGCCCAGCAAGCCACCGTCCTCGCTCCTCAAGAACTTGGGTAAAATATACGTTGAGATTGGACCAAGCTCTTGGAACTCCTGAAGTTTTATATGCAAAGAAATTAGTTGCTTAACAAATGAGACTAAATCTCACAAAATGAGTCTTAAGGTCATTTTTTCAGTCCTTCTAAGTCTGCATTGGAACAAACAAACTGAGCCCTTCTTTGAGGTATCATTCGATATGGCGTCTTGAAAATGGACATTATGCAGGTGAAACAAGATAAGGGAACTTACCGAGTCACACAGTGCAAGGTTGTTTTAATACCCTTTTACCAAAGAGTAGTTCTGCTAAGCAAGATTTCTGCTTAGCAGCTTTTTGAAATTGGCTCTTGGTCTTCATGATCAAGGTCGATGACATTGCCCTCCATCAGTTGGAGTAGGACTCGGTCAAATCATGGGTCATAAATGGATTTATAGCAGAATTAGAGTTTGGAATGTTTTGTTATGTGTCAGTCATGATTCTTGCATTTATCAGATGACTTGGGTATATATATGGCTGTGTGTGATCAACTCCAGTGCACTATTAATGAAGTTACATCATCGTAAGCCAACATTTTGCAATTACACACTGCTTTTTCAACAGTTTTAGTTATTTTTTTTACATGCCACACAGAACAGCCACTGTCCACCAAGACAGCACGAGACAACCTCCAGCACCAACTCCAACAGTCCCTGGAGCAGTCTGGCTTCAACCTCCAAAACCCGACAGTTACCGTCGCCCCAACACCTGCCACTCCGACTTCCCAACCACCGGTCAAGCCCCCACCCAAGCCTACCGTCACCAGTCCCACCTTCCAGCAGCCAGGGGCATCGGTCGGGATGACGCCTGTCCCACCCACGGCTGTGCCCGTCGAGCCTACGCCCCCCGCCCAGGTACCGCCAGCTGCTGCCATGGCCGGTGCCAGCGGTGCCAGCGGTGCCCAGAAGAAGAACCTGTCTCTAACGGTGAGTTATATTTCATAAGTTTCATTCAGATGTATCCAGAATTGAAGGAGCCCTGTTCATTTTCTGTTGAGACTTACCTATCGTCCAAGACGATGTGATTCTAAACGATGACAGAGTGCTATCACAATCAAACTAAGAACTGAGAAGATTTGTCTTCTGCTAGAATTGGCCTTTGAAGACATGCAAGAGAAAACCTTTTAACATTCCAAAATGGTTGGAATCTCAAGACAGTGCCTGTAATGAGGGAAACCTTCCTTCACTTTTCAAGAGTCTGTAGGACTGGAGTGTACAACACATTTCAAGCAATAAAAATCTTAATAAATTGTATTCCATTTGGGCATCACGCAGCCTTATGTGTGGTAAAAGTGTAATCAATCACGGCTAAGATCCGACGAGTACCCCTTATAAAGTCAGCCTTGCTGCATGCTGGGTAGCAACATGTTGGTAACAAGCTCGATTCCCCCTTTGCATCCTCTCAGAGAGATCAAATGGTGGCTGCCCAGGAGATGTTCCGTCAGTCCAACAAGGTGACTCGCCCCGAGAAGGCCCTCATTCTGGGTTTCATGGCTGGCGCCAGAGGTAAGGCATTAACACCAAATCCATCCCACAAGCTTGAGTACACAATGTGCTTCGAAACTTTAAATTTCCGCCCAGTGTTGCACAGAAATATTGGTGAGTTTCCCAGGCATGTGCACTACTTTAACATTTTCTGTTTTTTTTGTGTGATCAGACAACCCATGTCCCCAGCAGGGTGACATCGTCACAATCCGCCTCAGCGAAAACCGCGAGATGGTGCCGCGCGCCGACGATCTGGGCACCGATGAAATGACAGTAGACACGTACTTTGAGATGAACTATGCCACAGGCAAATGGAGACGGTACAAGAAGTACAGACCGCTCTGAACGATCATACTCACTGCCTTGCTCTGAATCAAACCGCAACCTGCTGTATCCTGTATGTGCACGGACCCATTGAGGGCGCTGTCTCTCTAAACAGTGCTGTGGTTCGTGGGATCCCTGTTACTCTGTTTTCTGGCAAGAGGTTGCAGCAAACGGGTAACAAGGAGCTTTTAAACTGCAAAGCCTGGTGTAACGATACAGCTCACTCCCAGGGACCCATGTTAGGGTCCCTACGAGTGAAATGATCACATTGATTGTGCTGAGAGGTACAGAGAGAATCGCACATAGTGCATCGTCACTGGTTCCAAGTGAAGTGTATGCACCTTGGTGGTGCATGATCAGGTTACCGGGCAATTAGCCCAAGTCAACATTAATATGAAGTAGTTAAAAATCACAGCTGCGCTTCTCTGGTTCAACAATAGAGCTTGCAGTTTTCTCCAGTTCATGCAGGACTTGCAGAGGAGTTTCATCAAGAATATGGACAAAGGTACTTGTTTTCACACGTCTCCTCTCATAAATAGATCAACACTTTAAAAAAGGCAATTTCTAGCAGATATGTTGTCAGTAAGCTGTAACTTTGCTGTCAGTGTGTAAATAAACAATATCATAATGTCATATCCTTTTATCATGTCCTGTTGTCATAATGCCTTTGAAATTAAATGGACATACACTGGAGAATACAAGAGGTAACCACCACAGACTTCGCACAAGCAAGTAGGTATTATTGCAAAGATTTGAAACAAAAATCACAAGACAAAGTTTTACCAGAATAATTTAAGTGGGGTGAAAATTAAGTTTTAAAAAACTGATATAAATGTGGCGAGAAATCACAAATACAATTCCTTGCAAACCCTGCACTAGTCTACAGTATGAGTTGAAGTAAAGATCAAACTGCCAGGTAACTGAATGACATTTGAAGTGAGATTTGTACTCCGCTTTGTTAAATCCTTTTAACAGTTGGACTGAACAAAATTTTTTTTCATTGAAACATAAATTGTGAATATTTATTAAGAATATCTTCCAATAGTGTCCACGTATACCTCCTACAAATTGGAGAAAAAAATCGCCACACCCAAGGTTGATAATAGAAAGATCATGTTCATTTTTAGATCAGTATTTACTGCATAGCAAGATTTCTATGTCATTTCTTTCTAAACTGTCAGTAATCAGGCACTTAAAACAATCTCTCTTACTCCTTTGATACACTATACCTTTATGACAAATACTTTTCTGAGTAGCATAAATTCCATTTAGTATAGTTTTAAACTACAGCAAACTTGACAATTTTATTAAATGGTAGCTGAATAATATACCAGGCAAACCACACGGCCTATTGAAATATGGCAACTTCTGATGTTCATGGCTTTCCATTCTTCGGCTCACAACTCACAAACAATAAAAGGAGTTAATTCCAACGATTTCATTTTGTATTTTAGTATTACAATCTGAGCGGTGAACAAAATCTGTGGATGCAATGTAAAAGTTGTAGTTCAAAAGCTGTGGTTTTTGTTTCTGCAAAAAAGGTGTCCTGATTAGGACTCCGTAACTTTTACTTTTTGAACCAAGAGTTTGGGATATTTCCCTGATTCAAATATTCATTTGTAATCCGCTGTATCTTCTTGACAACAATCTGCTCATACACATAACATTTAATTATCATATACAGATACACTCAACTTTTAATATTAGCTACTAAGAATGACATTGAAAGTACTGAGATGTTACAATTTTTTTCTGAGTTAAGCAACATGCAGAAACACACAGCATTTTATCACTACACATAACATCATTCTCCACACTTGCACAGTGATTTGATTCAATTTTTGGAAGGCCTTCCCCAAAACAGTCATGTTTTGACATTGATCTGTGGAAGAAGTGGTTTTAATGGAGATGTAGTTCTATGTGGGGCCAAACAAATTTTAAGAAACCTTTTTTTTTTATTAAAGGTTGATTACTCCAACTCTTGGTGCTTCACCACAAATTGAAGGTTGTGACCGTTCAATAAATTTTTGTAACAAATACGCATTGGTGAGTGCCCTCTGGATGCCATTGGTATCAGCTGACTAGAAATGTTCTTTTGTGATAGCTGGTGCATATCAGTTTGACAAAGTCTCAACACGTGCCCACGAAAAATCTGAAGCCAACAAAATGACCACATTGTGCATATTTCTTAAACTAGATACGATTGTCCTGGAGTAAAAAAAAAAAAAGCTTGGAAGCTTAAGGAGTTTTGTAAGAACTGCAGCCCATCATTCTAAAACCAGGCTGGCAGTTGCCCTTGGAAATAAAGGGATAATATGGTCAGTGGAATTGGTATTTATTTAATGAACATGGACATGGAATATGTCAGGGTTAACAAGTCAATGTTGGGACGAAAACTCTCTCTTGGGCCAAATTTTTTACAAGTAGGTAGCAACACGTGGCTTCTTGTTGTATTCCCGCATGTCGCGCACCACACTTTGTTGATTCTGTCGCTGAAGTGGGTCCTGACTGTAGCCATATCGGTATGAGTCGGTGTCCACCGAGGGCATGCCATAGGGGCGGTTCTTGGGCATATCCCAATCAGGGTCTAGGAGGAAAGGGAAGAGAGAGGTTAAATGGTTAAAATATTCTCAGAGGGTGAAAATGTTTATATTTTATTGCATTATTGATTCATTTTGATTTCTTTTTGCTTTATAAACTGAGCAAACTTGGATTATTAGAGTGTCTATGAAATAAAACCCTACTTTTCATCCCTCATCCCTTAAAAATGTAACGTTTGGGATTAATTCTTGCCACCTAGTACTAGCATCCAATTGAAAGCATACTTCAAGATGCCACAACCAAAAACCAACAACCAAGTTGTGTGAAGCAAAGTTCACGACTCTTTAAAAATTTCTTGAAAATGTGGAAAATACATGTGCATTCATTTCAATATAGGCAGAGCAAAATGCCATATGTGAGGGAAAAATCAATACAAAACAATGTCTAAATAGTCCCATCACAATAATGAAGGTAAAAAGTATATCAAATGGGGGAAGGAAGTAGACGAAAATAAAACTAACGTCCCTTGGTATCAGATTGTTCACAAACAATGCAGGAAATGAAATAGATATTTACAAGTTGGAATTTGCTTTGAAAAAATGCGCATTTGCATTGAAAAATGAGAGTTTGGCATTTGTCTTACTGTGCTCTGAAAGCATGAGATGATTATGGAACACTTCATGTCGCAACACTGCTGTTGTATGTGGAGGTGGTTCTTCAGCCAAAATGAGAGGCTAATGAGCTGTGAACAAAAACTGATGAAATTAATGAGCATGTGATGTTACCGATGGGCAGGTCCTGGGTTTGGCTGGCCTGTCTTGTGATGTGGATTCTTGGTGGGGGTACAGGAACCGGGGATTTGCCGGATGCCAGTGAGCGGCCAGAGATCGTTGATAATGACGATGAAGCTCGGGGAGGAGGAATCGGCGGCACGGCTTGCGTTGATAGTTGGGTAGATGAAGATGGATATGACGGTGATGGAGAGGATGATGTGATGGCTGTTTGACGCTGCAGGATTCTCTGTGGGCGTGGTCTTACTACTGGGAGGATATCCGGTTGGGGGAGGGGCTGGGAGGTGGGTGGAGGGGGCAGTGGAAGTGGGGGAGATGGAGGAGGGGAAACAGTCGGTTGGCGGAACACCACCCGGTGCTGCCTGTTGAGCATGCCTGGCGATATCAGGATGGAGGGCAGTGGACCAGGCAGGGAAGTGGGCGGGACTTGCGGTTGCATCTGGGGGGCGGGCAGAGCTGCTGGGGGCTGCTTGGGGTTAGCAACAGCCTGGGAATTCACATAGAGTGGGGATGGAGGAGTAACAGGCTGGGATGGTTGCACAATGATATGGCTGGGGTTGGTAGGGGGAAAGGCCATGGATGGGGAAAGGGTACAGTAAACTGCTGGGCGGGGTGGGGCAAAAAGGGGATCTGAGGGCTGGGGGAAGGGGGTGATCCGCTCGGAGAGAGGGTAGGGTCCGGGGATAATCACTGGGAAGGCTACACAGTGATTGCAGAACCAATAAGAATTTTTCATCAGTCGATACAATTTACATAGCTTTAATCTAATGAGTAACAAGTTAGCTGTTAAAATAAAGTGGACTAAAGGAAACCTGACCCATTGTCAGTAGAAAAAAATAACAGAGAGGTCAGGATTCGAACCCCAGACCAGTGGACTGCAATGCCTGTCTTCTAATTATCTAGGTAAGTCATTAACTGATAGCTAGAGCATCATAAATGTGGTCTTGGATTGGACTCCTGACCTCAGTCAAGTTCCTGAGCTCAAACTCAATTCAAAAACATCAAGACACAAACACTCATCACAGATTTTATTTGCACAACCTCAATTTACACTCTCTAAACCATTTTTCAATAATTGGTAAAAATGGCCCAGTTGCAATGGGTTAAGAAAGAAGGTCTGACAATTACACCATCCACATCACCTAGTTCAACGGGTCACTATTTTAGTAAAACACCTTTTGCCATGCTACAACACAGTTAGCAGTATAACCAAATATACACAACTTTAGATAGACATCAACAACTATTTTTTTAATATATTTTTACTATTCATGATTTAAACTTAACCCGTGGAGATCATTTCCTGGGAAGAAGGATGAGGACCAGTTTTTGTCATTTCACACACATTATTGGGAATTACAGTTAATATTTGGAAAAATCTGTGACTTGTTAGCAGACACAGAGGAGTGTTCCATTTGAAGGGGAAAAAAGGGGTAGAAATGATATTAAAGAGTACCATCTTCAAATGACGACTGTCGACTCATAGCTGATTGGTCAAATGAGTCAGGTGACAGGAAAGATGTAGATTGGTGGTCATCGTCTGCTTGGTCAGCATATAAGAATGTGACATATGAATTATTCATATATGGAAATGATGTATTCATGTTAATGAGATTTGCCATGAATAATTCCAAACTTAACAGCAACATTTTTAATGAGGTTTTTGTTTACTTGCAAACACAGTGAGAGAAAATTTGACCAATCCAAATGTGATGATTAATGCTAGTTACTCAAGGCGTGAATTGTTCAACATGAAAACAATTTTTCAAGCTTTTCATATTTTGGAAGAAGTTGACCTTGTGAACTAGTTCTACATGTTTTAAAAGTGAAGACATCATTGTAAACAAAACAGTGCAAGGGCAAATGAAAAACATATTCTGTGAAATTAAAACTTCTTCCAGTAATTTGGAAACATTTCTTTTTCTGTGCCTGGTGTGATGTCCTTGCGCTTTTCATTCATGTTGTTTGGGATTACAGATGGCAAAGACTGGCAACTTTGTTTCAATAGAAAAACTGTTTCATGAGTACCGTATCCAGCGGACGGCTGTCTGCCCCAGTGCGGGTATGCCAGTGGCAACTCCTTGCTCGATCCCTGACGAGCTGATTAGAAAGAAACAAATATTCTTATAATACTGGCCAATTGAAAATTCCATTTTGATGTGTTAATAGAAACCCTCACACAGAGAATTTCCAACACACGGCCATTTTATGATGTGAAACCAGTTTTCACACAAACACCTCTTGGGCCTCTCTGGTCACCTGAGTAACAATCTACTTAGAATTTGTGTTACGTTAACTCTTTTATGCAACCAGTAACAACCAATGGACTAGTTCTAGACTCTCTTTCTGGTACTAGTCAAATGTGGGTACCAGTCATCTGTAGCGTTCAAGACCAAAAAAACGGCCTTAGGAGCAAAAATTACTTCAACCACATGGTGCAAATGCCTTGATCTGGGATTTCTCTTTTTCCGTCAAAAGTAAAAGGTAAAATGTGACAGACCTGGAAATAAAAGAGCCGCGACACTTCCAATGAAAAAAATTGGAAAACAATCTTCAACCAGTTTCTGTGATGACTCATGACTGGTTTAAACCAGTCGACAAATCGGTTTAAGCCGCACTCACTCCAAGCACTGTCCTCTCTGGATGCTTGCAAGCTGCTGCTCCTTGACCGCCGATACATCATCATGGCAGCCAGGCGGCGTCGGCGATGGGGTGAAAGCGAGTAAACCTCTACAGAAATATTGTGGGATGTACAGATGTTGTGGGTGTCATGAAAAAAATGAGATGATGCTCATGACATCTGCACAAAAACATGACCACATCGCGAAGACAACACTTGACAATGTTCAACATCTGCTTGGACACTTTCAGATGCTGGTGAAATACCCGACAGCGAGGAGCATGGTCTTGAGCATTTTCAAAGAGGCAACCTTTTGTGTTACACATTACTTGTAACAACAAAATACCTTTCATTTGAAAATAAATGCACAGGATGAATGTCTTCTGAGAACCCAAATTTCAAGAAACTCGGGAGCATTCCATACTATGTGGCAATAACTAATTAATTTGCTATATAACACATTTTACGTACATTCCAAATACATTTTTACATGCAGCGAATGTCCCTTTCTCACAAATACTGTCCTGTGATTGGTTAATGAAGTTTAGGCACTTCTTATGCCGTCATCGTTACAAAGACATACGATTGGCCACATATTCTTGGAGCATACCATCTTCCAAGGAGGGGTGCCTGCTATATGGTGGGAGGGACAGGCTTGCAGGAGCATGCATGGAAGGTCTTGTAATTCCAGCACTCGATGACGGGCCAACTTGAGCATCTAAGATTTTATCAAGAAAATAGAGATGTTTTCCTTTCAATACACTTCACAAAAAGGCAATTATGCATTAATTCCGTCACCCTTGCAATTTTACCACTTTTATACGCAATTTTAAGATCAGTAAAGTAAATACTCATCCATGCACATCTTTTTACACAATAAAATAAACTCAACTGGAACAACAGACACGTAAAGTTAATTACTTGTACTGGATAACATTTTAAGTATTTGCAGTCTTAGAGCTAGCCAACAAACAACTATCAATTTTTAATTTGTGGAAGAATGAAAACCATAAAAGCTGGGTAAGTTGATTACCTTCATCCATTTTTCCAATGCTGTCCATACCAACATCCACAGGTTTCAGGTTACTCAGTTGTTAGTGTTCTCACAATAGGAGTACATCTTGCGAACATGTAGTTATCTCTGGCACTGAGTCACAACGTGGACAGATCCCCCCCAAAATTCCACAGAACAATACTTGCCAACATCACATTCATACAGTTTCCCCCATGTTAAAGAGTTACAAAAACATCTACTGAAGTGTTAATGGCATTTCTCAACATTTTTGGCAACTGGAAATCAGGTCATGTCAGGTCTATGTTTGGTCTTGGAAAGAAGTAGCGCAAAACCAAAATAACCACAAAAGAAAAGATGGTGTCGTATTTGATAGAAAATGAACATGGGGAGATACGCTTTTTCTGAAACTGACTGCTTTACAACACTTCAAAAACGCTTTCTCAGATTATTGCTTGAAAACATTTTCCCAAGTCTACAGTTTTAAATTGCTTCCCAGTGACTTCCGCATTTCTCAGCTTCCTGAGACTTCCATGACTTTTCTCATGTTTCTCATGACACCAATTCCCTTGCCTTATGTAGGTTTTTTTCTGTGATTTTCTCCACAACTTCCACAGACACAGGGAAAACCTGGGAATCAACAGGGAAGTATACCATCATGCTCAAGGGATTGCTGGGGTGGCAATTCTTCAAGCGATTGCCGTGGCGCTATTCCATGTAACATGGCTCGTATGAGCGTCCGTTTAGTCTCCCTCATGCGGTCTTCTAAGCATTGCATTGTGGGTAAGCAGAAGAAAAAAACACCAAGATTACAGAGGTTATTGCTCAGTTCTCTTAGCATAAAAAGTGATCATAATAAAGCAAATATGGTTACTCCATGTTCGTTACAGACACATCAAAGATCATCTAGTAGATAATACATTATAGTCCCACTAAGGTGCGAAAAAAAAAGAGTATTGAGAAAGTTTGGCAACGACAAGGCTGAATCCTTATTGAGTCACCAGCCCTATACCTCACGAGTTAACTAGATCGAGTACCTGGACTTCAAAGGAAAAACTTTTGAGTTTTTATACCAATAAAAGCCTAATGTTAACAGCTCACTCACTGGCAAATGTAAAACAAATATAAGAGGAAATGGTTATGAGAAATGACAAAGAAAACAACTGATTTATACATAGCAACCATTTTTTGTTCAGAACATGGTGTATTTTTATTATGAAAATGAGATATTCTATGATACAAAGTTAGTTCTGAGTTCTGTAGAGTACAAATGCAGTTTCCTTTCAGCACATTTCAGAAGGTATAACATTCTAGCTATCCAGGTGATTTGTAGACATGAATGCACATATATTTATTCTCCAATATTAACATGAAAATCAGAATGTGCCTCTTACAAAAATGAACGTGACATCTGTTTACATGAAGACTTTTACTGGTTGAATCAAATCCTTTAAAACAGTAAAAATTTCCCTTAAACTATGCTAAGTTATATAGCACCAGAATGGGGAATTTCACAGTGAGTTTTAAGGTTTATATGAACAGAAATTAACAAGGTTTTTCTTATACCTGAAACCATTGAAACAACAAGTTATGCTTTTGAAGCTAGAGGTTTTTGAGCTGTAACTGCGTCAACAAAGCTTAGCAAGGTAATTATATCTTTGGACTCTAACAATTAAAGTCTACTTCTTTGTCTGTATTGACAAACACTCAGCCTGCCTTCAATAGTTTGGATATCCCTTAAATTCTTAAGGATATGGAATTGGTCAAGCCTCTGTGTGTACTAACACACATTTGGCAATACTGCACATCAACAAATGCAATAATTGGACCCATTTCATCATCCACAGAATTTTTTTTTACTTTTGATACGGCTTCTGACAATTTTCTCCCAATTCAAGAATCAGTTGGAATGAGCCCAAGTTGTTTTACCCAAACTCTCGCGACAAGACACTCGTACAATTTTTGCGTGATATGACATTGGAACAAAAGACGTAAAAAAAGTAAAAACGTAACTTGGCAACACGGACGGACTTGAAGACAATCATTTGACATCATGGAGTTAAATGATGAATATTCATAACTAGCATAAATTATGCAGCTTATCATTTTTTAGATTAATTATACAAAACAGAAAAACGGAGTAAGTTCCAAAATTTGAGAGGGGGAATAGAACAAACAAGTCTCATAGTTTAATCTGTATTTCCCATGTGAAGATCCTGGGTACCAGACACTGACTCGTCTTGACCAAACTGCACAATGCCTTACCCACCAATCAGAATTAGTCACATTTTCTCTTTATAACTGTTTCTGAAATATTTTCAAATTTGCAAATAGTTGCAAACTGAGACAGTGCCTTTCAAAAAATTCTAAGCAGCAACAAAAGACAGAAGAATGATGGAAACGGAATGTTTGAAGCACACATTGAAGTCGCAACTGAAGGATAATTCTAACAGAAACTTGCATCTTATTCTCTCATGTTTAAGTTTACGAGTCTTAGTTATGATTTTTTTTCTCAGAGAAAATTTTACCGTAACTGACTTCAGCAGTTCTGAGTTCTGACAATGCTTTACAGATATTGAATACTGAGATGTACACGTACTGGATGATAAATAAATGTCAACAAAAGGAGTACAGACAAATGATAACATGAAACAAAAATAAACGACAAGTTCTACTGTATATTTGCACTTACATAAATTAGGAACAGGAACTAAAACAGAAGGCTGCACGGCGACCATTTTTTTTTCACCTATGAGATGTCTGATTTTTTTATGCCATAAAAAAAACACTTTCTAGGAAATTCAGAGTTCAATTATTTGCCATAGATCCCCTCAATACCATAGTTCGATTCAATAAAGCCTATCCAGGGGAGAGAACGGTACAAAAGAGACTACTAATTTGCATTACATTTTGATGAAATTGATGACAATGGCAAGAAATGGTAGGCGGCACAAACATTGTTTTCAGAAGCTAACTTAAGCTGTGACCAAAATAAAAAAAAAACGGAGGAACATACTGCATAATTGTTGTTATACGTCATCTTGGTAAACATAAAAACAAGTTTCAAACATTCTTTTTTGTAACCGCACCAGGTAAAGAGCTTTTCATGTAAACATAAAAACCTTCAAATGTCTTTCATAAAATGTTCCGCATAACACAACTATCAGGTCCGTCTGATGAGGGAAAACAAGCACACAATCTCAGCTCTGAAGTGTGGCGTTAATTTTGAGCACAGTGTTGAACACGTATTACACGGTTAAAACTAGCTTTGGCATTTGGGAAATATTAGCACACTTTGATTGTCAACGCTTTTATGCATGGTAAAATAGTTTTCACTGGATTCTACATCTTATAAATTTCATTAAGAGATGGTTTTGCAACTAAAATCAGCACACCATGTATCGTTTTTTTTCCTTTTATCCAGCCTCTCTTTGAGAGCATGGACTAATTTGACTCGCATATCTAAATAAGCAACAGAAATTAAAATATGCAAAGTTGCACTTTTTCCAAGGATGATACTTGGGCAGAGATTAAAAAACTCTCACCAGCTGTTTAGGCTGTAGATTCAAATGGATTCTTCTCTGAGTGGGTAAAACATAATCAACACTTTGAAAGTTGTTAAATTAAAAAAAGAAAATGGCTCATTTATGGACAACGTTCTCCCAATACAGCGCATTCTTCCCACAACGCAACGTTACTTCCTCTTCTTTGCATCAGAAAATCCTTCAGTTAAATACAAAACTATGGCACATTTAATTTACAACACTGACTTAAGCTACAGTTAGTACTGCAAGAAGAGTTGTTCAACATCACACCACTCTAAATATTCTTCACCTGTCACTTCCTCGGGCACCTCAAACACTTGTGTCTAATAAAAATCTTTGCTCAGTTATTTAAATCAACACCTTTTGAACAAGGCTAAATTGAAGAGTGGGACAAAGTTCAAAGGTCGGAAATAATAAAGGATTTAATGTCTGCGCTCAGTTCGAATAAAGTTACATATACAGAGGGGAATATCAAGAAAGTGATTTGTGCATTTGTATCAACCAGGGCAGCTTTTAAAGGCAGGTGCACCTTTAAAACTTGGTCTTGTAACTGTAATGCAATGCATGGATTCTCATGAGAAATGATACCCTATTACCAGGCACCAACCCATCCTGGGTCCACAAAAAAACATGCCCTGCAGACTTCTGAGGCAACAGCACACATATAAATAGCTGTGAATTCTCAGACACAAAAAAATCACTTCGTCAACAAATGAGCAACAACAAATTATGACAATGAACATGAACAACTGAGGCAAATATGAAAAAAATTTGGACTTTTTCCCTAGGCTGCCGTGGTCCATGAAATTGGAATCGCCATGCGAGGATGGTAACAGCAAAACATGATGAAGGTGGTGGTGGGATCAACTATGAGGGCGCTAGAAGTAATAATCATGGGGAGGGATATTAAGGGGCTCACCAGGGTGGTAGGCGGGCGGAGGGGCCATCGGACGGCCCAGGTTGTTGTAGCCATCATAGCCGTTGATCACTTGATCATCTGTAGCAAAAATTCAATCAATAACCAATCACTCAATCAATAAGTAAAAGAGAAAGTTTAAGTCTCTTAAACGAAATTTCTTGGTGGTATTTCACTTCTGTAACTGCAGAGATACTATTTGATTGGATTGGTCTTGCAATATCACAAGTGATTGAGATGACAAAGCACATCCAACAAAAGATCAGTTATCATTCGATAATAACAAACTCAGTAGATAATTAATTTCTTTTTGCTGGGTCTGTCACTGGTGCAGTGTACGTTACGTCGCTCTACCTATCACAAGGTCCAAGACAGGCAGTCTACCAGCACACTAACGACCACTATGTCTATCACTGGCTTTTCCCTTGGTCTGTCCCTCCATCTGTCCATGGATCTATCACTGCCATGGGGTGTGGCCCTTGGTCTCACCTGGAATGTAGTGCGGGTTCTGCTGGGGTTGCATCCCTCCCTGCCCTAAGCTCTCTACTAAACGGATGTTGTCATGGCCTATATGAAACAATAGAAATGTTTATACATTAAACGGCTGTAGGAACGTATTTGTGCCGACATAAAACAGTAGTCACATTAGTCACCACTGTTTCTAACAGCATGTAGTAAAGGTAAAAGGTATGTTAAAGCAGCTAGTAATTCACATCAAAATTTTTTTTTCAGATTCATGTAACAACCCACAGCAAAACCGATCATGATGTACTTCAATGAACCCAAAAACTGGTGTCCAAACTTACGGAACTAAAAACAGCACACTAACAAAGACAATTTTCTCCAATTCCAATACAATTTTCCCATCAGAGAACCTGAGCAAAATGCCAAATACAGGGATTCCAGACAGACAACCAACCTGCATGCAAACTATGGTCTCTACCACTTTCCCGTTTAATTGCTAATCCCTGGCCAATTTAAACAGAACAGTTCAAATAATCCAAATTGAATACCAAAGCTTCACACTTAGCATCATTTGAAAAGGGTTTGAACAGTCAAGAGATATCGATAAACAAGACCACTTCACAGCTCCGGTTTAAATATCTGCCCAAAGAGTTTCACTGTCGCAACTACTTAAGGAACATAAACTAATGAACTACGAAACGAACTTGGCACTGAAGAATGAGAGATCTCTAGTATGGTCAACTGAACCCCTCAAAATAGTGGGCACACTGTTAGTCTTAATAACAGGAGGCGGTCAATTTCACGTGTAGAGGAAATTCCACACTGGTCAATGTCAATGTTGACAAGGCTGGATCTTTAAAACAGAAACATGTCTTCAACACAGAAAACCCCTGCAGAATATCGAAACCAAGAACACAACTATTTAAGAAAAGCCAAAAATGTGACTTTTGGTCTATCTAAAATAAACTGCTACCACACCAAAATATGCCGGATTTACAAAAACCACTGCTCAGACAGTAAAAAAATTAGTAAAAAAATACATTCCCCCCAAAAAAATATTTAGGGAAAATCTAACAGCAACTCAAACAACAAAAGAAAAGAAAATGAAAAGCAAAGGGTGTGCATGTAGATCCTTTTGAAATGTGCAAGTTTATTTTAGAGTTGTTCTTCAAATTTCAGTTTCAGGCTTGTCAAGGTACAGAAAGTTACCATGGCAACTCTACTTTGCACATTTTATACAGTTTTCAATGCATGAAAATTCTCGACAAGTGATAATAAAAAGCCAAAGGCAAGTTCTTGATCAAAATATCCACACCGGCCAGGTGTACAAATGAAAAATTAACCCAAAAAAATAGCCCATGCAGAGTCAAACAAGGTATTCCTCCCATTTTTATCACAAGACCGCATTTAAACAAGACATCACAGAGTAAGCACCAGACTTCAGTATACTGAGATCCTCAGTGGAAGTCCTTAGTCCAAGTCCTAAGTCTCAGATCTTCAGTCTCTCAGGTCCTTAGTGTCCGTCCAAATAGGACACATGGCTGAATGTATGGCTTTGCATCTTGCTAGTGAGCTGCAGTCACTGAGCATAGCCACAGTCGCCACCACACAAAAAGACAGATTTTCGGACTTAGATGATGGACTTTAAAGAAAGCGGTACATTGCTTTAATAGTCTGTCATGTTTTTTTAACTCTGAAATTTCTTTACACACTTTTGATACTGTGAAGGTGAAAAAACTTACGTGTGATATTTTTTGAAAGGCGTGAGATAACATTGAATAACTGACATCCAAATGGTCCACGAAGAATGAAATATGATTCAATGAATTTGTATAATGTTTTCAAAAGTGATGCAGAAACTGAAAAAAAGGGCCACATATGATATGCTGCTTAAAACTACTAAATGGTTCATCCTTCACCGTTGAATATGGCGTTAGAGCTATACCACACTACACAATCAACTACATGTTGATTTTTTTTTCTAAAACAGTCAATGAAAGCATAAAATTCCAATACAGTATTTACATTAGACTACTGAGAATATTAAGATGAAAACTCAGACTGTAGAAACAGTTAGTTCCAGTGCAGCAAATAAAATGAAATATCAAAATAAAACTGAAAAAAAAGAAAAAAATAACTCTGCACTGGAGTCAATCTGCACAATTACTGCTCACAAAAGCAAATTTGAAATTAACAAATATAAATTTTCTTTCATTATTACCCTCTACCCCTACTCCTTGCCACCGTTGCCAAAAATATATTATTATATTTAATTCACAATCATTTCTTCAACTCAGCTTTGTCTCTAATTCGGATCTCAACACAGGTCCCAGAATTTTGAAGAACTGCCCTCATACCGGTACGAAGCAATTACAAAAAAAAACAGGATCGAATCGCATGATATGAAGCTAACAATAAGAGACTTTTCACTGAATTCCCAAACTTTATTGTTGAGGCCGCAGCTGTTGGCAAGTCTAAGTTTTCAGAAAGGGCCCAGCCACTGGGCCCTTTCAATGCGGCGGACTATCCTCAGTCACACTCTTTGCCCTGTGTGCAACTAATCTATTGGAAATTTAAGCTCTGTATACAAGTAGTGATGCCTTGAAAAGCTGGAAAAGTAGCACCATTTTTGATGATAGTTTTGTTTAAAATAGGAACTTGTTATACTAATACTTTAACCACTTGCTGCCGGGTGGATTTTTCTTGCGCAAGACAAGATTGCCAGGTCCTTTTCAAGATTTTCATTTAACGGCCATTTATACCTACATGAAGGTTTCTTTGGGCACTACTCTAAAGTTGACAGTTAAACTTCATTGACTTTTGAATATTTCAGCCAGGCCTGCAACCTTGGAAAAAGAGCTAAGATTGTGCGGCGTTATGTAAGATTCTTTTGTTCCCTAAACCGGCACAGTGCACTGCTGACCTCTTTTCAATAGGGGTCAGATTAGCGTGCATCGGTGCTGTGCGGGTCATCGCTGCGGTGGTGGAGAGCTTTTGTCCCCAGTGGTAATCTGCTCGCTCTAAATGCCTCAAACCATGGTATACTGTTTCAAAACAAGTCTGGATTATCCCCACTATTGAGAGCGAAAAAATGTCGGTAATGCCCAGCAGCTCAGTCTTTTGTGCTTTTGTTATAAGGCCCAACTCTTTTGTCCCAGTTCCCGGCTCTCCGGCTCTACATATAAAGCCTACGTACTTGAAAACAGGTCGCCCCGCAGGAAGTGGTTAATTAGTAGAGAACTGAGAAATGGGTTTGCGGGTACACCATGGAATCAATCTCTTTTGGATGAGATGTGGTTCTTAGAAGAACCGGTGAGTATAAACTCGACGTTTTGGGCCAGTGTGCTATGGCCGTCCTCAGGAGGATGTGCTCTGGTGTGCTGGCCGAAACGTTGCACACTGGCCGAACGTTGAGTTTATACTGACCGATTCTTTTAAGAACCACACGTCCAAAAGAGATTGATTCCATGGTGTACCCACAAACAAATATCTCATGATTCATCCACCATGCACAGCTTCAAATCTTACAGTACAGTACTGTTAAAGAGAATGTCACAGCACACACAAAACATTTACAATGTCGATATGTACCAATTACACAATTAAGAATTGTTAAGGACTATTCCCTGAACTTCTTGATTAAAATCTTTTGAAACACTATGACAAGTCTTCAATACTGGATGAAATCTCATTTCTTTCCATGCATGTATAAATTAGCTTAAACTGAATGCATACAATCGCTGAATTATCGCTGAATTCCACACACACTTCCATCGTTCTGTCGTTAAAAAATTGCATCCACAGGAAAGTTATTTAATTCCTCAGCGTCACGCCGACTAAAATTGCACAAGCTCTTAGAATTTGTGACAACTGACAAGAGATGGTGAAATGATTTCTCAACAATAAAATTTTGCACTCATTTCAACCAGTCAAACTGAATACATTTCAAAAGCTTATAGGATCACTTGCAGTAACTCCAAAAACAGATTTACAAAATTCCATGACCCCCCAAAAATTTCAGAAATGGTAAGAATAGCTTAATTTTTCAACTGACATGCTGCATCTGAAGAATTTCATATTTCAATAGGATTATCAGTGAAGAGAAAAACTAAAAGTGCAACACGTCCATTGGGGTATTAAGACAAGATGTCACAGTATGGGATGTTCAATGTAGACTGACTATCAAGGGGCATTTTGGCAGGAGCATGAGGCAAATGGCTTTGACTTTGACATCAACAGAAACAAGTGGTTTGTTTAGCCAAAAAGACCAGAAGTCACATCCCTGGTGTGTTGACATGGCTTTGACTTTGCCATCAACAGAAACAAGTGGGTCCTTTAGCAGAAAGACCAGAAGTCACTTTCCTGTTATGGAAAGTTTTGTCTCCACAGCCAGGAAACTTGGAATTTTGTCATCAAGGCTTTGAACTGAAATGCTGCTGCAAATGGACAACAAATTTTACAGAACGTGCAAATGATCCTACAGGCTTTTTAAATTGTTACAATATTCGTATGTCTAAACACTGTTATTTTAAGATTAGTATTTGGTCAATTTAAAAATGGTGTAACAAATGAGAAAAATGACATTGATATATAAACAACAGCTATGCACAATGAGTGATGGTCATGCATATGAAGTGGGCATGCAATGATAAATGATAACTAGAAAAATCTACCAGAAAATAAAACAATAAAATGAGCAAAAATGAAACAGGATGAAATAAGTGAAACATAACAACACTAGCAGACAGCAACTATCATTAAATCACATTTAAGTAAACTACGAAAGTGCTCTCGATTGCAAATCAATTAAAAATGAATAAGTGGCTTGTAAAAGTAAAAGCAATCAGGAAAAGGTACCGTGAAACAAAAAAAACATGCCAACTACCAAGGTCAACGAAATTAAACGCATAGATTTATTGCAAATCTTTGATGTATTAAAAAGACTGCATTTAAAGTGAGGAATGAACAGAGGTTAATTACGTGGTGAATACTTTTAATATGCCGAAGGTAAAAAGTATAACAAATAAGAGTTTCAGCTGCTACATACTTAACATAAACCAATTGCCAATACAAGAGATATTACTGTTGCCTTACAGAGAAAAAAAAAACTGGGACTCTCAGAGAATGTACAACAATGTGCCAAATCAACGTTTACCAATCAACTGATTCAGACCGTTAACCTCTCCCCATCCCTACCTCTCCCCCCTTCCGGCAATCACCATGGCAACACCTCGAAACACAAACCACCAACCAGTAACGTTTAGGTCTCAGAATAGCCACACAAATCCTCTCCACACCTCTGAAAAGGACGGCATTTGTACAAGTACTCAAACGTTTTTGCACATGCTTGATCATTATGGATGCACAAACACAACCTCTGGCATTACTTCAACGAGTAAAAGCCTAGCCCAAGGTGGAAACAACTTCACAGCCACCCTGTCCTTACTATCTCCTCCAGTAGTGGGACGGCACGCTAGACCAAACATACCAGAAGGTCTCAGCCCCTTGAGTTCATATGTATCTACTAATAGCACCATTGTTTATTCTAATTAGAAACTTAAGATTTCATGATCACTCTGAAATAGATTAAGTATGTCATTGATTAATAATTTAATGCACAATTATTAAACAATTGAACACAATTTAGAAACTGGCCAAACAAGCTGACCTGAATTGACACTGTAACAGATTGCATAGATTTTGACGCGACTTGATTCCACCGTTTTTCAAACGCAATCACGATAATAGCAAATCCTGACAATGAGATTTGAAAGGGCGAGCAGCATTCACATCTGCTGATGTGACATTTGTGCAAATGAGAGATATTCCCCCATTTGCCCAAGTGGCTGCATTTGCTCCATCTCTGTCTCACTTTCAAGTTGGTAGGAAGCATTAACAGTAAAATCTCCACACTTTGAATCTTTTTCCATCTATGATTCTTTCATATTTTTTGTGTTTTTTTCTCCATTTCCTCTTGGATTCTTCACTTTTCTTTGATACTTCAAATGACTTTTCTGTATCTTTTTGAACTTTCTGTTCAATTCTATAAACATGGCAAGAAGATTTATATTTTCTCCAGCACCTTCCACATTCAAGAAAAACATCCGATCCTCAAAACAGGAAACACATAACCAGACAAACTACAGGCAGAACAAAGAGATTCACGGACATAAAAAATCATCGCCGATTATCAAGTCTTGAAAGACGCATCAAAAGACTAATGGTTTGATTGAACGGCGGCATTTAAAGGCCTCCAAAAGGGCAGAGGGGAAAAAAAGGAAGCAGGGCAACTTTCTATGATAGAAAAATGAATCGGGCACTTTCAAACATGTCCGACAAGCAACAGGAAATTTTCCGATGAAGGCATCCATTTGGTTTCGACATCTATATTACCAATGAGCCATTCATGGCACTGGTAACCTTAAAAAATTCACCAAGTTTCACTTACTGGTTTCAGGATAAGGACATCTTCAGGCATCTCTGTTGATCTACCACCTGATCACTGAGGGAACCTTTTCCTACAATATGAGTACCTCGTGTGGCTTCTAAATAGGACTTAACATCATGGTTAGTCCTTTCTTTGGTACCCATGGGGGGGGGATCGAAGTGAATTTAAGTATAAAGGATTTTTACATTTGGTCTTAATTTTAAGCCGAGTTCACCCCTAGGGTCTTAAGTGGCATATAGTCCCTGTTCTGTCTACGGATCCACCAATCACCTGTGTGGTGGCCGCCGTCATCCGGCAAGTCCTCCATGGCCATGTCCTGGTTGACCCGCCTCGCCCCCTTCTTGTGCCTCTTGGTCCGGGGCGGGGCCTCCTCATCCATGATGCGGTAGTACTTGGCAAGCCGGACGGCAATGAAAATGGACGGGATGTAGAAGATGGCACACCAGCCTGTGGTGAACCAGAGCGTGTTCTGCCAAAGGCAAGTGAAAGATGGTTGTTGGATTGGTGACTCGTGATGGTGACGGTGACTTTGGATCTTACTATCCAAAGACAATCTATGGGCCCTACGCATGCACTGCTGAGGGCGGTCTTCTGTGAGTGCTTCATCTCCACCTTCAGGCTTAAATGTCGAGATGCTTGATCTCATCAATGCTGCATTTCCTGATATCGGCATCAAACAGTCTAATATATTGGGACTTTTTTTTTAATCGAGTTTGCTGGGGCAACCAGGAAGAAAAGAAGAGGCCAAACAGCCTTGATGCTCACTTTAATTGCAGGGTTCCATTGCTGGACCGAAGAACCAATGAAACAACTGAGGGATTACTTACCAAAGAGTCAAATATGTAGTAACAAGCCAAGCTCTGGGCTGTGTGGTATATTTGCCAGACCGGTTGACACTTGGCTATGTCCTCATTCAGCTGTGATAGAAAGAGGCAAAATGACTCAAGTCAAAAATCATTTTCTGAGGGGACAAAAAAATTGGACAACTCATTCTGCTAACAGCAGGGCGGATTGTGGTTCAAGTAAGCAAGCGTGGGCACGGTTTTTACATTTACAACATTAAGGACAAATTTCCAGGAATGGAAGATAAGCCTTCCAGTGTTTTGAGACTGAAGGCTGGGGCGATACCATATTCCCCCTTGCCTACCTGTGTACCGACTTTCTCGACATACTGGTCTGCATAGCCAAACACCTGATTCACATAGTCCACCGTGATATTTTGGACTTTTTCTTCGGTGGCAGGCAAGTTGACCTTTGTCTCGGCGGCCTGTGATGCAGCGACAGTTTTGGTGATGCTCCCAGGAAGGGTTGCGTTAAGGTCAGATAACCTGTAAGCATTTTCAACAATGCGGGCCTGTCGGTGCAACAGAACAATAATATTGTAAAATGAGGGATGCTCTGTGGACAGCCATATTCTAGTATTTATGGTACGGTTTCACATCTCTGTTGAGGTAGCAAGTTGGTCATGAGTCAAAGCCAGGAATCAAGTACACATTACTTGGTATGCATAACGACGAAGATGTACTCTTGTTAAAGTTTACTTGACTAGCTTCCAACGTGAACTGAATGACTAACAGTTAAACCGATTAACTAGTACATAACTTGAATGATTAGTCATTGCATGGAGATGAACTTACGAGGGACTTGATCGTGTCAGATCCATGTCAGATCGTGGGTTTGATTCCAACCAGTAACACTACATTTGCATCTCTGCAGATGACATTTTATTTTTGTCTGAGGGATAAATGGGCACCTGCAAGGATACAGTTGTTGCGGGGCTAAAACTCGTGCTCCGTTTCAGATTCTTCAAAACACGAGTTCAAGCTCAGCTGGGGTTCTTTATGCCCTGATTGCTCTTTTCACACAGAGAGAAATGGGTTCCAGGAAAGGTACTGGCAAGGAACCGCCACAAAAAATCCAAATGGAAGTATTAAGCTCCTTTTCAAGATTGGTGAACTCTTTGTCCCGCATTAGTGTCATGAATCCTGACTGCGGGAGGGGGGGGACTATCATAGTGCAGTATTTCAAACACAAAGGCAGATCTTCATTTCCTACTTTGTGGGCATTGATGCCTTCCACCTGTGCCTGGATCTGGTCCACTTCATCTGCTAATCTGTTCAGTTCAGTGGCCTGTAAAAAATCCAGAAGTCATTAATGTACGAAAAATATCAGACTTGCCTCTTTCGTCTAAGTCAGTGCTTAGACATTTGTGAAGTGCTTTATCTTATATTCTTTTGACCAACCGTTTTAAAAACTTTGCAAAACACACCTCAGAATTAAGAATAGGTTTGACCTACCCACAAGCAAGGAGCAACTGGCATTGGAGAATTTAACGGAACAGGCCTGCCTCAAGATATCTTCTTGCAGGATGAGTGCAATTTGTCATCAATAGATCACACCAAAACTATGCTACAAAACACTCCCTTTTCTCTACAGAATTGAAACAACTGCCTTACGTTGTTTGAAGGGTTGGAAGCTGCATTCCTAAGGCCTTCAGCAAACTCTTTCAGGTTTGTCACTGTCACAGATGAATTCATCTTATGGCAAAATAAACCGTGAAAATTTATCAATGGGTAACAAAAACTGAAAGGTACAAGTGCTGGTCTCAAGTTGCCACCATTTCCACTGACTTGAACGAGATGCCATCTTGCACTACTTAAAGCTACTGGATAAACAATGGACTCAAAAATGGGCAGAAATCGGCATAGGTATGAGAGGACAGAAAGAATTCTTAAAAACTATACCTTGGGCTTGCAATTCAAATACATTTATCATCATTTGCAAGATTCCATCAGTTGGGTATTTATATTTCGACATTTACAAATGCAAACGGCATCAAATGCAACGGTAGACGGTGCAGGCTCCTGCTTAAATTAAGCTCTGTTCATGATGCATAAATGCATGATGCATAAAAGTATACCCAAAAACCTGAAATTAAAACCTGAACACAATTCACCCATACGGTTCTAAGAATGCGACACAGCTGGAATGAGAACAGATTTTTACGGTACTGCACAGTGCACAAGACACACACTGGCCTCAGCCCAATCAAGTCACACAGTACCCTCTGCCACTTCCTTTTCAACAGGTGCGCTCCGTTGCATTAAGCGGAACAGGATTAATAATACATCAAACATATAATCAGTTGGCTTCTTTCAAAACATGAAAAATTACATGACTTTTTTTCACTAGCTATGCACAAATGACAAGTACAGTACTGACTTACCAATGTCTCAATAGCAGCAGGATCTATACTCCCTAGGTTGATGGCATTTAATGCAGAATCTAGATCATTCTGCAGGTTGTCAGGCACCAAGTCCAAAGTTGGAATGTCAATGGCATTCTTCAACTGATCCAAAACTCCATCTTTTCCTTTGTTCAATTCCTGGTCAAAAATATCAAATAAACGAATGAACAAAAGAAAAGAATGTGCATTTAAATGAATTGGAAACTGTTAAAAAACAAAGAAAAATGATGAAAAAATGGAAAAACGTTAATCGCTAATTCATCTACGGCAACTTTAATTATGCCTTTTATAACTAGAACCAAATAAGCAAAACAATTTGTGAAAAAAAAAAAGCCTCTGTTTCAACTGTGACCTGACACAGTTTTTCATCTATTTGAATCGACAATTTCTTTTTGACTTCATTTTCTCCTGTTAAATAACTTAACACAAATGAACTCTATTACATTCAAATAAATGTATTCTTAATAGAATTTTACAAGCTTTAGGAGGAACATTTAACATCTCAAACCAAATATGAAAATATGATAGTTTAAATACATTAGGGTAAAACATAGTCTGGGAGAAAAAAGTTTGAAGAAGAGAACATAAGACAATGTTAGTAAGGCCCCAACAGCTGCCAGCACCACTGTTGTAATCAAGTCCATCACAAGTCCTCAGAAGTCCTCAGATGTCCCTACAAGTCTCAAGCCAAGTCAACAGCTATTTGAATGAATGGTGACAAAGGGCATTCCTGTGTCAAAGTTCACCCAGTGGCTTCAGACTGATGTTGTGACCAGACACGTGACTGGCCTTGTGAGAGAGGACCCTGTGAAGGAATTGGTGACTACAAGGCTGGACGTCAGTGAAAATGAGCACCTACATCCACAAAGCTGTCCAGGGAGAAGAGGTAGGAGAGGTCCATGGCAGCGTAGAGGGCCTCATTCTGCTCGCACTCCGTCAGGATCGAGGACAACGTCAGCTCCACGGACGAGTTGCCGAAGAGGGTTTCACCCAAGAAATAGCCAGGGCCAAGGAAACCTGGCTTGTCAATAGTCTACAAGGTGAGAGGGAGACAGAAAGAGACAAGCCATAAAAAGTGGATTTTTGGCAAGAGCTGTACAGTTGATTTGCCAGATTGGCAAACAACAGTCCTGAAGAGCAGAGGTAGAACAAAACAATTCCAAGTTTTTTCTTATTAACCCTAACCCCCCCCCAAGGGTTGCTGGCCCTAACCTTCCCCATTCACACAAAGTTATACACCCATATGGGACTTTGTGCACAGAGGCTGTTGGACTTAGTTTTTCTGAGGTATGCCAAACCAAATGCAAAAGCCAGCTGTTATGGGCCTACCAGACCTATCCCCACAGAATTAAACACTTTACTACTGTTTAATTCTGTATGGTTGGGGAAGGTTAGAGTTAATATGTTTTACTTCATCTCACAATGCCTATTTCTGTGCTTCTGGAATGACCATTAATTTACAAAGAAACATTTCAGATTAAAACTCAACGAAGGCACGTTAGGGACGTTAGTTTACCATGTGTTCCTATTGGATTTAATTTTGTAATTCTATAGGAAAGTCGCAGTAAGTTAACCAAAAAAAGTCCAACAGGAACACGGCTTTAGCCAACTAGTCGTAAGGAAGAAGGTGGGTGGGATGAGTCAAGTCCCAAAAAAATTGAGTAATTTTTGTCTCAAACCTTCTCAAGTGCCTCGTAGGTCTTAAGCGGTTCACAGCTCAACGTGGCCGTCCCAGCCACAGCAAATCCCAAGAAGCAAATCAGCATGAGGATCAGGCCAAACAGGATTGAGAAGAACACTCCCCTGAGGAAGAGAATAAAGAAAATGGAAGTCAATCCAAATTTAATCTTGTGCTTTTGAATCGGATGTAATTCAAGTTAGACTCTGGATCAAGAATTTAAGGATAACTTTTAACCACTTCAATTTACAATTTGCATAAAAATGCCTTTTAACAAATTAATGGGATTCTTAATTTTGTCTTATATTTCCATCTGTGCAAATTCTGAAAGATCTGAAGCTACCCCTTATGTAGAGCCAATGATTTTCTGTGATCACAGAAAAAGGACGGAATTCGCAGAATCAACACTTTGAAACGAAATCATTGCTTGAAACAGAATTTGCAAACTTTACCACTAAGAACAGCTTAAGAAGCAAGGAAAACTTTCCGCAAAGTGGTGAACATTATTGCCTACCAAACCCTTTTAAAATGCTTGCATTTGACAAACGAACTATGCTAGAAACATGCTAAATTGCACCACTCCACCACATGATTGGGTCATCTGCGTCGGTATCGATACTTGCAAGTGTGCAACGGCAGACAACACAGCACAGCAGCGTGGTATGGTACACACATTGGCCGTTCACACATGCACCGTACTAGCAATTAAATCAAGGGGCAAACAAGGTTATACTCACACATATGATTATTGCATACATAGGGAATTCAGTCTGTGAATCTGCATAGACACCTTGAGACAAGGCTACGGTAGTACTGCATGGCATAACGATGAAACCGCGGCAGCAAAATGGAATATTAATTACATATTACTCTTTTTTCATGTGTACTACGGTACAGAACGAATTTGAATTTCTGAAGCAGAATTCGGGATTTGGCAATACGGAAAATACCCATTTTTGAAACAGAAAATCACTGGCTCTACAGTAATGAATCCAGTTTGACACAGAACATAGAACATCTGGCTGACATGGAAATTTTCTCGGGATCTTCACTTTGGGCAAAATTATAAGGGCAACATAAGCTTGTTTAGAATTAAGGAGCAAGAAACCTACGCTATCAGAACATTCCCTGCTGCATTGGACATGCGCGACCGTTCGGTGGGCAACACATCCTTGTAGGCAAAGGTTCCCATGGCAATGCCGATAACGTTGAACAGCACAATCAACAGAGTCAGGCAGGTCACAGCAATGAGGCCATAGTACCTGTGAGGAGGGGTAGAGATGCATATTCAGGAGCTGATCTTCTCACTCCACGTTTATCCCTGTCATGAATTCCTTGATGCATATGGCACATAATGACACATCAAGGAACAGCGAATCATGTGAAGAATGTTTGAGGGTGTACATGAGGCATAAATGCACCTGTCTTAACCCTAAAAGAGGCCCAAGCCCAAGCCAGCAAAACCTTGATCTCAAAAGCAAACTGCTTGTTCAGTTCTAACAACAAATGGCAACTGTATGGATTGGAGGACGGAATCCTTACCTGTAGTCCCAATACTGATTCACTGTGTCAAAAAAGTTGTTGATATCTTGTTTTACCTCTTCCAGACTTTGATTGACCTGTTCAAATGCAAAAATGAAAACAGTGGACAGTTAGCCATTCTCCAAGTGGCCCTGAAAAGCTATCTTTATTTGGATATGCAAAAGCATTTTGGCCTTGAGGAAGAAGCCAGGGCAATCAATCCATCAAAATGGGTAATCCGGCCTCACTGTGAGGCACTGAAGAAGTTATGGTTCGTCTTCTTCAAAATAATAGCCATTTTGAAATATTTGGGTTCCCCTCAAACAATTGAGATGGTATTATTCCACACCCAACCTGTTCCAGGCATTATATTATTTTCAGCCAAATACATGTATATCAACGTTTCAGGTGACAAGATACCACAGCAGCAGTCCTTTACAAAGTAGGACTTTACTAGAGCAGGCCTTTGGTGTCATTCTTTCAAGATTTGTGACTTCTTGTCACATCATTGCGTCACATTCCTCTTCTCCCGATAGCGAGTTGCAACTTCCCACAGTGTGCAGGCGGTCAAGTTAAGACATGTGAGTGAAAGCGATGGTTACTTATTTCTCCCGACAACCTGTTTGTGAGCATTTATTCTACCTGTGCCACTTGCTGTACAATGCTGTCAAAGGCACTGTCAACTGTCTGCTTGGTATCGTTCAACAGTTTTTCCACTTCGGTAACTGCCGAGCTCGCCGAGTCGTCAATCAAGGTGGAGATGTTGTTAAGGGTGTGGTTAAACTGTTGAAAAAAAAAAACATTTGGGAGAAAGGGGTCAATTCACAACCAGACTTTGTTAAGAGAGTTCTAAATCCAATTTGGAAGTGTCCAAGTGTCCTCAGCCATGGCAAAGCATGTGATAATTGTAAAAATATTTTCTTACGTCAGTGTAGAAAACTTCAGCGGTATTCTTGGCAAGTGAGGCTTGCTCGACCTGGCTACTGAAATCAGGAAGCTACAAGAAAAAAACCACACAAAACATGAACTGAATAAATACACTTCATGTACACCGATGTTTGTTATCACACAAAATGAATGCATTTCCATGTATCTCTCACGGGCCATTTCAACAAGGAACAGCAAGATATGAGTAACAGGTGACTTTGCACTGGTTTGAGATGTTTCCAACAGATGGGTTACTGAGACTTGCTCCCTTCCCCTTATATTGTCTCAGCCCCACCGGATCTATACCCAGCAAGAAATGAGACCGAGGGGTGCCCCCCCAACATGTCCAATCCCTATACACATCCCAGACTATTGTTACTTAACACATCCCCCAAGATGTCTGAAAGGAATTCCCCAGATTCCTACGGCACAATGACCATTACAAAGCAGGGGGGGTTCTCTCCGTCTCATACCTTGCTGCATATGACCGGATCCATCCCTAATAGATGCACAACATGACTTCACTCTTTGTCTGCAAGTGCACCTGCCAATGGCATGGCGTCATTATGCTTAGGTCCATTGCTCGGGGGTAAACCTTCCCCTATGACTGATTGAATTGATTGCCGTCTTCTGTGAACTCCTCCAGAAAATGGGCCAGGTGTGTTGAAAGCCACATGAGTCCGACTCAACCGGCTGTGGCTAGGTGTACCACACACGGCCCGGGAGCGGTGTCTGCAGCCTCTGGCCAAAGTCCTTCACATCCACATTCCTAGGGTGCATTGCCTCATTGTAACCCTCCATGGAGAAGCTCTCCTTTTCATTCATCATTCTTAAGCATTTTTTTTTAATTGGCCTACCAAAACTTTCGAGATAAGCGGCTTTAGTGGTATTGACGTTTCGAGTTACGGATAGTTTATTGTACATACAGGCCTATTCTTTGGTCGGGAATACAGAAAGACGTCGAGGTAAACAGAGTTTCGACTCAACGGGCTTCGACTTATCGAGATTTTACTGTATATGGAAAATAGCCCCAGCCACTTTGTGGCAGCTTCCATAAGTTAGCATTATTTTAAGCCATAGGCATGTAATCCTGACACAGTCTTTGTCACATGTCCACCTTCAACCAATGCTGACCTCTACATGTCAATGTATGACCAACGGGGCAATTTGGACACACACACACACACGAGAATTCACTGCACCTGATGACATAAAGAAGAAGTGCATGAAGTATGTCATTACCAATGAATAGTCATTCACTTTATCCAGGTCTGAATAAGAAGGGCAGCTGTTACAAGTTAGGGCAGTTAAATCAGCCTTCACTCCTTCCAATAACCCTTTCACCCGAGCTGTTCCATCGATCACCTCGGTCCGAGATGAATTAATACTCGCCAAAGACATATACACTTCATTTAAATCTGTGGAGATAAAAATACACAATATAAACATTCCTCATGAGGTGTAAGGAATCCAAGACCCTGTCAAATATGGAATTCCACAATCGGAATCGCATGCCACCTATCTTTGTAACATGGACATTTTTTAAGATTAGCAGAGAGTGTGCTCAGGATTTTGTTTTCATTTTTTCACCACTATCAAACAATCGGAAAACCCCAGAAAGTTAGTTCTGTCTGAATCAACCCTGCTTGCTCGCAGACACATTAAGTGCCTTATCAACCTTTTGTGATATTAATTTCAGGCAGCTGATAAAGAGTTCCAAACTTGGAAGTATCAAGAGACAAAGACATACCCCTAAACTGGAGTTAACCAGGATTTTCTTACCTGACGTGAGGTCAGTGAAAGAATCCATTGCGACCTGCACACCAGCATCTTTCTTGAGGTACTCCAACAGAGGGTCTGCAATCTCATCCCCAATATCTTGACAATAAGGAAGAAAACAACACCAAGTGTTTCAAAACAACCCCAACTCCTTAACTACAGGCTTGCTTTTGTGCACTTGAAGGAAAAATGACACACACACAAAAAATGCCGCTTCAGCCGGCTTTGGAACCCTGGGGCAAATTGGCCAGACATGCCACAGGGCATGGGGAAGTCATTAACCAGAAATACCACTGAGAGCTTGCATTCATATCTCATGTGATATCTCCTTCCCACCATCCCCCCTCCCCATTTGCTAAATGTTGCTCTCTGTCACCACATGGCAGGGGCATTTGTCAAATGTCGCCTAACCACTTTGGACAGGATCTCTGCAACCCCCAACCAAGTTGCCCAAGATAACCGTCAGAAGCGTACCTACTGTAACAGAGAACGTGTGTTTATAATAGGTTGGACGACAAAAGTCAGCAGCCCATCAGAGCCAAACACTAGCCACTGAATTCTTTAGAATTTTTTTTCCTATCCACACTGACGGCCCAACAAGCCCTAACCACATGGCCACACTCCTCAGTGAACATACCATTGCTCCATTCCAATCCAGCCCCTACCTAAACACACTAGTTCTCCCTCTCCCCATGAACCCATCCTCACCCAATCCAAACCTGAGAAACATGATAGACGTAGTGAATTATTAGGGATGACTTCTTGGCTACAAACTCTACTCTCAAGTCTATACTCTTTCCAAATTTCCCACAAAATCCCCAATAAAAAGTTCCTTCAAATCAAAAGAGACCAAAATAGTCTTTACACAAACACGTATGGTGCTAACAGTAACACCATCTCTGGAGATTGTGTTTTTGGCTTCCTATCTCTGTTTGATGTGGGAAGGAAACGGATTATTGACTTACTCGCAATGTCGCGTCTGATAAGACAGTCGACTGTGCCAAACTCATTGTCCGTAACGAACTCCATTTGCTGTGAAATGAAGGAAATAGGAATTAAACAAAATGCTTGTTAGGAAAGCATTAATTATGCTGGGGATGAATTGCTGTGAGAACGCTTGATAAACTTGTACTTTTAGAAACGGTGAAAAGTGCAGCCCTGTAATTGGCACAAAGGGGACAGAGGGGACAAAAATTGAAAAATGAATCATTCTTGACCTCCTAAAATAACCCCCAAAGGCTTTCCTTGGTAACTTTGCTTCCTGTCAAATCTTCTACCTAAGGCTGCTATCACCAAGATCCTCAAGAAGAAATGAAGTCTTTAATCTACAAAGCATGATGTTCCCACAGACCTTCTTGCAGCAGAATGGGAGTGCGCAGAGTCAAACACTCTTATCTAGTCGTCTTTTACTTCACACTTCTTCCGTGTGCCCTAATATACCCAATCCCCTCCTCTCCCAACCCATCCCTTTCCAAATCCACCCTGATTGGTGCCTCCACAGACACAACTGATAAACACTCACCTTCACGGCATCCGTGGCGAAGGCCTGCACATCTCCGATGACAGCCTGGGCAGACGATTCGGTGGTCGTGTAGGCGTAGCTGATGAAGTCATTGGAGAAGTTGGTGAAGGCCATGCCGGCACTTTGAGGGGATAACAGTACAATATTGGTCATGTATATGGGCATACGTGTCTGTGTCTTAATAAAGGTAAGGGGAATGGTTGCTGAATAACTCCAGGAAAAAGTCAGCAGGTATTTATTCCATCCTTAATGAATCTTAAAAACAAAGACCGTAGATCATGTCAAGTTTCTCAACGCTGCACTCAGTGAATGAGAAACTTGGAAAATTACAACTTGGGGGGATCAAGTCTTCCCCGACCAGGAACACAAATTGGGCAATGAGGATGCTTGCCTCAAAGAACCTCCCCCATTGTGACAAGACCCTAAATCTCGGGCCCATTAGCAATGTGAATGAGGAATAACGTGAGGACACAGGTGTCCGTTTGGTGTGGCAAGGAAGCACTGCCATCAGTAGAGTCTCAAACCCTAGCCTTGGCACCAAAGCTAGCAGTCAACTTGAGCCCCTGACAGGTGCCCCATTAAGCCCTCTCCCCCATCCCTTGGCAACAATAAGGACACGCCAGCTCAGGCTCCAGCTCCATCTTTTGACTCATCGCCTATTGCGCCTGGATTGGTCGGTTATAAGACCTTATCCGAAGGGCCCCTAATTGTGCCCGGATTACCTACTTTGAGAGTCCAACAGCTGCGAGAAACATTCTGCCTATGCACTTGGGGGAAGGAAAAAAGCTTCCACACAGATGCAAGAGAAAATGGATGTTCATGTGGAAAAGAAGAATTTCACGGATGAAGCTGACCTATTTCAACGCTCTCAACACTTTCAACACAGTGAAAACCGAGAGAGACGTGGCTTCTTCTAATACGCCCAAAGATCTACTTTGTTTGCAGACTAAGCTTGTAGAATATTGCTTTTGGGATCACACTTCATCAACCAGTGGACTAGACATCACACATAAGGATCTCACGCATCACAAGTATTCCACAGTGTGAATTTTTGAAACTTGTAGCATGCTTTGTAAGAATTGCTGTTACATGTTGCTGCCACGTGACCACTAAAAACTATCTTTCAGGAATTGCTTCTCTTTAAGAAAAAAAATCCTATGGCCTGGAGGCTACTACAACTTCAGAAGGGCTACTGGGATGAAGGGGGCAGACCAGTCCAGGAAAAGATTACTTAGTGCAAGACCTATACCAGACACAAATTAGGTATACATGTACATGTACAGTGTATATGCCCCCTCAGTAGAAACCACAGACAGGTATTGGAGGGGTGAGCAATTATGAGTGCATGTAATGTACATGCACAGTTGCATGTACATGTGTAATACATGAAATGCAGTCTGAAGACTGTGCAGGCACTTGCAATGTCTACAAGTATATGTACGTGTTCAATACTGCACATTGTAAGTTGATCACAGAACACAACAGCTGACAAATCAAAAAACAACTTTTGGAAGGGGCCAATTTTGTTTTTAATGGGGCCCAAAAGTTGAGCATTTCATTTGTAACCTTTAATGGCCTCTCTGATGGGGAGGCTAAATTTGGGAATAAAGAGTAACAAAACAGTCCTCCCAAAAGGGGGCACATGCAGGTCTTTGGTCCAAGGAGGGTACCTGTAGAATGGAAATTACATGTACATGTATTTAAAAAATAATAACAATAATAATACTGTTTACCGAAAGTGGGTCTCTTGGGAGACATTCCCATAGTAACGTGCACAAACTTTACTGTGCCGTAATTAAATATTCCCGAATCTGATCTGAACCAAGCTTTGTATGTTTTCAATTTAGACCCTAATCTATCATATCTCAAAATGTGGACAGTAAAATTCGGCCTCCTTCTGGTAGTTGGAGCATTAGGGAGACATTGAAATGTCTCCCTAATGACCGATGTCTCCTTAAGGTCGAAAAATTTACCACAAAATGTCTCCCTAATGACCCATTTGTAAGAATAATAAAAATAATAAAAATTTTAAAAAGGTGTGTTCACGCATAAAAGAATCCTCAACTTCCCTTAAAAGAAAGGTGGTGGTACTGTTGTTATTTGAAGCCTTTAAAGAAATGGTAATATGACCTGGGGAATGGAGGTAATCTCCCCTCCCCCCCCCCCCGAACTCTAGTTGAGTAGTTTTTTAGTACATGTACCAAACTCACTGCCGCATATTGAACTGGATAGAACAAAGCTACCATAATGAGCAATGGACAGCTCAAGATAAATGCACCAAGGTAGGATTATGAAATAAATGTAAGACGTCACACACCCTAATTTTGTAAAATTTAAGTTTTAAGGAGAAAAGTACAAGTACTCAGCAGTGTATTCCTCAAGTACTTTTGTCATAAAACTCACTTCCTATAAAACATCCTCATACCCAATACATGTACAATACATGCCACTGCCCAAGTCACATCTTTCTTTTTATGTAAAAAAAAGGGGCATTTAACTTGATACACCTAACCTTCAGTGAATATGAAAACAATGCCACTGGGAGCACTTAATTAAGGGAGGGTACATGTATGTGACTGCAGATCCAAGCCACTATCACGGGGGGGGGCATGATGTGCCCGGAAAGAAAAAGAAATGCATCATTGCTGTCTGGTACGCTGGAGGATTTCAGGCAAATTCAGTGTTCATTCAAGTTCTTTGGAGGTTTCTCTGCAGAGCAGAGTGACTGACTGCTGCTTCCAAATCAAGAACATTTCAATCTCAGTCACAGTCATTCATCAATTTATTTCCACTGACAGCCAAGTTTGGCATTTCTTTCATATTCCTTTCTGTGTAAAATTCTGCCACTTCCAAAACTTAGCAATTTAAAAAACTTTCAGAAATAAAATCAAACATGGGCTTTTCCATTTTTTTTTTGAGTTGTCTGCCTCTAGCTTGTAATGGACACAGGAAGATTCTTCACACTTAACACCAACACAGGCAGTCACCAATAACAAGTTGTTACAATAGATTCTATTCACCGCCAGCGGGAAACAAAAAATAATCTTTAACACCAATATACGCATGTACAATCTTAAAACAAACCGACGGAGTGCCAAGTATTTTTACCCCGTTGTCTCTTCCCTTTCCCCCCCCCTCTTTCTGAAGTTCTGACATGCCCTGACAAATTACCACTCCGCGCCGAACATGCTATGAAGTTTGATGAGGTGCAGTGAAAAAAAAAAGGATTTACAGCACTGAGTCATGACATCCGAACACTTCAACTTCACTTGATAACTCACTCAGGATAAGCGTATCCCCACAGATAGGCCACAGGCATTGCTTCTAATCACCCTTTTTTTTTTTCACTGTCTTTCTGTTTCTGTGATTATGAACCCTTTTCGCAAATTGACTTTTCCGAGGGGTGCGAGCTGCCATGCGCACCAGCCAGCCAGACAGAATGAGTGATAAGATCCGAGCAGATGAATCGAACTGAATTTTATCACCTCAGAAGACTCAAAGTAGCAGTCAGAGGGCAGGGGGAGGTTTGATCCTGGGAAGGGCACAGCGAAGGGCTGGGTGAAGAATCACAAATCTGAGAATGCTCTCGGTAAAAGCAAGAGCTGGTCCCTCGTAAAAGCACTGCATGTGAAGATAACATTACACACTTGGCACTATTTCAAACACGAGTTGTGTTTGTGAATCTGGTTCACACGTTTTAAAGTGTGATGTCAGGAGCAGGGAAAGTACACATAATGCTTAATGCAATGATGTATTACATTATATTTTACGCTATGTAAACTTAACCAAAACAAGACTCACCCAAAAGCAACTTGGATTTGATGCCAGTTCAATTGATTTATTTTACAAATGTACACAATTCCTAAAGGAAAAAAAATTTACAGTTTTTCAGGTTCAGTCAGATTCCCAGTTCTTTCTTGTGAAATGGCTTTGATGCATGTGACTACTTTCTACTGAATGAACACAAATCCACACTGTGAGAAGAACACGTTGGTTTGCTGGTTTGAAAAGCACACTACGACTCTTGAAAGAATTCTTTTCCCCCTCTGGGATGATGTGATCTTCTGTAGTTGGTGAATGTTTCCTGTCCAATATGGTACCGAAATCAGGGACGCACAAATCTGAAACAAGAACTTTGACATGAACATGACCTGCAAAGTATTTGGAAATGAACTTTTCAACACATGAGAATGACATTTCACTGAGCTTCCTTAGAGGTGAACTAGATCTGAGCTGAGATGTCGAGTGATGAAGTGGCTGTGAGCTACCTGCCACCTGCCCGTTGTATGTACATGTACAGTAACCATGAGAGTTCCAGTACATAATCATGTACTGGTACATGTAATTTTGGGCACACAGCATTTCAGTTGAGCTGCTGAAGAACCAACAGCAGCCAATTAAACAGCAGAAGACTTGGTAAGTTTGACGACAACCTGTTGTTGGCAGCTTGTCGGAGTCATTCGCTCAATTTCTACCTCAACAAAGGGAACAGAAGAGCTGAACCAATTTTTCTCACGGGTTAGCTCTGAGTACAAGGAAAATTGCCTGACGTCAACATTTCAAAGTAGTACCGACTGAGGCAAAGACCAGCCAGCTGCCAATGACATCTCTGTGTAGTTGCAGAGGTGAGTGAAACCTGTAATGCTGAGGGAGGCACTTGCACTGCAAACTGGTGATGGGATTTTCAGACGAGTGAGAAATCTCCCAAAAGTTCATCAAGTTCAAGGTTTTTCCCAGAAAGCGAAAGTTAAAGAAAATCGACCAATTAAACTGACTAAAAACTTCTATCCTGTCGAAGAGGCTGTCAGGATGCGGGGAAAGGGAGAGTGCAATTACCGTAAGTTGCTCCCCTTTAGCCAGTAAAGGAGCCAGGACAGATAAATGGAAAGACGTGACAGCTGCAAGGAGAATATGTTTAGGCATGACACAAAATCTCCAATCACCGGGGAGGGGAAGGGGGATGGAAATAACAAGAGTGAGGGGAGGGGACGAAGCAAAGGGGCTAGAGTGGGGGCGGGGGAGAAGACACTAGGGTAAAAGTACTCAAAACGTAAAAACCAATTGCCATTGAACGTGACGAACTCGGGAGCAGCGCTGGACTGGCAAAAAGACGGGTTCCCA